AAAGTCATCATTTTAGCTAGAAATGACAATTAAATCCGTACTGTGGAGACCGACTCATCCTCGTCTCGAGTTTGACGGAGAAAACTTGAATTGTCCGGGGCGGAGCGAGGCAGGCGGGATGGGTAATGCAATCCCCACCTGCACCCGTCCCCGCTCCCGTCCCAACTTTATATTTAAATTTAAATTTTAAAATATTAATATTTTAAAAGTATTTTCTTTTCTATTTCTATTACATATAAGGTCATTTTTTTATATTTCACCATTTTTATTTTTCTTCTACCCACTTTTTAATTTTTTTATCTTTTTAAATATTTTATATCAATTAATTTATTACATTATTCTCTCTTACCTTTATGTTTTTCACATCTTCTTAATCTCTCCCATCAATTTGTTTTTTTTAATCTTTTCAACCAATTTGATAAACACAAAGTTAATTTTTTTCTTTCTATTTTTCTAAATATTTTACATAAATCTTAGTAATATCTAATATTATTTTTATTAGGTTTGATTATGTCATATTTTTTTATCTTATTATTCTTATTTATCATATATCAATTTTTATCTTAATAAAATAATTATATTTTAAAATATTAAAAGGAATTGATAATTTAAACTTTTATTACTTCAAACTAATTAAATAAGAATTAACTTATTAAATATTTTCTTATAAATTATATATTTCATATTTTTAAATGATAACTTAAAAATAAATTAACTTATATATGTAATCAAATGTTTAAATACAGTATTATAATAATAATAATAATGTTATAAGTATTCAAATATTTGAATGGAGTGTTATAATAATAATAATGTTATAAATATTCTCTCTCTCTATATATATAAAATGATTAAATATTTATTTTACATACATATTTTAATATAATATAACAAATTAAAAATATATATATATATATATATATATATATATTTAATTAATAATAATTATAAATTATAAAATTATAAATATTCATTTATATATAAAAAATACATAGTAAAATTAATTTATTATAAATATAATTATTTTTTTTAAATAATATAAATAAGGGATGAGGTGGAGGTGGAAACCCGAAACCCAGATAAAACTGGGATGGGGACTTAATTTCTAACCCCGAGGAAGATCGAGGACGAAAACGGGGACGATGATGGTTAAAAAGTCGAGATACGAGGGATCGAGAAGACAAAACTCACGCCGTCCCGTTGCCATGCCTAATTTTAGCTAGTATCGTTTTACATTTTTTGTAAACTAAGTAACGATGATGACCCACTAAAGAGATAAAGAGTTAAAATTGTTTAACTTTAAGTTTTCAATTTTTTTGTAATTACCTTTTTTTTTCTTTTAGCGATAAAATTTTAATTTATATATATTTATATCTTAGTTATAATATTAATAATTTTTTGTATCCTTCAAATAACACAATGACAAAACTAATTGCTTACCCATTTATAATACTCTACCAAAAATTGTTTCGTGATCAAAGTCTTCAAAATTACAATTTATTTCATAAAAAAAATATATATATAAGAATATTTTATATATTTATAAAAAAAATAATTTAAATAATACTTTCTACATATTATATATTAAATTATAATTAAAACTTTCTTCCTAAATATTTATAATTTAAACTATAATATTATTCTATACTTACATCATTCAAATAACATATATTAAAAAAATATGATAGTTTAATTTATAAATAAATTCATTTTAGTTTAAATATTGAAAAGAATTATCCATAAGTTAAATGTCAACTCTGATCTTCAATTTGAGAGTGAGTTGTCCTGCATGGTTAATTTTTCTACTCTAAACACAATATGACATATTATAATTCTAAAAACCATAATTTATTTTATTTAAGACAAATTAATTTTAATATTAAAAAATATTATTTAACTCATTTTTTTTACTCTAAACACATTACAATCATAAAAAGCATATGTCTATTTAATTTTAACATTAAAAAAAATTACTTAAGTCCTTTGTCCCTTTTATATGTCTATTTAGGATATATAAAATATAAAAGCCTAATTCTATCATTGACTTGTTTTTTCACTTTTAATAATAATTATGATTTTGGATATTGTTTATATGAAATTGGTAACATCAATCACCACTATATTGAATCTTACCATCAATTAAAATAATGATATAGGACAAAGGATTTCTTATCTAATCTCATTATTTTCTATTGTTTATAATATAATTATATTATATATAAAATAATTTATTATAGTTAGATTAATAAAATATTTAAAGATAAAAAATATTTATGCAAATTTATTCTATATAATTGAAATTTATTGCACATTTTTCTACAATTATGATATACACAAGATTAAAAGTATAAGTAAACATATTTTATAATTTATTTAATAATTTTGCTCTAATTATATAATGCAAATAATTATATTTTGATACTAAATAATTATAATTATATAATTTAAACATTAATTTTGATCCAACTAAAATACTAGTTTAACAACTAAAATTGTATTTGTAATCATAACTTCACTTTTAAATTTGAGAAAATATCAATTGAAAGGCTGAAATATCTATTGTTGAGTTAGGTTGATTTTTAGTTGAATTTTCTCTCAAAATATGCTTATGATTTTTTTTATTACGACTTTTTTTTCAACCATCCCTGTAAATAATTATGAAATTATCCCTAGTCACGTAATTATCCGGTCAAAAAAAACAAAAACAAAAAATTTCTTCAACATTCAACGCTCTAGCCAACCCACACAGGCCACGTAAGAATGAGAGACACGTGTACCCGGATAAATTGCAACAATACAGTCATAGGCAAAAGAGAAAAAATATTTGTTTTTTTTCCTGGAAAGAAAACAAAGAAAATAAATGCATGCCAAATCCCCTAATAACTCACCGGATCGTGTTCCTCTGAATTGAAGTCGTTTGCGCATGGGAATCGATTGATCAACCAGATCTGGGTTCCAACTATTATTCAGTAAGTTGTTTCGCAAGAGAATTTACAATTTGAGATTTATCTGTGCAATATTCAATTGTATATATTATCTTGCTTCATTTTCTAGTCTTCGGACTATTAATTTCAATGCGGTCTTCTATACTTTTATAATTGTTGTCTCAAGATTGAATTGAGAGTAAGTCTTTCGTTTGAAGGTGTGCAGCTACTACTCTGACTCAACATTGTGTTTTCTTTCATTGGGCTAGTTGAATCAGTTGCATCCTTTGTTTTCAGTATATAGTGTTTGTCATGTATTAGGGTTTAATTTTTTTTACCTCAAAGAAAAAGTGTGTGTACATGTTCTCTGTGTTTATGACACTTCTTAATTCTTATGGGTTTGTTTATATAGTTGGTTCTGAACAAGAATTTTATGAAAAGAAAGTCATATGAAAATGCTCAAGTGGGTGGATCAGTGGGTTAGATAACTTAATAGAAATACACTTGTGGGAAATTGATTATGGGATTTAGGGTTTTCACTTGTCTGCAGGGTTTGTTCATGTTATCAATAGTCCTGACTGGTGCTGATTGCAATCATAAATTGATGTGGTTTAAATGGTCAGTGTAGTGGCATCTGCTGTGGCGTGATGTTCTCCTTTGTCCTTCCTAACTTCTAAAGTAAACAGTGCATTGCTTTGCAGTTGATCCGATAGCTTACATTATATGACTCGTTCATTGGATAGCTTACATCATTGGATAGCTTACATTATATGACTCGTTCATTGGATAGCTTACATTATATGACTCGTTCATTGGATAGCTTAATCTTTTTACATGTCAATATTTGCCTGACCTTTGGAATTGTTTGGAGAAAAAAATTAGTATTGTTTTGTTTGTACATTCTTGAAGAATAAAACCCAGTGTAAGATGTTTGTTTAGGATGCAAAAGCTCCTAATACACTCAGAATTAAAAGGAGGATAAATTTTGACTATTTTAATATTTTTAATAAAAGATAATGACTGTCATTTTCAAGGTTGTCACACTCGGCTGTTAATTTTTAGGATCATGCAAGTTTATGATCCAATCAGCCTCCATATTATTCCTAGAATTGTTTCTGTGCGGGTACAGTTGGACTTGCGAGTTTTACCCCTTCAAAAGGGGACCAAATTATTGGTCCAAAATGACATCTTGTCGCTCTATTTAAGGAACAATAAATTAGAAACATAGGTTTCAAATTTTCCCTCAAAGCAATACATGTCATCAATCAAGAACACCCATAATCATAAGCGAAATTGAAGCCTAACACTCCTTTTGCAAATTGGAGGTATGATACAACATGATGCTTCGGGGATGCTCGTTTCTCTCACCATTTCATCGAATTCTTGTACAAAGTTGGTGAAGAGCACCTATTTGGAATTTCAAGCCCCTGATCACAATTCCCAGTTCGTCTCATTTACTGTTCACAGTTTCACCTAACCTTCAAGCCCATTTCTTTCTTTCAGAACCCATTTTGTCTGGTTCACAATGGAGTAGCTTTTCTATTTTGGTTGTGTTCTTTGTTATAGTATATTTTGTTAGTTATGCTTGCTATTATAATATATTATGGTTTTTTCTTTATTTTTTTGGCTGTTACTTGGAAGTGTTTTATTTTGTTGTCTGTTATAGTATATTTTTTTAATGTTGAATTATTATTGAGTAAGAGGTATTGTGTTCATGCATATATGTCATCTATAGAGGTTCTTTAATATTATTTTTATGTTAGTAAATTTGTATGAGTTTACAAGTTAAGTTTCTTATTTGAATTAGGTTAACTCTTGAGTTTGACTACCTTGATCATTATGATTAAACCTGTCTACTCATTATTAAATTTATAAAATAACAATGAGATGAATGCCTAGTTAGTAAATTGAATTTTCAAGTATTGAGTTGAATCTTGTATTAATTGTCAGTCATAAACTTGTGTCCTGACAAACAAATTCTAAAATAAAAATTGATTTGATATTCTTCCTGGATATGGTTCCAGATTGGCTTGTCTTTATCTCCGGTAACATCAGATTAACCCCTGTGCCCCAGCCATGGCTGCACCATTTTTCTCGACGCCTTTTCAACCTTATGTTTATCAGGTACTTGCATCAATTAGTATGTTAGATACATTAATGACTTTTCAGCTAGGATTGTAATTTGTGAAATTCATTGGAGTACTCCAGAAGATCAATTTGTGTTTCTTTAAATCATTGCTACATTTTTGCAATTGAGGTTGCTATTAAGTTAATTTGAAAGGATGGCTTCATTGTATGATTGACAAAATTTAGTTAGTTCAGGATCATGATTGTTTTCTCCTTTGGTCCATGCCTGGGGAACTTCATAACTTCCCTGGAACATGCAAAATGATATTGTCTAAAAACCCTTTTTGCTTTGATGTTTGGTGTAGTTTTAAAGGAATGTAAAAATTGATAAATAGTTATGCTTTTATTATCACCTATTTATCATCATGCATACTGTTTTCAGTAAAATAGCTATGGATCTAAGAAGTTAACCTCACAAAAAGCTTGCATAACTGGTGCTCGAAAATGGAAAATCTTAGTAGATATTCTAACGCTCAAATCTAAGAAGATTTCTCAGTATATTTATTCATATTTTGCTTGTAAGCATTATTTATCAAGGGTGTCTCAATGTCCCTCAACTTATTATGGAGTAGGATTCTATCATAAAAGAAATGCCTGACATTACACGATGTTCCTTTGCTCGTACCAAATATCCATATAATCTTTTTTTTTTTTTTATGTTATGCTGTTTAGAGCCCGCAAGATGCAATTATACCTTTTCAGATTTTAGGGGGTGAAGCTCAAGTGGTTCAGGTATATGTGACTATCTAAAGTTTAAAATAAAATATCAATGTTTTATGGACTTTCTTATATAATATCTCTTTGCTGTAATATCACTCTTCAATTTGGTTCTTTCAAACGTAGATAATGTTGAAGCCACAGGAAAAAATCATTGCCAAGCCTGGTAAGTTGTTGGAGACTTTTATTCATTGGTCTTGAATTTTTCCTTGATGATCTTTCTTCACAAAGTGTCAAATGAAAATTTTGTGTTGTCAATATGAATCATTAATATTAGTACATGATCTTGAATATGATACTAATCCAAACATGATTTATGAATAGTAACGTTGCTATGGAGGGCAAACCTCTGTGCAACATTAAGGTTGCTGCCTTATGACTTTGAGTCATGGGTTTAAATCCTGGAAAAACCTCTTTGATTGTGGTAAGGCTGCATATATTTACCACCCCGCCCCACCCCACTGGTCACGGCTCTTAAACATTAATTGTGGATGAGATAACCTATATATTTAATTTGCAAATGTTTAATCATATTTTTTTGCTAAAAAAATTGTTTTAGATTTCTTAAAATATGGAGGAGTAACTAACAATACACCCTTTTAAAGATTCTTGATTATTAGTTAAAATTTATTGAAAAATATAATATTAGGAGTGATGTTGGTTAACAAGTGACCGACATAATTTTATGATTTATAACAAATTTTAGCCAATAGTAAATAATGTGTTGTTAGCATTTCTTTAAAATAGTTTTGAGTAAGTACCTGATAAATGTAATACTGAAAGGCGTTTGAAAAATGAATAATGAATCCCTTGTTTTAAAATTGCTTTATGACTAGTTGACTGCCAATAATCATGTTTGTGACTGTTTCATCTCTCCCTAATTCTTCTAGGGAGTTACCTGGAAGTAAATTTTAGTGGAGTGGAGCTGTGCAGATAATTTCTTTGGCTGTTTAGTTAGCAGTCCCCAATATGATATCTTTTAATGTATATTGATACTAATATGGCAATGTACCCACATTTGTGTCTGTATCAGTACATAACTTGAATAAGTTGGTATTTGTGGGTTACCGGTCAATATTTTAATGGAATCTGTATGCTATTTTATTTTAGGTTCCATGTGCTTTATGTCTGGATCCATTGAGATGGAAAATGCCTACCTTCCAGAAAATGAAGTAGGCATATGGCAGTGGTTATTTGGCAAAACAATAACTAGCATTGTTCTTCACAATACTGGACCAAGCGATGGATTTGTTGGAATTGCTGCACCATATTTTGCAAGAATTCTTCCGGTCTGTACTTATATGCCTCTCCAAATTATTGTTTCTCTTGTTTTAAAACTCAAAATTCATCATCTGAAACACATTTGTAGACATTTGACTGAATTTCTCTTTATATGTTTTTGTGTCTGTTGCTTATTAAAATGCAGATTGATTTGGCAATGTTCAATGGAGAGATTTTGTGTCAGGTATAACCAATTTTTTGTAATTGTTGTTTGATTTGAGTTTAGATACTAAATTTGATTTCTATAGGTTTACTGCTTGTTTAATTTCTTTTAAATCTGAGAAACAGAAGACAAAGTAACCTTGTTTTGAGTTTGTATGTACTCTGTAGCCAGATGCTTTTCTTTGCTCTGTCAATGATGTGAAGGTTAGCAACATAGTTGATCAGAGGGGACGAAATATTGTTGTTAGTGCTGAGGTGAGATAATTGGGATGTTTACCATTGTTATTGTCTTTACTAACTTGGTATCACTTGCCTGGCAGCAACTGTAATTTGTTTTCTTTTAGTATTATTTTCTGTTCATACATTACAAAATTGAACATTGTTTTTGCACTCCAAGATGTACAATCTATGTAAGCTCCAATGTCTACATTGATTACTTTTTATACCAACAGATATTATTAACAATGCAACATAAGAGATGTTCGTAGGATTCATTACTTGTCTACTGAGGGCTCTTGCTGCGATTGATGGATAATTTCTTGTTCATAGTTTGTATTTTTTAGGTTGCATTTGCATGCATTTGATGATTTAATTATATCCATGGCATGGAGAAGAAATCCAATAAATAAGTCAATTTATGATTTTAACCCTTTTTGCTTTCAGTTATTGTGTGGTTCTACCATAGGAAATCCATTCATTTATTACGACAGGACTTCTTTGTTTGAGATTTTTTTTTTCATCAAAGTCCCTAAAATTTACAGTTTTGTTAGCATCAGCCCTTAGGAAATAAATGAATTTTGTATTTCCAATGTAATAAATGCTTCCTTTCTCAATAAAATTTCCCACTTTTATCTTCTTGACTGCAGCCACCACTTCTCTTTCAGTAAAAAATGTTGTTATTTATGGGCATAAAAATTAAAGTTTATATTAGAATAAAAGACATAGATTACTTTTGTATTTAGAATGTATTCAATGTTTTCTTCCCCAATAATATCTCTCCACTTTTATCTCTTAACATAAGGCCTAAAACTTATTATATCCACATATTATTCAATATTAGAGGTTTTCAATTGGAAAAGAAATTTGGGAAGAAGCTATGAGTTCCTTTCGTTTGAGAAAACATTTTTTGTTTTCATTTTCAGTTTTCACTAATAAATACAAAAATGGCATTGTGAAAATAGGCAAAAAATGTTTTCTCAAACTAAATAGGCAGGACGCCTTGTCATTCATGCTTCCATATCATTTCTCTAAGACCCATGATCTTTTTGTAGGGATTCTTGAGGCAAAAGCTATCTGGCCAAGGGCTTGCTTTCATATTAGCTGGTGGATCTGGTATTCGTTTCTTCTAGACTAATACATGCTTATAGAGTCTTTTGTTTGTTCAATTGCAGCCCTCACCTCCTCCCCCTCCCCCTCCCCCTCCCGAATTCATCATCCAAGTGTTAAATGTCAATTTTCTTTTCCACCATCCTTTGTTATTTTCTCATTGGGACGTTCTATTGGATTTTGTCTTCTTTCTAGTTGTACAGAAAAATCTTGAGATCGGTGAAGTTCTAGCTGTTGATGTTTCTTCCATCGTTGCTGTCACAAACACAGTTAATATCCAAATTAAATATAATGGTCCTGCACGAAGGACAATGTTTGGGGTAAGTAGCTTCCATATCTCAAGCCTTTTGTCGATTAAGTAGTTTCTTTTTTAATTACTGTTGGATGAGGATGAACCTCACCGAGCGAGATAATACTTTATTGTTGATGGTGTGGGGGCTCATGAACGTTGCTTGGTTTGTAATGGTCCTGATAATGGTAGGATTTGCTTCCAATTTCCGAGTCTTCATACGTTATTGATGAAGACTTTACCAGCTCTTCGGTAGTAAACTTGCAATTGTCTGTGCATATATGCTGGCAATAATTGAGAGTTTGCATTGCTAAACCATCTAAATCTTTCTAAAGGGAGGTTTAGCTTACACCCCTCACATAATCTAGGAGTTAAATTTGCATAACCATAATTATTTATTCATATAGGAAACACAGTGGGTCCAACCCTTCCTTGGACCCCGAGCATCCTAGGAGCTTTATAGAACCGTCCTTCCCTTTTTAATGCCCTTAGCACGCAAAGGATAGGATCCAACCTGTCCTTAAAATTCTAATCCACATAGATCAACGAGATCCTCGATAGTTGACAATTGTTCTATAATGACAATGATGATGCAAGGCTACAGCTACCTTTTATATAATGTACTGGCATTTCCCTTACGGTGACCTCAATGCTACCTTTGATGTTCGATGCATTGCTTTCTTTTTACATGTATCTTTTAATACCTGTAACGTTCTCTAGAATGTGGTATATACATGATCTTTGATATCGAAATTGCAGGGTGACAATGCGGTCACAGCTCTTCTAACCGGACCAGGCATTGTCTTCATACAAAGTTTACCTTTTCATCGACTCTCTCAACGAATTGCAAGGTAACCTTGTGCTCGAGTGACCAAGCAAAGTCACAATAACTGTCTACTACTTCTGCTTGGACGGTCACATGCTTTTATTTTGTTACCCCTTTGTGATTTTTTAGGCGATTTGGTAATATAATTCACTTTCTGCTTTCCAGGGCGGTGACATCACCAAACATGAGGGAAAATCCCAAGTTTTTCATACAGATTGCAGTTTTCTTTCTTCTGGCGTACGTTGTCATTGTATCTTCGTTAATATTAACAGATGTATGAAATTCACTTTGTATTTTCTTTTGTAATTTTTACTTTTCTCTTGTCTTACGAATTACCATATATAGATACATGAGTGAGGGAGGAGGATTTCGTGTTGGTAGATCCACCAGTCCATTTAAAAAATCCTAGTAATATGTCTCTAATTAAAATGATTTTAGACTAGTCTATCTGAACATTTTGTCGTTGTTGTGATTCTGCGGATTATTTTCGTTTTTTTTTTCAATTTGGTTTTTGTAAATATTTTTTTATATAAATGCTTTTATATGATTTAAAAATATATATAATTTTAAATTTTTATTAATTAATTAATATTTTTATTAGATAAATTAAAGAATTATTATGTTTGTTAAAATATTTAATTATAATTAATAATTTAAATTGATTAATATTTTTAATTAAAATTATAATATTATAATATATTTATATATTTTAATAATATGATAATAAATATAATATTTTTAATTTTAATAGATACGGAGTGAGATATATGGGTCAAAACGAACTGCGGAACTTATCAGTTTGTTATTTTTTTATTAATTTTTATTCTTAATTTATTTAAAATTTAACAATTTCTCAATTGTTTTTTCACTTCCATTTTTCTTAATTTATCTTTATTTGCTTTCTTACAAATAATCTAAAAATAAAAAATTAATTAAAATTTTTAATTAATGTAAACATATTTAAGAAATTATTTTAAATAATAATATAATTTTGTTTACATTCAAATAAAATACATATTTTGAATAAAATAGATTCTTAAATATATTTTAAATTATTTTAGAATAAGATAAATATTTTGAAGTTTACAAATATTAGATTTATTATAAATTCTATAATATTTAGCTTAAATTCTATAATTTATAATAAATATAATAATTATTATAAAATTAACAAATTTAATATTGAATGATGGTTTGATTGTTTTAAGGTGTGCTTGATGTTTGCTATAATGACTTTTGACTGAAAGATATATATTTTTCAATACTGTGACTCTTAGATTAGGTTGAAAATGAGTTCAATTAAATGAAACTCGAAACTGATCACATTTTTAAAAGCTATGTGATTTTAGAAATTGGAAATTATCAATTTAGTTTCTACAAATGTTTTTCAATTAATATAAATTCTTCCTTTGTCCTCATACTAGAAAAACATTTCTCATGCATATTATAGTCAAGGATAAGGGCAACAAGTGACTAAGATATTATTAGTAAAAGAATTAGACATGTCTTTTTTTTTTTTATGAAAAATATTTGTTAAAACACTACATATAGACTTTAATCGTGATGTTTGATAGAAAGTATAATTACTATTAGCTATATAAATATAAATTTATTGTATATTTTATTTTATTATTTTGTTTTACTGTTTATTTTAGTATGGATAATCATGATTATTATAATTTAACTATTAAAAATATGTAGATTAAATTATAAATTTTTTTATTTTATTCCAGATAAAATATTCTATAAATTATTTTTTTAACTGATTTATTTAAGTATAAAATTTAAAAAAGAAATACTTTGGATATCTTAAGTTTTAGAAATGAATTTAATTTTAGTATGGATAATCATGATTATTATAATTTAACTATTAAATTCACAAAATAAATTTCTTAGATGAAATTATTGTAGATTGATCATTTCCCCTTTCTCTCTTTATATCTATGAAAATAAATTTATTTTGTACCAGATAAAATATTCTATAAATGAATTTTTTTAACTATTTTATTTAAGTATAAAATTTAAAAAAGTTTGGATATTTTAAATTTTAGAAATGAAAATATCTATTAATTAATACGATTTGATTACAAAGATTTTATACTAATTAATCTGATTTGATCTCAAAGATATTAGGCTAATTAAAAAAAGAAAAAACTGATAACATTAAAGTATTTTAAGGGAATGCAAATATTTGAAAAGAAGGACTGGAAATAATTATAAAAACCATTCATTGAATTTGAAGTTCATTGATTTTTAGTGATGGAAGTTATAAAAACCAGGCATTATTTCTAGGTTTGTTTGTCTGTGAAATCCCCAAAATCTCAAACCCGCGTCCAATCCAAACCACACCACAATTGCATCCCCCTCTCCTTTTCCCACTTCCCCATCTCTCACCCAAGCTTTCCCAACCCAACCCTAAGCCTCATCGTGCGCTTTCAATCGCTTTAACCCTATCTCCCTCTCCACTATCAAACTTCGATCCGCTTCCCCGTTCTCCCAAACCGCTCCAGATTATCCGCTGCTTCTACCGCCGCGAGGAGGAGGAGGAGGAGTTCTTCGCGATTTGCACTCGAAGCTTCCGTCGCCGCTCATCGTAGAGATTCCCTACGAATCTCAACGCGCTTTCGTCGACTCAAGCTATCCACCGAAGGAAAAAATCTTGTTGTTTATCTTCTTCGATTGATTCGATTGCACTGCTCTGGCATAACTGCTGCGGCTTCTTCGGGTTTCTGATTTCTGAGGGCTTTGATTCACCGGATCCTCGCCTGATTCGCCGCCTCGATCGTTTGATAGCGATTTTATTGCGCTGATTCCGAGCCTCTGGACGGATTATTGATTCGCTGGATTCTGTGTGCGGTCAGATTTCTTGAGACGAAGTGAAGATTCGCCATCCGGTTGCTCGTCAAGAATTTTGGAAGTTAAAGTGAAAGTGAAATCTCCTCGTTGTGGCGGTTCGATTTGTTCGATCTTAACCTTAGTAATCTGCAAGTTGAGGGGGAAAAACTGAAAAAGTAAAGAGAAGAGAAAAAAAGAGAGCTTTGATATATTGTACTGTTTGACTTTAATTTTAGTTTTAATGTGAGGGCCCTTTTTCTTATTATTTCAGAGGCCCTTTGATTATCATCCTTTGTTATTATTGGTTCTAAGATAATTTTTTTTTATAGATAGAAAGAGAAATATACCATGGCGGTGTATTATAAATTTAAGAGTGCAAGAGATTATGATTCAATTCCCATGGACGGTCCTTTCATCTCTGTTGGTACATTGAAAGAAAAAATATTTGAATCCAAGCATTTAGGGAGGGGTACTGATTTCGACCTTGTGGTCACCAACGCCCAGACCAATGAAGGTTGGTTCTGATTTTGATTAAAACTATTCTCTTTAAATATGAGTGTGGGTTTTAGGCTTTTATTTTTATTCGGGGTTTAATTATAAATTTAAACAATGAATGTTTTGCATTATCTTTAGCTTTGAGAAGGAGGGGTCTCTCCTTGGATAATTTCGCAGTATTTATCCTGTGCCTCTCCGATTACAATTTACTAGTCCAATGACCCTATCTGTTATTGAACTGAAATAAGTTTGAGTTCAAGTTTACCTTCCGCACTCTCTTACAAAAAATAACAATAAAAATGTAGCTGCTTAAAATTAAAAGGGCATGGAGTGTTGGCCTGGGTATTAAGATGAAGTTAGGCTGCAATTACAGATGCCAAACTTTGCGAAATCAGTATTGTAGTTCAAGTAAGTAGGCTTTTGTTTAATAACATTTTTACAGTATTTTATAGTTGTCTGTTTGGAATTTCAGAATATCTTGATGAAGAAACGTTGATTCCTAAAAATACCTCAGTCTTAATTCGTCGGGTACCAGGACGGCCACGTTTACCAATTGTTACTGAAACACAGTACTATCTCAAACCTTAAATCTCATTCCTGCTGTTAAATTTTTCACAATTAATCAGTCGTGGTGTTTGTAAATTTTTTAAAACTGCTAGTCATAAATGTGTATATATTGCCACAACCAGAAACTGCATTGTACGTATGAGATAAATTATGTTCTTGAGTTGCAACCTTCTTATGTTCTTTGCAGACAAAAGGTGGAAAATAAGGTAATGGAGTCTGAACCTGAAAACAGAAGCTTACCAGCTGAAGATGCATCTGCCATCAAATATGTCAGTCCCTTTCATTTTTCTTTTTGTCTTTTTGAACAATTCAACTGCAATTTTTTCGAAATTGAGCTCTTTATACCCCATGACAGCCTGAAGATTCAGATTGGGATGAGTTTGGTAATGATTTGTATACAATTCCTGATCAAGTGCCTGTTCAATCAAGCAACATAATTCCAGAGGCTCCTGCTCCTAACAAAGCTGATGAAGACAGTAAGATTAAAGCCTTTGTTGATACTCCAGCCTTGGATTGGCAACGGTTAGTAGATTATTATCCTTTCCTTAGTTGTGTCATACAGTGCATGGAGTCATGACAAAATGGAAAGAAGTATATTGATAATAAATGATGGAACAGAACTTACTTATTCTTTCCTACCTGCAAGAAAAAGTCTATTCCCACCTCTTCAAGAGGAAATGGTTATTCCATGTTTTTTCCTACCGAACAAATACCTTGTTATCTAATGATGGGGAGAATGTAATGAGACGGGATTGGACATAATGGAATAAAGATTGAATTTAGAAGGTTTTCATTTTATTGTTCAAGGAATTCATAAGTGAATGGAATTGTAAGAAGATTGGTACCAATATGTCAAGTGCATATCATACCTCCATAATCAGGGGAGTGAGGGAAGAGAAAAAAAAGGTGGATAATGAAATGAGATGGTATAAACTAGCATCAGGTTCCATTCCATTTCACACATTTTTTAAAACACAGACAATCATTGGCAGCTAAGGTCATTCCATATCACACCATTCCATAAATTCTAATATAGCCTTAGGTGTCCCATTTCTGTGGAATATTTTTTTCCATGTAGCCAAATCTGTTAGTTTTTGTGAAAACATTTTCATCTTCGCTTTATTATATTTTTGTTGATTTTAATTTTTAAAACTTTGGCATGCAGTCAAGGTTCAGACTTTGGCACTGGTAGAAGCTTTGGAAGGGGTACAGGTGGACGGATGGGCGGTGGGCGTGGTTTTGGTGATTCTCTTTGCCTATTCTATATTCATATACTTTTAGTTACTTGCTATGTTTGATACAAACAATTAATATGTTGATCACAACTGATGCTCATTTGATTGGTGAGGTTTGGCAGGGATGGAGCGGAAAACACCTCCACAAGGCTATGTATGTCACAGATGCAAGGTCCCTGGTATGTTGATGTTTCTGAACTTTCTGATCACCCTCTGTTTGCTAATTGCTGCACTGTAATGTCAGTTTTTTCTCTGCTTACTTTTTTTAACCCACTTTTGTCTAGGACACTTTATTCAGCATTGCCCAACAAATGGTGACCCAAATTATGACATGAGAAAAGTCAAGCAACCTACTGGTATTCCAAGATCCATGCTGATGGTAAATCCACAAGGCTCCTATGCTTTACCAAATGGTTCAGTAGCTGTCTTGAAACCAAACGAGTAAGTTCACCTTCATTATGCTTGTCCGTTCTGTCATATGTAGGCATGTAGTTTAATCATTTCCTTGCAAACAGGGCTGCTTTTGAGAAAGAAATAGAAGGGTTACCATCAACACGTTCAATTGGAGACCTACCACCTGAGCTCCATTGTCCCTTGTGTAATGATGTTATGAAAGATGCTGTACTGACAAGCAAGTGTTGCTTTAAAAGCTTTTGTGACAGATGTAGGTTTTTCAATCGTCTGCTGTATTTGTTGTTTTCAGACTTTGAATATTATGCTAATGTTTCAGAATTTGAACAGTTTAAATAATGTTTCAGAAGCTATTGTGTAAAAATATTTTCTTGAAGTAATGTGATGTTATTCCAAAAATTCTTCAGGTATTAGGGACTATATTATCTCCAAGTCTGTTTGCGTATGTGGTGCAACAAATATTCTTGCAGATGATCTCTTACCCAATAAGACGCTAAGAGATACCATCAATCGAATATTGGAGTCAGGCAATAGCAGTGCTGAAAATGCTGGGAGCACTTTCCAAGTTCAAGGTTGTTGAAACTATTATGATGTCTCTTGAGCTATTATTGACTATCATTGTGCCAATGTTTACATTTTTACTTTATGATTGTGATTTCAGATATGGAATCTGCTCGATGTCCGCAGCCTAAGATTCCATCCCCAACCTCATCTGCTGCGTCCAAGGGTGAACTAAAGGCTTCGCCTGTTAATGAAAAACCAACAAATATACAGGAAACAGCTGATGATAAAAAGGCTGTTTCTGCTCCACAGCAGACCTCAGAGCAAGTAAGGAACCTCAGGGTTGCTGATGTATCTGAAGCTACTCATGAGTCTATGAGTGTGAAAGAACCAGCCTCACAAGGGAGTGCTCAGCAGGTTGAGGAAGAAGTGCAGCAGAAATTGGTTCCTGTTGAGGCTGGTAATATACTTTTTTGCACCCTTATTTTTATCTAGTATGATTTAGATAGAAAAAATTTGAGATGAGGCACCTTTGCTCGGGCCTGAGAAAATCTCTTATTTGTTGTGGGTGATCTCATTTATATTTTAAACTTTGCAGGAAAGAAAAAGAAGAAGAAGAAAGTCCGTTTGCCTCCAAATGGTAAATCTGAAGTTCTATGACAATATCCGAATTTGTAGATTTTTTCCATGGATTCAGTGACAGAACAACATTTAGTGATTGAGGGACATACTGACTGTTTCTAATAATTTGAAATAACTTTTTATTTATGTTGCAGATTTGCAGTGGAAAACTCCTCATGACTTTGGGGTTGAGAACTACATGATGCCAATGGGTCCACCTCCAGGCTATAATTCGTACTGGAATGGTATGCAACCAATGGATGGATTCATGGCACCTTATGGGGGTCCAATGCAAATGATGGGCTATGGTCTTGGTCCTCTGGAAATGCCATATGCAGGTGGTATGCCACAAGACCCATTTGGCATGCAAGGTTACATGATGCCTGTTGTTCCACCTCATAGGTACAGTACATATTAGTTATTTTAAAATTGCAATTCGGCACTTTTCTGCCCTCATGCTCACACCAGACACATGTCCTGGACACAATGGGACTTTTTGGGAACTTCTTCATAAGTAATTGAAAGATAGAAAAATAACAAGGAAAAATGAAATAAGTCTCTTCTTCAAGTTAATTGGTGGAAGCTGTCTCAGATTACAAAAATTAATTATAACTCATGAAGAAGTGTATTTTACATTTCCTTCTTTTCTTCTCTTAGTGCTTATGGAGTAGTTTACCAAACAGGTTCTATGTGTCTTGTTGATTGTGAAGGAGAGATTTGAGATTATAGATTGAACTCTTCTGATGAATTTGGTTGCATGTTTGTCTGATCCAACATCAATAAATGTTATTTAGAATGTCTAATAGTAGTATAATAATTTATGACTGTTTTCAGGGATCTTGCTGACTTCGGTATGGGAATGAATGTTCCACCTCCAGTTATGAGTAGGGAGGAGTTTGAAGCCCGGAAAGTTGATATGAGAAGGAAGCGCGAAAATGAGAGACGGACTGAAAGGTACTTAAAACACTTTTTGATGGCTGGTTGCCATGTTCTGATATATATGTTGAATAAGTTTGATTCACCTTCACCTTTAACTTATTTGTCAACTACATGAAATGTTTTCAAGACATTATCATGTGGCTTTTGATCCTTGTAATTTTTTATAAGAAAATTCAACTTCTTGCATATATTCATCAGTGTTTCACATTAGCAGTTTTCATAATGTTTCTTGACTAAGGAGATTAGGATTGATTTTTTTACTTTTTCTATAATTATAAAGTGAATTTATGATTACTGTCAGCTCCTCCCTCCAAAATAAAGCAAATGGGTGATATGTTTTGGTAAAATAATTAAGAAAAACCTACACATGTTATACTCGTGTTAATGTTTCATAAATTTAGTAGCCAAAATTTTAAATAGTTCTCTGAACTTGTCCCAAATTTTGTTTCTCTGTTTTTTAATGAGTTTATTTTCTTCATTGAACAGAGACTTCTCCAAAGATCGAGACTTTGGTAGGGAAGTGAGCAGTGTTGGGGATGTTTCTTCAATGAAATCAAAAACTGTATGTGCTTTTTATTGTCTTAATTTTTGCTCTCTTTTTCTTTGGAAATTTATGTGCCATTTACTTTCTTGGGTTTTTCTACCGGAACTTTGGCCAGAAACATCAAACCTGCAAAAGAGTATTGATTGCACAAGATAATCCCACTTGTTATTTTTATTCCTTAAATCATAGTAATCTTCGGAAGTTAATTATTTTTGCTTCATTTATTGATAAAAAGGTTTATTCAATTGACACTCTGGTTGATGATAAATTGATTGAGGGAACAATGCCTATGCGTCTCACCATAATCCTGTGATCAACAGCAGCCAATTGGTTTAAAACCAAAGTAGTGGGATAGAGTTGCATTGCGCTGCATGATTATGGTGCAATGGTTTTGTTACATTTTCATGATCCCCTATTTTCAGCATCTCTCCCGTGATCATTTATTCTTACTTATGAAAATGCTTTAAACCATAAAATAGATATAAATATTTGAAGTCTTAATTTTATCTTTGCAATTGAAGCTTTTTCTTTTCAGGCTGTGATTAGGTGGGGCTGTTTGTTAATAGTTTTTCTTTTTCTTTTCATTAAATACTAAATGGGCTAAACCATGGGTGAAAGATTCCAGTGGTAGTTTACACTACATTCCCTTTACACTACATTCTCATTCAAGGGGTGGCTAAAGGATCTTGTGGGGCATTAATTTCTAGCCTAGCGGCAACGTTTTCTCTTTTATGTCCTTGGTTTGGATTCAGCTGGCCCGAGAATTTTTAGATGTGTACATCATTCATGTAATATTTAATAAATCCACCTTTTGTGGGCAACGAATGGTCCATGTAATGTTTAGTAGAACATTGTTTTAAAGCTCTTTTAAAACACTATTTGGTTCGCTGTTTCTAAAAAAAAAAAAGTTAATTATAATTACGGTTGAGGGACACGTTTTTGGAAGCTGGAGAATTCATTTGCTTGTAGAGTCTTTAGCCCGAGTTGTCTAATGGGCCATGGTGATTAAGTGGGCTGGTGTTGGGCAACTGCCCTTGTGCACAAAAATCGAACGAGCTTTAAGTTATTACGGCTTTGATATTTTTTTTATTTATATAACTGATAACGAACGAACCAAGGGGTTGTACTTGGCGTTTTCATGTTTATCTCCTGTTGGTGCACCTTGCTTATTTATTTTGTTGTTTGTACGATTTCCCAATAAAGTTAATGTAAATTGATAGATGAATTTAATTACTACTTTTGGATGCTCCAAAATAATATAAATGTTGGATACTGTGCAAATTCATTCAAACAAAATTTATGAAAGCACTTAGCTTGCATTTTCTTTTGTAAAGAAAAGACAGAAATATTTCTCTTTTAAAATCGCATATTTTTTATATTTTAAAAGTTGTCCTTTTGAAAGATTTGCATTTTATTGTAGTCTGTTTCTTATTTTATTTTGGGTAATTGCTGGTCGCCACTGATTTATTTATGTTTTCACTAACTATTTTGGTCATCAAATGTATTTAATAACAGTTTTATGCCTTTGCACTACATGGTCCTAACATTTGGGCTTTTTTATTTTGGTGCAGAAATCAATTCCACCGTCCTCGGGCAGCGATTACCATCATCACCGTTTCCGTTCAGAGCGGCAGTCACCAGAACGTTCTCCGCGGGAGCTCGAACCTCCGCGTCCAGCCAAGAGAAAGTCCGACCACCATTCAGATCGTGAACGGGAAGAGAGGGATCGCGACTACGAGCCCGAGCGTCACCACCACCACCGCCATCACCGTTCAGAATCCTCGTCTAGAAGGTCATCAGAACCAGTGGCGAAAGCTCCATCCAACGCGGCATCAGCGGCTGCTGATCGCAAGCAGAAGGCCAGCGTGTTCTCCCGCATAAGTTTCCCGGCTGAGGAGGAACCCCCCAAGAAGAGAAAGGTCACTGCTTCTTCGACAACGGAACCAGCCACCGCTGCTACTGCTCCCAGTGCCTCTTCGGCACACCTCAAGACAGTGTCGAACGGTTATTACGAAGGGAGGAAGAGCAGCACCGTTGCGGATTACGAATCGAGCGACGATGAGCGGCATTTCAAACGGAGACCTTCGAGGTATGAGCCGTCTCCTCCGCCTCAGGCGATGGAGTGGGAGGAGGAAGGAAGGCATTCCAGAGGTTCGAGGGAGCGCAAACATAGGTGACATTTTTTATACTGTTGTGACGGCAGCCATTTGCATACGACGAAGGAAACGAACACTGTAAATGCCAGCGCTGCTGTGCATGTTCTTGCTCTGAGAGTCGATTGCCATCAACTTCTCGCTTTCAAACCTTGAAATAAACTTCTTTTTGGAAGGAATTTATTTCATTGTAACTTTGCTTCCCGTCAATTTTCAATAATTTCGCCATGTAAAATTATCACTTGTTATTCAAATCTAATGAAATAAATCTCTTTATTCGGCTATCACGTTATGTTTTCTTATTTTATGATTTCAGTTTTTAGTTAGTTTGTCAATTGCTTTGGCTATTTCACGTTTTATATTTCGTTTTTACCTTTTCAGACGATTAAGATGGATAGGAAATTATTTTTAAAGTTCTCAAGTTTTTCTCTACAAGTTTTACAAAAGCACCAAAAAAGTTATTTATTTCAGTACAGAATGTCATTTAATATTAGTAACTAAGAATAATTTTATTTTGTTGTCAAACTTTTGAGAATATATAATAAAATGGAGACGATATTACACGTCACGGAAAGAACACTTTTTTCTTTAAAGTTTAGTAAAGAAAGTAAATATATCCGAAGAAATGGATTGAGTCACAATTAAACAGATAAATCTTTAGTTTAGTAATTGGAGTTTCAATTTTAATCTTATTTAAATATATTCTATAAAATATTAATTAAGGATAAAATACATTTAATATAATGAAATAGTTTGAAATGTAAAATAATTTATTCCTAAATTTTTCAAAAATAACTAAAGATGATGTAATAGGAAGAGAATTCATGTATACAGTAAAAAATTTTATATATATATATATATATATATATATATATATATATATATATATATATATATATATATATATACTTGTTAACGTATAAAAAATGGATTAATGTTTTAACTTTTAAACAAACTTTTTATATATATAAAATAATAAATTGAACTATTTAATTAATTAGATAAATATTTTAATTTGATAACTTGCACAATTCACAATTTGAATTGAGGATAAGTTTTTGAAGTTAGTTGTTTTTGTTGGATTATAACCCTTTATCTTGTTCATTATTATTGGTGTATCGTCCAGGAAATAAAGAATATTATGACTTAATGTTATCATTATTTTCTTCTATCTTATTATCATTGGTAATCTACTTAAGGTTTCAAATTCAATTTTGACAATTAAATAAGAGAGATGCGCTCGTTACGAAACTTAATCCTACACCTTTCAGTAAACGTCAACCATGCACCACTTGTGCTATGTGTTCCAACTATACTTCTCAAGTTAATAAAATAGTGGATTATTTTTTTTATTATGTATATTAAAATCAAATGAATTATAATTAAAAGAAATATAATTTTATGTATTGTGTTATTTGAATATATCAATATACAATAGGATTATAATTTAAATTATAAATATTATTTTTAAGAAAAAAATTATATCTATATATATATATATAATAAAATAAAAAAACTATTAGATTAATTGGTAAGATTGACTAATATCTTCAATTATAATGAATCTATTGTCTTGATCGCTTTAGTATGGGTAAAATATGATGATTGACTTGTTTTATCATTTTTAATTAATTTATTCTTCAAAAATCCTTTGAAATAAAGAAAAAAAATATTAATTTATCTTTGTAGAAAAGATTGTGTGTAGGTTTTTACTAAATAATTGAGTTGAATCCACCTTCACTTCAATCCTCCTTTTCGAAAATGCAATTATATTTGACATAAATGTGTGTTTATCCAACATGAACCTTTGTTAAACAGACTATCTTATATTATCACTAAAGATGACAATCTTTTATATGAAAACTCAAGGTCATATGAAGCACTTTAACCAGATACCTTTAGTTAATATTATCTCAACATCAATTGTGATAAGACCGACATAGGTTAGAGAGTTACTTTTAATTGATTAGTGAATTGTCAATATTAAAAGCTAAACTGTAATATAGAATATACTTTAAAGTATCATAAAAAAACATATATTTAAAAAAATACTATATTAAAAAAACTTAAATAAAATATTTAAAACTAAAAATTATTTAAATAAAATATTTATAAATTTATTTATCTATTGTTTGTTAATATACAAACTTAAATAATAAAAAATATTTTTGTGTGACATAATAGAATTATAATTTTTTTATTTTTTATTTTTCTCTTTCTTCATTTATTTTTATTTTATTTTTTGTTCTTATGCTTGTTTTCCTTATTCTCTTTCTATCTCCTATTCCTCTATTTTTCATTTTATTATTTTAATTAAAAATACTAAAATAAAATTTTATAAAATAGGATCTTTATTATTTAAAAAAATATATTTAAATTATCCATAAATATCATAATTTAATATATTATATTTTAAAAAAATATTATATTATAAATATGAGCTATTACAAAGTATTATTTTATAATTATTAAGAACAAATAAATATTTATTTTAAAGTAACTTTTAAATAGATATATTTTTTAAAATTATCTAATATGATCATCATATCTCAACCTAATTATAACTAAATTAAATTACTAAATAAAAAATAAATTTAACTCACAAATATTTAAAAATTTTTAATTAGGTGAGTAATTGATTTATTATAATAAAATAATTTAAAAATAATTATTTATTGTCATAATAAATAAAATTATTTACTGGCATTAAAATTTTAAATAATTAGTTGATATTTTGAGTTTTAAATATTAATTTTTTAAACAATATATTAACACAAATTTATTAATTTTAGTATAATAGTTTTAATTAAAAGAAAAAGTGATAGAGATGAAAGAAAATTAAAAGATGTGATATACATAAAAGAAATGAGAGAGACAGAATAAAATATAAAAAATTATAAGAAAAAAAAAACTATGTCATAATAAACAAATTTTAACAAAAATTATAATAAAATGTTTTTTCTTTTAAAATATATTATCTATAAGATTCATAACTTGTTTTCAGCATAATTTCACCTAATCTCATTATCCAAAACCTTCTCATAACTCTTAAATCTTTCATCTCAAATTAACCACTAAATAGCCACTTTAACCTTTTTATCTTAATCATCTTTCTAGATGCAAAAGCATGTAGTCTACATATAATAATACATCGATGAATGAATCATCATCCATTTTTTTATATAGTTTCACCAATAATAAGGAATCCTCTGGGCCTTTAAGAATTAATAAAATTGGTCGAATTTATTTTATTGTTGCTTATGAAATTGTTTGAGACACGTCCAACTATTTAAGCTTCGTGTTTGACATTATTAAACAAGTAAGATTGATGAATGTGTGCTTTAATTACATCAGAAAATATATTTTTTGTTGTTCAGTATAATCTTTACCTATTGGACGAACCTTGAACTTAAGGTGAACAACAAATGCATTAGATGTACGTACTTCATTGGATAATATGCCATTAAACGCCTCAAGAATTGATTTTCTTATTGAGATCTTTTGCAACAAATAACATTTATCCATGTATGTTACGGGAGTCAAACTGAACTAATCCCATTTACACAATTTACTCAGGAGTATGTTGAAAATAAATAAGTTTAACATAGTGATTTGTGATTTTACAATGAGTAAGAAATTTTATAATTCATTTAAATTCATTATGAATTAGTACATTAGGTGGATTGACTTACTAACTAAATATATATATATATATATATATATATATATATATATTAATAAATACGATTAAATTGTGAGACTAAAATGTAAAACATTATAAGACAATTAAAATGCGTCAAATGTTATAATACAATTAAAGTATAATGAAATGGTGGCAGCGAATGCAATAGTATAATAAATATAGAGGTGCAAAAAATGTTATAGTACGAGTGAAACATGAATTGAAACGTTATGGTATAGTGACACGTTAAACACTATGATACGACTTAAACACAACAGATGCTGTGATGCGACAAACACGATGACGTAGGAATGCGACAAATGGATGATAAGTGACTCAGGTGCAACAAATATGATGGTGCGACAAATAATTGATGATAAGTTTGAGTGAGAGTTTGAGATGACATAGTATAAGTAAAAAGGAATAATAAAATCAATTAGAATTACTAAATTATTGTAATTCTTTTTAAAATTTAAAATGATTCACCATAATATGCTCAAATCTAATTAATTTGTAGGTTAAATAGATCAAGTATATTTTAAACTCATTATCGATAAATATAAAAAAAAAAAATTGAATCCCACCCCACTCAAAAATTACTTACAAATTACAAAGACATTAAATCCTCTAATTTATGCTAATTCACTAACTCATAAGAAACTTTATTTCCTCATGCATAATAATTGTCCACTTGTTTGCTTCAGTAAATACAAATTGGTTTGTGAAATGTAGATGGATCATACAACAACATTTTTCCGACACAACATAAAACAAAATACCATCAAATTCATTTCCTTTTCCCTAAAACATGTTGCCTTTTAGATATTTTGAATAGTGGTTTGATGATGAAACTATTGTTTTTGCATTAAATGGTACGATACAAGTCCACTAATTGCTCTTGGTCTGCTAGACAATTCAACTAAAGGTTGTTGATTTTGACATCCAAAAATGTTCACCTCAAAAACATCAAATTCACCTTCCATTTTTTAAATGATTACCAATTTCTATTCTTTTACTCCATTTCCATAGGCACCTTGAAATATTAAATTAATTATAATATATGTTTCAATATAAAACATGCCATTCAAATTAATTTACACATGTATTTTCAAGTAAATATTCAAAATTATAATTTATAAAATAATTAAACTTAAGATGATCAGGTGACCCTTCAAGGAACATTTTCAAATGAACGCTTTTTTAATAATGATGACTATAAATATATAATCAAAATGATGTCAAATTTTGTGAATCTAAGAGTCCATTGTTGAACTTTGACATATAATCTAAACTTTTATTTAAAATACAAAATTCATCATTTCAAGTGTTACCCACAAATTTTATTTGACTTTTTTTAAATCAAGTTATCCACATATATTTATTAGTAAGAAAAATATTGACAATTGAAGAATTGTTTCCAATTTAAATTTATAGATTTGTGTTTTTATCCAAATTTATGAAATTAAAATTATTTTAAAATAGTTTAATATTATTTAAATTTATACTTAGTATTATAACTTTTTTGAACTAATAATATATTATAAAATTGATCTTATTTATACTAATATTTGATCATACATTTTATTTAAATTAATAAAATTATCTGAAATATATATTTAAAAAATAATTTATAAACAATCTTATTTAAAATAAAATAAAAAATATTGGTGAATGAACATTCATGCATTAAAAAAAAAATTCAATAGTTACTTATTTTTTCTCAAACAAATATCGGTAATAAGACGGATAACGAATATATATTTTTTAGATGCCCATTACCATTTTACACCTATGCCTGTTCGTATCAAGTTATAAAAAAACAAATCACTTACTCATACATCATGTGTACAGGAATTGATATTTATCTAAAATGATTTGAGAATTAATTTGAGTAAATCAGAATCAACATAATATATTTTTCAAAAATATTATTATTATTATTATTTTTATTAAATTTTAACAGTTACAATTAATATAATATATAATTAAATTTAACTGTTAAATTAATTAAAATTACATTTTATATAAATTTATTGAATGATTTAATAATTAATATAATTTATATCGACAATATTATTACACGATTCAATAAATTTTTGAATATATTATACATATTTTTTTAAATATATATTAAAATAAGGGACGAAGAAAGATGAAGAAAGAAGAAGAGAGGGGAAAGGTGAGAATAGCAAACCCCTTTTAAGTGGTTCAAATATAACGGGCTCGACCCTATTCTTATGAACTTAGGTCATACAAATGTAAGGGACGGCTGAGATCTATTCATCTTTGGGTTAAGCAGGGGGTGGCGTCTATAAAAGTTAATAGAGGAACCCAAAACCCTAACACTTTGCTACTGCGACTGCGCGCTTCCGCACGATGGGTATTTCCTTGCTCCGTCATCTTTCTCTCCCTTCATTGCTAGCTTACATATTGGTTTTCTGATGAATGTTTCTATTCGATCTTCTATTTTTCAATGCGAAACGTTGTTCATAGTTTTCATTGTCATATCCTCTATGGGAAGATGGTCATTGTTTCATTCCGTCTTGGAAGATCTTCGGTTCTTTTAGTAAGATTTAAGGAACTGTAACTATTACAAAACCGGTCTAGGAGTGCTACAACACGCACACACTTATATATTATTGTGTTTCGTTTTAATTTTTGTTGATTGGGCTGACTCGATTTTAATTTATTATGGTATACTCTGATTCTAATTGGCAACTTTAGACCTAACTTTTCCTTTATGAACCCTAACCGAATGAATGATTAATGACATGTGTGTGGAGACGTTTTGTTGCCTGTTTCTGTTTGGGTTTTGTAAGGCATTTTTTTTTTTAGTTATTCTAGGCTAGATTGCCGTCATGGTATTTTGTTTTACAAGGGAGTCGGCTTTAGTTGCGTTGCAATGAATGATCATTGATGAGTTGTATTGATTTATGTGGCAATAGGTGCCTACAAGTATGTTTCGGAGCTTTGGCGCAAGAAGCAGTCCGATGTTATGAGATTCTTGCAGCGAGTGAGGTGCTGGGAGTACCGACAGCAACCTTCAATTGTTCGTTTGACAAGGCCTACTCGCCCAGACAAAGCTCGCCGCCTGGGTTATAAGGCTAAGCAGGTGAGAATAATTTTATATGTTTGACACACTTTTAAGTAGGTTATTTCTTTGTGTTCAATCTTCTATTGTAATTTTTTCTCTGTCAATATTAGTTATAAGTGTTTTCAACAAATAAAAGACATTTTAAACTGGATGTTTACAAAGCAGTGCGATTTGTGCGTAAGTCCTTGAAGTCTTCCTTATTTAAATGTCTTGAGGAAATGTGAATAATGCATAATTGAGTTAGGTAAATTTATGAGAGTAAAAGACAGAGTGTTGCTTAAGTTGTGTCCCGATCATTGGATAAAGAAATTTACTCTAGAAGAAATTTAGTTGTATTACAGTGAGAATTGTATGTAGTTATTGTCCTATTCAAATTTCGTGAAAATGTGACATAACCGCCTAACTCTTGTAGAACTATCATGAAACCAACCTTTTGAATAGTAAATAGTAGAGTTAGGATAATTTCGATTGAATCACAGAACATCGTGCTTGTATTTTTTTCTTGTGGAACTTCCATATTTACTAATTATTGGGTTCTTTTTCAGACCAGGTATTGTATAATGACCAGTTGGTCATCTGATGTTGTTTTCTTTCTTACAAACTTTGCTTTCGACCATTATTATTAATTATTAATTGTTACTTGACAAGTACTTATATTTTTTTCTACCATGCAATTGTTCATTGGCATACACATTTTTTTTTATTACTATCAGCTAAGCCAGTCCGTATAGAGCCTTCACATCCTGCATCATTTGAATCTTGTGATTATATTTTAATAATATTCCAGGGTTATGTCGTTTACCGAGTACGTGTTAGGAGGGGTGGCAGGAAGAGACCTGTTCCCAAAGGTATTGTTTATGGGAAGCCAACCAACCAAGGTGTTACTCAACTGAAGTTTCAGCGTAGCAAGAGGTCTGTTGCTGAGGAGCGAGCTGGAAGAAAGTTGGGTGGCCTCAGGGTCCTCAATTCTTACTGGGTGAATGAGGTTAGTTAACATATCATACCGTCTTTGAAAATTAAACCTGCTTATAAATTATTGAATGGTTGGTCTGATGCAATTTCGACGTTTTACAGGACTCGACCTACAAATATTTTGAAATTATTCTGGTTGATGTTGCCCACAGTGCTGTAAGAAATGATCCAAGAATCAACTGGCTCTGCAATCCAGTCCATAAACACAGGGAACTTCGTGGTCTTACTTCTGCTGGAAAGAGCAACAGAGGTTTACGTGGCAGAGGACATCTGTACCACAAAAATCGTCCATCCCGCAGGGCAACCTGGAAGAGAAACAACACCCTTTCTCTTCGTCGTTACCGCTGATTTTCTTGCAGTTAGCGTATGTTCCATTTTCCCAATATTTGGAGTGCATTATATGTAAGACTAGAAAATTATCAGTTTTGAACCCCTAAATCATGCCTTTTTTTTTTTTCACCCCGAATTGCGTATTAGTGGTAAACAAGAGAGATTAATGATGTATTTTTTTTTCTATTTGCTGGAAATGTTTTTATTATTTTTTTGTCGTACTTCCTCCTGCGATATTCGTCTTTTGATTACTTTTGGAGTACGTTTATGTTTTTTGATTGGTACTCTTTGCTTTGTTAGTAATTCCACCATAAGCTTCTGAGGGAGGGACGAAATAGAAAAGCATAACGGCGTAAATTTACATTATAGTTTTAAAATTTATGGGTAAATGATATGATATAGTATAAATTACGGTAGATTAAATTTTAAAATGTTCAGATACTATTGTTTCCTTTAACAATAATTTAGTTCATCTGTAAATGGATCAACTTTTCAAATGTGTGATTTCTTACTGAGTAATAAATATATTGTCGTTAAAGTATGTGTTAGCATGCCGCCTAAATTACAAATGATGATTTTAGGACAAATGATTTTATTAATAGAGTCCAGGTCGGTCAAGTATGTAATGTAAAAATTTTAGGTTTTGATAGCCGCTGGGTTAAATAATACATAACTTCTGAGTAATTATTTGTTGAGCGGTGATAATTTGACAAAAATTATACAATCTTTAAACAATTTATTTTTATTAATATAATAATCTATAAAATAGAATAATTTAATAAAAATAAAAAATAAAATAAAATAATTATTATAATATTAAAAGAATTCACTTTTATTAATATAATAATTTATAGAATAAAATGATTTAATAAAAATAAAATAAAATAATTATTATAATATTAAAAGAGAGTTATTTAAAAGAGTTATATGGATTTGAGTTTAAAAGTATCATTTTCCTTATTTTTTTTATATTAAAAGGTATGTTATTAAAATTAGAGGAAGTTTGTATGCGACTTATTGATATATTTATTGTTATTTAATTTAACAATTTATATTCTAAGTATAATAGTACATCTTAAAGATTTAATTTATGAATATAGATGGTGTCATCGGGCGAATATGATTCAAAATAGTGGTCAATTTTGGTCGACTTTCGAGGATGATTAATACAAGGAACTACTTATTTATAACGTTGAGATGTCTTCAACCATGATTGTTTCTCAACAAATGTGCTTTATGTATTAGGGCGTTGAATATTTTTTGCAGGATGAAACCCAACATTGATCCTCACAGCTTCTTTAGAGGCATTAAAATTTATGGTAGTTTGATTAAACATGTCTACTTGAGGTATTGGGACGACGAAATGTGTAAGTTATGAATATAATGAGATGGTTTGATGTTTGAAGTCTTTAGTTCATTTTTACTCGTCCCGTTTTTAATTTGTCTAGATTATTCTATTTTTAGTCTCTTAATTTGTTCTGTTTCATCTATGTTAATCTATGAAATTAGTTTGTTGTTTAATTAATAAAAAAAATATTTATTGTAATATAGTTAATTATAAAAATAATATATAAAGTAAAAATTTATAAAAAAAATTAAAAAAAAGTTTTAACTCTTTTACTCATTATAAACATTAAGATGTAAGAATTTATTAATAAAAAATATTTAAATTTTTCCATATAAAGATATTTAAAATTTTTAATATAAAAATGTAAATTTTACAAATTATTTATATATATTTATTATTATCTTAAATTATAATTTATCGAATTATTAATAAATAAATGATAATCTTATTATTAAAGTTATTAAAAATATTAATTTAAAAAATTAAATTAACTTTTTAAAAATTAGAATGAAACAACCCGTGCTTTGAGGGACTATCACGATTTTCAACTGTCATTACTGTAACAAACCAGTTCCTCCTGAGCCGGAACAAACTAATTCGTTTTGGTATCCTGTAATTGATTTGACGTGTTTCTGAAATATTCTAGGACGCTTGTTTGGTTAATACATCAGAGTATCGGTCTAAACATGTAATGCATAGCATCTCCTTCCTACGAAAAGATTCCAGCATGTTTATTTGGCTAAAACTTTTAGCTCTCACTTATTACGTTCTACTGTTTCAGTTTACAGAAAATAAGCAGTGGAAATAGAAGAAGATAGGCGGAGCAAATGTAACTTTCACAAACCCCTCAGCACTTTTCACCACGGAGTGATAACAGGTATCCCTACGTGAAAGAACACAAGAACAGAGACGCCATAACTTTCAATTGTAAAAACTCAAATTCTAAGTTCATTCATAACTTCCTGAATAGTAACAAATCGACCGTATTCTATAGAGAGCTGTGCTGCAACTCCCATAGCAACAGATACTAATCCATCTTGGAGATCTACACTAGGCGCCTTTTCTCCTTTCGCTCTGATTGCAGACAAGAAGTTCAGGTGTTCTAGATAGCTAGACCCATGATGTAACCCATCATATCTGCAGAGGCCAAAATTCCAAATTGAAAATTCAAATCAAACAAGGGCCACTTTCATTTCATTTCACCATCTTAAAATTTAGCTAATTGATGACATTTAACAGAGAGAAGCAACCTACTTTATTCGGTGATCCTCAACTTTCAAAGTCTGGACATCATTTCGCCCCCCCTCTCGTGTACCAAACCGCACAACACTCTCAGGAACAAAGGCTTCTCCCTGTGACAAATGGTTAGGTTGAATTGCTAACATCTTGCTAAAATTTACTCAAGAAAGAAACTCATGCAAGAAAGACAGATTGTGTGTATATTATAGTTTAGTATTTAGGATTTAAGGTTTATTCATACGTTGACTGAAGCATAACTGACCAATTTTAGATATATCTTAATCAAGAATTCGCCACAAGAAATACAATTTAAGATAGTGTAAGTCAGTGAATGGATGATAGGAAGAGAATTTTACCTTTCCAATATCACCTACAACAGATATTTCTTGCTCATTTTTACTCCCTTCGGCAAACATACAAAGGTCAAGCATTCCTCGAGAACCATTGTCAAATTCAACAATAACATATGCATTGTCAATGATATCTGGCACCTGTCGAAAGTAACCCAGTGAATCACATGCATGATTTATTCCACTTAGAACTGTGACTAGTCCATAATTTGTATATGAAAAAAGTCATAATCTGTATTTCTTCATCAGACAAGGTCAACACCAGTGAATCTCGACTCTCTCTTATCAAATATTGTAAATAATCGATCACATCAAGTTCTAAAATTCTCCCTAGCTTGTGAGTGATGGATGAACAAATATACATAATATAATGTTTTTTTTTCCTAAAACAGGTTGATATTTTAATTTGGTGGTTCTTCTGGATTATTACATTCATATTCAGGAACACTTCTACCCAGTATTATAAACAGGTTACCCTTTATGTATTTGTAAGACTATTTGGTTTGAATGCTTTTTGGTTCAAGGGATTATGCACTTTATTGGAGAAATGGAACCAAAATTCGTGCATTTTTCCTGTCTTAGATTAAGGAACATCGTACATATATTTATAATCATTATTAATCAAGGCAGCATACAGACTAACAGAAAGATTAATGTTTGAAACTTGGTCGTGGTAACTGAAGCGCAGCATCTAATCTACCTTTCCATCATATATTTCATCCTTGTGATTAACATCAATTGCTCCAGAAGCCATCACACGAACAGGATTTGCACCAACAAACAGCCTCATCAGATCAAAGAAGTGGCAACACTTCTCTACTAGAGTACCACCTGAGTTAATATTGAACCGATTCCAATTGTTCACCTATGACCAGTATCACTTTTCAGCTTGCTCACTTTGAGAACCCAAAACCATGTAATTTTCAAATTGTATTAAGTCTAACCTTAACCAAAAAAGGAAACCGGTGCTCCCTAATTGATACCATTCTGATTCGTCCAAGGTTTCCTCCCTGAATTATTTCTATCAGCTTTGCAACAGGTGGCATGTATCTATATTCCAGTCCAACTTGTACCAATATATCTGGTCTCTTTCTAGCAGCATTGATAACCTAATCCAAAGTAACACACAAGGACAGTAAATTAGTTATTAGTGCATTATGAAAAACTTGTTAGAGGATAAAAATGGCATAAAAACTACCTGATCAAGATTTCCAATAATAATTTTTTCTATTTCTAAATACACATTAGTCTAGTCTATAAAAAATTCTGCTGTCATATGATAACACCAAAGGAAATGACACAAGCATAGTTGATATCAACATCAGTCCTAGGTCGTTATTAAAATTACATTCTAACAGTTAAACCCATAAGCAGCAACTAATTTTATGAAAGGAATGCCAAACCTCTTTGCAGTGAGAGATTGTAGTGCACAAGGGCTTTTCTACCAGTACGTGATGGGGTTTGGGATGATTGATTATGTCCATAAGAATCCTATGATGGGTCATGTTAGGGGTGGATACCACCAAAACATCACAAAGTCCACTGTCCAACAGCTCCTGGTGACCTGAGAAAACCTTCACAACTTCTCATCTCAAGTTCATTCATTCATTCAACACACCATGCAGAGCTACTTCTCTCTTAAATGATATCCCTAAAGCAAATAGCTAGAGCAACTCATGACTTGTTTTTCACGTTGAAAAATGTAAATTATGAATTTATTGTATCATGTAATTAAACAACTCATGTCTAATTATATTGCAATAATTTATTTATTTTAATTTTAAACAACTTATTCTCTCCACTCTTTTTTTTTTTTTTTTTTTCTTTCATTCATTTTTAAGTTGTTTGATGAAATAATTAACAAAATTTTATAAACAACTTATCATGGCAGTTAGGATTTCTCCCATAAAAAGTAAATTCATACGATTACTATTTTACTCAAACATTTCAATAAACAAGATGTTAGCTTCCCAAATATTGAAAAGCCGTTCAAACTATTCTCAAACTTCGCTATTGACCTAGGAATTAAACCAATGAATATATTGACCTTCAAATTACTCACCGGATTTACTTATATAACCTAATAATTTAGGGACTACTTATTATTCTCAATTAAACTACCATCAGCGTTGTACAATTAGCCAAGATAATAGCAGATAGAACTTAGATGTAGCATTTTTAAATTCAATTCACAATAATAGAACAACAATACATCCACATAAATTTGTTCTACTAAATAAGGAAAGGGCAGGATGATGCTTATGTATAATCCTGGACTAAATAACTTTTTCTTATCTTTTTTTTTTTAATTTCATCTATTTATTATTTTTAGTGCTAATTTACTCACTTTTTTAAAGTAATTATCATTTTCGTCAAAACCGTTAAATTATTTAACCAAGAAAGTATCATTGTATTTGGTATTGATGTGTTCGTATTCAAGATTATGTGAAGGTAGGGATAACATCGACTTCCTTAGGGAAAAAAAAACGATAAAATTGACATTAAAAATAACAGTGTTAACAAATTGAAAAAGAAATGAAAAAAAGCAAGTTATTTAAGCATATTTATTCATAGTACCTTGAGAGGCCAATCGAAGGAGTGTGCTAAGTGAAGAGCGAGTTGTTGTGAGGGAACGTGAGGGTCAGCAACAGCGACGACAGCCACGCCTTCCGTGCGAAGGTGGTGCAAATTCACAAGATGCTCTCTACCCATCATTCCAACTCCGATGATTCCGTACTTCAAAATAGTACTTGCCATGGATTCTGAACACTTTTCTTCTGTTTGTTTAGGTTTTTACCAAACGTTATATCTTTTTGGCGTTGCCTTCTCTTTCTTTGTTTTTAATTTCTCTTCTTTATCCTGTTCCATTTTCGAAAATAATTAATTAGAATACAAGTTTCGTGATTCTCATCCAAGTAGACCATTATTACATAAAAGATCTTATTATATTAATGCTTTCTATAAACTAAAAAATACTTCACATTATTTTTTTTATTAAGAATTTTTATTTTTGTAGTAAAAAGTTTATCATTTGTTCGTTATTATTATAAAATCTGGGAAGAGTGAAAAATACTGATGAAATTATTAGTTAAAATTTATTAAAAATCATAAAATCATAAATGAGAATCGTTGTATAAAATTAGACACCTAATTTTCTTTTTCAATAAATTTTTATTAATAGTAAAAAGTTTCTTTACAATAATCTAAAAAAAAATGTTAGCAGTTTTCAGAAATACACTCCCTTGCTTGCGGATTAAATTGCTCGCTATAATTTCATTGTTACTTGTGTGATGAATCCATACAAGTTAAGGAGGACTTTTAAAAATATTTATTTCTGAATCTAGACAATAATATCTTCTCCTTGTTTATCTTCTTCCATTTCTTTTCTATAAATTGTAAAAAAGTATATTGTAAGTGCTGATTTTTCACTGAAAATTACGTAGTAAAAAATAAAGGAAATAATCACTACTCAATAAATTAATTCATAAAGGGATTTAAAATGGACAATACAGTCGGCATTGCATTTGTCTTCCTAAGTCTATTTTAAGGAAAAAGGACACATTCCAAAAGGAATGAACGGCAGCGCAATAAATTCTTAACGTACATGAAGTTGATCCCTTTTTACTATCACTAGAATATGTACGGACAATGGTGGTCTTTGAATGGTTTAAATTATAACGGATTGAACAAAAAATATTAATTCAGAATTATGTAAACTTACAAACACTAGTGATGGAAATAAAAACCATTTTGCTAACTAGTAATGGGGACAGATAGTAACATCCTGACCTTCACAAGAGAAAAGGCTTCCTTTTATCTCTCTTTTTTTCAGGTAAAATTAACAATTTATACTCTACCTTGGAGAAATTGAAGGAGCTACTCAAATATGGGAACCAAACTAAGACATGAAATAAAAGTTTGCTCTTTACAAATCGGCAGCTTTTGTTAAGAGGCTTCTATGCTTCTCATCGTTTAGACACCTTTATTATTTCTAAATTATAATCCTGTTGGAAATAACAATGATAGAGTAGTTGGCTGTATGAGTGACTCCCAGGGTTCTTTCAGATAGGATAAAGATGAATAGATACCCCATAATATTTGACCACCATATAAGTTCAGAAGGAAAGTGAAATAAAAATAAGAAGTGCTTAATAGGTATTTGTGATATTTAAGTGTCTTCAAAATGTTCCCCTTCCAAATATATTGTGGAGGTATTGGTCAGTGGAGTATAAGTTATTTTTTTCAGAGTAAGCACGTCTATATTTTGTATATGGTTCTTATTACTAATTTAAATTTATTTGTATTTATAAGTTACTGATCACTAGTGTTAATCTGCTTGGATCTGTTTAGACAAGGTAATCATCGGCTGACACCAACAATGCTTTCAAGAATTTTTTTTGAGTCATTGGGAGTTTCCTCTCCGTATTTGTTTATCATATAACAATTGAAAAATATAAAAATCATTTTATAATTTTAATTCATATTATTTATTTTTGTACATAATATATATGATCTTATAGTATTTTACTCTAACAAATCAGGATTAAATATAAGAAGTTCTGATTATACAATATTTTGTACCGCTATACAAACTTATAATTTAGCTAATCAAATATCTTTATCCCAACAATCCCCCTCAAGTTCGTAAATGGATGTCATGCATTCTCAACTTGTCCAATAATCTCCTAAAAATCTGACTTGTCACAACTTTGGTAAGAATGTCTGTCAACTGATCTTCAGATCAAATATTTGACAATTCCAAAATATTTTTATCAAGTTTTTCCTTGATGAAAAATCTATCAACCTCCACATGCTTCATCCGATCATGTAAGACAGGATTGTGAGCAATGTCGCGTGCAACTTTATTATTACAATACAACTGAATGAGACGTGTATGTGCATACCCTAAATCCTGGAGAAGTAGTCTGAGCCACAAACCTTCACAAAGTCCAAGAACTATTCCTCTAAGTTCAGCTTCTGCACTGGATCTAGCTATAACTTTATACTTCTTGCTTTTCCATGTGACAAGATTACATTCTACAAATGTAAAGTATCTAGAGGTTGATCTTCTATCATCAAGAGCACATGCCCAATCTGCATCAGTATAAACCATCACATCCTTGTAGTTGGAGTTCTTCTTGAACATAACTCCTTTTCCAGGAGCAGCTTTTATATACCTTAAAATCTGGATTGTGCATGAACTGACTAACCACACTAAGAGCATAAGCTAAATCTGACCTAGTGTGTGAGAGATACATCAATCTCCCTGCAAGTCTCTGATATCTTCCCTTGTTAGTTGGAGTTTGATATTCTTCAATGCACAACTTCAATCCCTCTTCAATTGGAGATTTGCTGGTTTGCATGCTGTCATTCCAGTTTCTTTTAATAAATCCAATGCATACTTTCGTTATGAGAGAAAAATACCTGACTTTGATCTTGAGACCTCAATTCCAAGAAAATATTTCAAAGGATCAAAATCCTTCATCTCGAATTCCTTTGCCAAGTACTCTTTCAATGTCTTACGTTCCTCTAGATCGTTTCCTGTAACTATCATGTCATCAACATAGATAATAAGAATTGTAATCTTTTCTTCCTTTTTCTTTAGAAACAAGGTATGATCTTGGTTGCTCTGTTGGTATCCACAAGCAAGCATTAACTTGGTGAATCTGCCAAACCATGCTCGTGGCGATTGTTTTAGTCCATACAATGACTTCTTCAACTTGCATACCTTCTTGCTATGTGTATTCGGGATCCCACATCTTTCTGGTAGCTCCATATAAACTTCTTCAGACAATTCCCCATATAAGAAGACATTTTTTACGTTAAATTGTTGTCAGGACCAATCAAGGTTTACAGCTAGAGATAACAATACTCGAACTGTACTAATTTTGGCTACGGGAGAAAACATTTCAGTGTAATCTATTCCATATGCTTGTGTGTATCCCTTTGCCACTAATCTAGCTTTGAATCTCTCAATTGTGCCATCTGCATTAAATTTCACAGTATACACCCATCAGCATCCTACTGGTTTCTTTCCAACTGGACAATCTACTAATTCCCATGTTTTATTTATTTGTAAGGATCTCATCTCCTCATTCATAGCATCCTTCCACCTGGAGTCAGCTAAAGCTTCCTGCACACTGTTAGGAATAGATACAATAGATAATTGACTTATAAATGCGATATTTGAGTTAGATAAATTTTGGTTACAAACATAATTACTCATAGGGTATCTTGTCTTACTGGTGAGGTCAGGATCATAAGTAGGCCTAGGGATACCTCTAGTGACACGATCTGGCAGAATTCTTTTTTTTGTATTAGGTTCTTGAGGGGACGATTGGTGTGGTATATCATTAACATTAACAGACAAATTTTCGATCTCAACATGCTCAAAATCTTCCTCATTATGTGGTTGTTGATCATAACATTGTTGCATACTTTCATCATCTCTTGATACAACTTTGTAACTTTCTTTCTCCAATCTGATCTCAATATCAATTTCTTAAGAAACAAAAATCTGAACTTCATCATAATTCTCCCCCTGAATTTCAGACTGGGGGAAAAATATATCAAGGTTTCATGAAAAACTACATCTATAGTAGTAAACATTTGCTTGGTTTGTGGATTGTAGCACCGATATCCTTTTTGGTGATCCGCATAGCCAAGGAACACACACATTTTAGCTATAGGAGACAACTTACTTCTCTGATACTTGTGTAAGTGAATGTAAGCAACACAACCAAAAATTCTATGTGTTAGTTCAACAATTTTAGGACTTACTACTGTATCTGTAAGTGATTGAAGAAGTGTTTTATACTCAAGAGACCTGGACGGTGTTCGATTGATAGTGTATATTGCATATGTGAGAGCTTCTCCCCAATATATTATTGGCATGTGAGCTCCAATTAGTGCAGCTCGGACCACCTCCAATAGATGACGGTTCTTTCGTTCTGCCACCTCATTCTGTTGTGGAGTATTTGGACAAGATCTTTGATGAACAATTCCTTTGGCTACTAAAAAATGTTGAAGTTCTGATTGCATATATTCTCCTTCGTTGTCACTGCGCAGTACCTGAATTTGTGCTTTGTAGTGAGTCTCAATCATTTTGCAGAATTTCTGAAATAGTCCTCCAACTTTACTTTTAGACTTCATCATACATAACCAAGTCATCTGAGTACAATCATCAATAAACGTTACAAACCACGTTGAGCCACCCAACGTTGTAACCTTAGATGGACCATATACATTAGAGTGAATGATCATTAAAGGAAAAGAACTTTTATTTAAAATTAAAGGAAAATGTGTTCTATGACTCTTTGCTAGCTCACAAACATCACAATAAAAAGTTGAAGTGTCTACTTGGTCAAATACATTTGGAAATAATTTCTTTATGTAACCAAAAGATGCATGTCGTAGACACTTATGTCATAACCAGATATCCTCGCTTTTTCTTACTTCTTGAGACCCTTTTGTCGCTAACACTTGACCAAGTCTCTTAGAATCTTTTTCTGTCAGGTCCAGGTAATACAACATTCATCGCCTAATACCACAACTAATCATCTTCCTCGTTTGAATATCCTTAAAAACACAAGAGTCAGGCCCAAAAATTACAACACATAAAAGAACTTTAGTTATTTGCGAGACTGACAATAGGTTATATTTAAGAGAAGGAACAACAAGGACTGTATAAAGATTCAAATTATTTGAAATAGAGACAGTTTATTCTCCAATAATAGTGGATTTACTACCATTGGATGTGAATATACTTTTTTGTGAGGAAGATTTAAGGTTTTTAATTTGTCTAACATCAAAAGTCACATGATCAGAACATGCAGAGTCAATTATCCATGCATTATTCAGAACGGTAGATGTGCTTATTAAAACCTTACCATTAGAATCATCACTGCGAATGTAACAAACATCATGCCTTTGTCGTCCTCTTTGTCAATGACAGTTACAACAACAACAGTTGGATTTTATTTTGAATTCTTCTTCGATGCTCGACTGTGATCCCACCACTCGGGGTATCCTATGATTTCATAGCATCGTTCCTTGGTGTGTCCATCCTTATTACACTGAGTACACTTGTAGTTACCTTTTTTAAAATCTTTTGATTGCTTCGATTTGCTTTGATGATTTGCTGGCTGCTTCTTTATCATCATAGCTGTGAAATCAGAAATCATATCTTCTATTTTCAACGTTATTCGCCAGACTGTCTCTCTCCGGATCAATGCATAACATTCTTCTAAATTAGGTGTCACTTCTTTGCACAAGATTTCTCCACAAACTTGCTCAAAATCATCATCTAGTCCAGCAAGGAATATATGCACCCTTAATCTTTCAATGAGCTTCTGATATGACTTCACATCATCAGGGTCCTTCATGACTACTTTGTCACGATGATCCAATTCCCTAAAAATCTCAACCAACTCCCCATAATATTCAGTTAAGGTTCTATTTTTTTTGTTTTGCAGTGAATGCCCTTTGATTAAGGGCAAACACTTGTAGCTCATCACTTCCATCATAAAATGTCTTTGACAAAGCATTCCAAATATCGAGGGCAGTGAGTAAGCGAATATACTTTTTCATAATTTCTGGCTTCATGGACATCAATAGTCATCTTTTCACTTTTTGGTTTTCAGCATACCATTTTTCATATCCCTCATCGTTCTCTGTTGAAGGCTTCACCTTCCCATGGATATAAGACATTTTTTCCCTCTCTGCAATGTGTATATCCATTAGTTGTGACCATACGTCATAATTAGATTCATTTAAGATGATGTCTGCGTTAAAGACACCTTCAAATTGAACAACCATTGAAATTAATTTTTCTGTCATCTCTCCAGTTAAGATCTCCAAGGATTTTGAAAGAAAAAGAAAAAATTTATAAACTCTGATACCAAATTGAAAAACATAGAAATCATTCTATAATTTTTATTCATATTATTTTTGTACACATATATTATGATCTTATAATATTTTACTCTAACAAATCAGGACTAAATATAAATCAGGACTAAATATAGAAAGTTCTGATTATACAATATTTTGTACCGCTATACAAACCTATAATTTAGCTAATCAAATATCTTTATCCCAACAATAACAATGATAGTAGCCTATATTAATGTCATAAACTCTTCCACATGTCTTTGTCAAATAGTACACATTACCTGATGAATTCTTTTAGACTAAAATTTATTCAAAATAAATCTTGACTTCATATTGATAACCAAGAAGTACCCACAATACAAAAATCGTGGAAATGCTTCTTAGATGCCAAATGCAGAGCAAGATTTTTTGCTTTTTGGGCGGGAGAGGGGTGATCATGTTTCAGAACTCCAGCATTAAAAGTGGCTTGACATCTAATACATGACACGCAGCATTAGTTAAATAAATAATGAAGGGAAAAAATATTAATATTGAGTTAAGCTAATTCTTAAAGGTTTAAACCTCACACTGAAAAAATTGTCTATTTCCACCTCGAAAGCCAAGAACCAAGAGGTACATTGCTTTCCACTTTCACGTCGTTTATAGCTTCTCAATGCATAAATTTTATCAGAGCTGGTCAATTTAGATGGGAGCAGCATAACACATATAAAACATTATCCTACTAAAATTATCACGAGTGTTCTTCTTATGCCACACACACAGCAATAACATTCTCTGCACAATCAAAAATAGTTGCTAGCCATATCAAACTAAAAATGTAACTAACATTTCTTAACAGAACAACAGTAAATCTTTCGACACCAGTATATGAAATCAAGCAAAGAGTGAAAGCCAGTTAAGAATACTATGTTTGGATACGCAACAATTGATCCGGAATTCAAATCAAATTACAAAATGACGCAGAAGGTAATACTAGCTGCTTCTGTTTTGACACGAATATACTGCTGTAAAACGAGAAACCAAACACGCAGGAAAGGATTCACACATTAAAGATTACTACCTATCTTCAAGTTCCTAATCCCTAAACCAATATAAATTCACAAAACTTGAGTATACTCACAGAACAAGACCAAATAAACAAATAATCAAAGCATGCGTCAACAATCACGTCTTTCTTTATATGTTTAAAGGGAAAATAAATATATAAATAAAAAAATTAAAAGCAAATCACGTGAATTGAAATTTTGTTGAGCTACACAATATTGAATACCAAAAAGGGTATCTTAATGGGATGACAAACAGCATGTATTCGAGTTCAGAATTAAGTGAACAAGCACTTAGAAGATCAGGATGTCAAAATAATGGAACAAATGGTAGATCTGTTGAAGCCTCTAAGCTAAATCAATCACCCCCTCCAAACAAATCCAAATCCTCTAAACCAGAGGCTTCTCACATCATAACCACCACCATTTTCTCTATGTCAAATCAAAACCTTGTTCCTGAAATACCAATCATGATTAAAATTAGTCCCACCCAAAACCTTGTTCCTACATATGCATCTACAAACTGTAATTTAAAAACAAATTCAACTCCTCATGTTTACATCTCACTAACCACATTATAAAGGATTTTTTATAACGAAAGAGGAAATAAGAATTAAATGAAAAAGGGGAATTGAAAAAAGAAAGGGCACACCTACGTCTGTTTGGAGTAGGAAGAAGAGGAGGGAACGCGCTTGTTACGGAACATCATGTAACCGACGGGTAATACCACTCCGATCATCATAACGGCGGCGCCGATCAAGTATCTGAGTGGGCTTGGTGACTCCACCTCTACCAAGCTCCTAATCTGCATCGCAAGGTTACGATCCTGACCTGATTCAGACTTCAAAACCCTAATAAATTAATTATCAATTAATAAATTTACATCTACTTACGGGCATCTCCACCAAACGCAAAATGTTCACTCTCGCTGTTCTGTCGTTTGCTTCCACTGTCAACCGGAACCTTCTCTTCTGCTAATGAACCATCCATTTTATTTTACACGCGCTTTTTCTGTATATTATCATTACCTTCATAAAATACGGATTCGGGTCCGAATACAGATACACGTATAAAATTTTTTATTGGGCCTTGCTTTCTCTCACCCGAATAAATAGCATCATTATTTGGGTAGTTCACTACGAACTTGGGCTAGCCATGACAGGTTTCAACCCAAAAATTATATTTGGGTTTGACATAAAGCCCCTTTTCGGAATGGTCTTTCTGGCATGACTTTTTATTATTTCAGAAAGTTTATTCTATATATGAACAGAAGATGGGAGAAGAAAATGGTCAAGTGTAGAAAAATATTCCCAACTTGATTGCTTTATATGAAAAATATTTTTTAATTTTATTATATGTTTTATTTTTGTAAAAAATACTATTATAGTTGAATAATGAAGTGAATGTTAGAGAAGGCGTCATTACTCTCTTGATCACATTATGTGAGCCAAATGATTGTTAACTTGAATATAAATAAAACATAACGCACTTACCATTCAAAAATTTTATTATTGTGGTTCAGCAACATTTAATTATACCTACTTAGGGGTGAAAAAAATCTCTATAAAAAGCCTGTGCACAAAAAGAGTTAATAACCTTTTACTGCTTAAAAATGTAAATGCTGAAAAATAACAAGCTAGATTGTCTCTAAAAGTAAACTAAATTTAAATAAAAAAAATCTGCACAGATAGAAGAAGTGCTGTGGAAAAGGAATCTATATATGGATAAGGTTGAGCATGTGGATGATTTATGTCAAACGAGTGTTGCCTTTCGCTTTCTTCCCTCACTTCGTAATAGCTGGAATGCCAGTGCCCATGACTGATGACCAGTTATTGCACAAATTCATCATCTTCAGTTTTAAACTTTAATGCTTAATTACTTTTCCCGCAACTACAAAATGTTTTTCCTCACAAATTTGTCTTAAAAATATTTTTCAGCTATGTTTCGTGGTAGTTGAAAGCATATCGATTATTAGTATTAATCAAAAGCAACATTAACACTGCTTTTAATTATTATTGTCCAAATAAATGTTATTTTTCAATATAATTTTGACAAAAAAAAAAAAATCTAAACATAAACACATTTGTGTTGTTTTCTTTCCTCCACCACTTGGTTTATCCTAGATTACTTTGTAGCCATGTCCGGAACTGGAGCTTGAAGGACTACTGAGAAGGCATCAAGGACAAACAAGTACTTTCCATAATGGAACCAATTTTAATCAGAAATTATATATTTCTTTCAACACAAGCAATATGGCTCTATATCTTTATGTAGAATAGTTGTTATATAATTTGTGTGAAAGAAGAAGGTGAGTTGATGTACTGAAAATCGAATTAGTAAATTGCAAATGCCAAGTTTTTGAAATGACATCGATCTTCCACCTGAGTGAGAGGCAGCCGCAGCCAATATTGGTTTATTTGCATGGAAGCAAGATGGAGATTGAATCTTATGTAGCAAATGAAATGAGTAGAGTTTATACATGCATGCGTCAAATCATGGCCAATTTCCATTGTCTGTTTGAATAATACATGCATCACATTAGAGCTACACAAAATATGGGGACGCTACTGCTTTTTGTTTCTGTCAGAAATGGAAAGTGGGATGTCTTGTGATGGTGAGCTTGAAGTTTCTGGACGGATGCGAATATTTGGTTGGTTATGAGTGATTTTAAGTTATTTTTGGTATCAGGTATATGTGGTGTACGTGCAACTGTTCCCAATACAAAGACACACTCACATGAAATATTATGTATGTGCCTAACTCCTCTGTTCTGCAACATTAGCCTGACTCAACCAATTCCCAGGTGGCTTTTCGAAACCTTATACCATGTATCATTCCAAGTTACTTTTTGAGTAATTTTGCTTTTTGTTAAAGAAACAAAAGATTTACATTGGTTGAAAATTTTGTGTTTTTACATGAAAATCCCCTTGTAATCATTCTATTATGTTAATGTGCCAATAAAGCAATTTACCAATTGTCACAAAGTGAAAGTAGTTTTTACACTATTCTCCTGTGAAGAAAAATCTTACCAAGAAGTCCTACACTAGTATTGACTTAGCGACAATTAGACTAAAGCATAGCAACTATTTGAACAACCACAAAATTGACCACCAACAATCCTAAAAACAACATTAACTTTTTGCCACAGGTCTAGAAAACATGGTTTTTGCCAACTCCCGCAATACCCATCAACAGTGACAGATGGAATGTTTGTGATTTGTTGTCGCCCTTATTAATAGTAATTCAATATTACTCTTAACTTTAATAGCAATTGGAGAATAGTCCTGAATTAATTAAAATTATTCTTAAATCAACATGAATTGTCATCTTGAAGTTCATAACTCATACTTCTCACCATTATAAAAAAAAGTTGGCGATGGTATGATATTATTATTGATTTATTCAAGATTTCAAGATAGATAGATGAAAAATATCATAAGTAAAAGAAAATATGTTATTAAAGATGACTGAAGTTTTTCAATAAATATTAGTTGGATTAATACATAAAATGTTAATATAAAAATGAAAAATCTTACAAATTAGAGAATTGAAAGAGATAACATTATAAATTAATCGAACTATAACATATGGTCCGAGGTGGACCACCTAACTATGGTCTACATCTTAAAATTGTTTTTTTGGAAAGAGCTTTTTTCCAACTCCCTTTCCCTAATTAATTGTCTTACATGTGCATGTAGAAATTAAATATCTGGTAGGTGGTTAAAAAAATGTACATTGACCTGAATTATATTTTTATTTATTTAATTATTTTGTATAGTACTCCTCTACCTTAATAATTTTGAAGTAATAAAGAATTTTGTTTATAGTAAAAGATAAGGTATGGGAATAAACTAAATCTAAAATAGAAATGTGGACATACCATACTATTGAAAATATTGCGAAGGTTACTGTCATGCCCCCACCAACCGCCGTCTAGTCTAAGGTCCATGCAGTGTCATCATAGTCGTAGACTCTGCTCCTGCACTGAACCCACTTTATTCCCATTTTCAACAACGCTCGTAGTTCATGACACAACTTAATATTCCTTCTACCATGAAATCTTATGTGACCATATTTAAAAATTAGTCATACTAAATTGTGTCTTTCATCGACAACAGGGTTGTGCATGAGTTCTACGAACCAATGCCCGCATCTTCAGGAATATGTCTTATTAAATTTATAGTATGCTTTATTTTTGAGCTTCGTGAACACCGGCTTGTCGCCGATTCTTTAATCAACTTCAACCTGAATTCATGGTGGTCCAAAGCACAAGATTTAGATTAGTGTTCATGTAATCTATTTTGTCTGGTTGCTTCCAACCCCACTTTTATCTAGACTCAACTCGGTCGCAAAAGTTTGGTCAAAACTCAAAAGCTTCTGTTATGGTTGCAAGCTCTGTAAAGCGGGTAGTTGTTATTTTAAAAATTAGTTTGAGAAACCAGATTATTATATATTCAGGGTTCAGCCTTTCGAAGTTTCTAAGGGACTGGATTGGTTTTTCTGAGTGGTTTTGTTTTTTGTATGTGCCTTGCAAAGTTTGAAGTTTGCTAGGATGTTTTGTTCTGGTCTTTTGTGTATTGTTTCTTCTTTTAGTTGATCAATTCAGTGACGCGTTTGGAACATCAGGCACGGTTTGCCAGGGATGTTGGAAGTACTTATCTGCTGCTGTTGTGCACAAACACTGAAAGTCTGAAAGAGTGGTCGTTTCCATAAGCTACTTCTCAGCCGGTACTTTCAAATCACACCAAACTTTTACCTTTACCTTTTTCGGCTCTCGGGAAATCCCAATAGTGTTTTAACACGAACTAACCTTCTTTTATGTGCTTTTCGGGTAGTGTGTTAGTTAGTTATCTGCCTATATAAGATTCCAAGTTCTTGAGTTGAACATTCAGTAGATTGGTAGAAAGTAGAAACCAAAATGGATGATAGGTATTTTCCACCTTGCAAAATTGGTTCATGGCATGGGTTAGAATTAGAGGATGTGCAAGAAAATGATGAACTCAAACTGGTCCCATCGTTACCGTCTATACCTCAGCCACCTACTCCACACGAGCCTATGGAGTTCTTATCCAGATCATGGAGTCTCTCTGCTGCAGAAATTTCAAAGGCTCTTTTGGAAAAACAGAAGCACACATTCCATGACAAAAATCAAGTCACCTTACCAGAAACTATTTTAGCACCTCAACTAGTGGTAAGTCATACCTCTTCCATTCATCATGCTATGCCCATTCTGCATTTGTTGTTGCTTGAATATCATAATATACCAAAACTATGAATGATAATTGCTTAATAAAAAAATGTTTAAGAAATTACAAGTTAATCTCTAACTATTAGTTCATAAAGAGCTTGTGGATCAATCGGTGTGACTAGTTATAAATTAATCCCAAATCTCTAATTTTTTTACTCTTAATTTTGTAGACAGGTAAGATGATACCTTCTCCTAGAAAGATGAGTACCATAAGTAAATGGTTTCATCATAAGCATAATGGGAACACCAATATTACTATAAAGAAGAAGGATCGGGCACGGTTAGAAAATGCACATGTGCATTCCGCTGTGTCCATTGCTGGGTTAGCTTCGGCCTTGGCTGCTGTTGCTGCAACAGAGAACTCTAGTCTCTCTCACTCGAAGTTGAACCTTGCAATGGCTTCAGCCACACAACTCTTGGCATCACATTGCATTGAAATGGCTGAAATAGCCGGAGCTGATCATGACCATGTGGCTTCTACTGTAAAATCTGCTGTTGATATTCAAACTCCTGGTGATCTTCTGACTCTCACAGCTGCAGCTGCAACAGGTATTTGGTTTAAACTTATTTTGAAAAAGTATTTTCTTTTTAAATTTTATCAGCTTTATGAGATATTTTAGTGTTAAAACTGATTTCTCCTCTATTTTCTTTTTCTTTTTCACTCCATTTTTATTTAAATCTCTTCCCTTTTCTATTCAGATCTCCATTTTTCACTTACTCTTTTTTCTTTTTCTTTTTCTTTCTATCTCTATTCTTTACATATAGTCAAATTTTACTTACAAAGACGCAGTCAATTTTCATGCATAGTCTGTCAATTTTAACTGCTGGATGAAAATTAGATGACTGGTTATGTGAATATATTGACAGCCTCTGAATCATTATACATTTACCACTAAATTGGGTGTACATCTTTATTCTTACCAAATTTGGAAAGTGATTTTAGGAGTTGTAATAGAACATGAGCTGTTGATCATTCATAACTAGTTTCTTTTTTTTTTCTTTGCGAAATAAGCTTTGAGAGGAGAAGCAGCTCTAAGAGCAAGATTGCCAAACGAAGCAAAGAGAAATGCATCTATAAGTCCCTATGATAGAGTACTTCTTCCACAAACTCATTGGTTTCATGCTTTTGATGGTCAAATAAGTGAACACCATCCGCCATGTGTGGGAGATTTGTTGCAGCTCACACGAAAAGGTGATAACAACAAAGACATTCTCCATTATAGTCAAGTTCTGATTCTAAAGAGCCAAAACTACAAACATACATGAACAATAAATAATATAGGAATTTGCTTATCAATATTTTTCTAAGGCTGCTTTAATTTCCTTTTTCAGGTGTATTACGATGGAAGCATGTTTCTGTCTACATCAACAAGAAGTGTCAGGTATACTAATTAAAAAATTCTGGCTTAAACAAATATTCATGCGAAGAAGTTTTCGTACACAGTAGTGATAATAAGAATAGAATTTTCAATTCTTTTATTCAGGTCAAAATCAAGATCAAAAGCAAGCACGTTGGAGGAGCCTTCTCCAAAAAGAATAAATGTAAGCATATTTCAACTTAAAAACTCTTAACAACCGCATACCCACCACCTTTATCGAAACATCTATTGCCATTATTAAATTCCTTTATTCTTTTTATTCCATTTGAACATTAAAAATTATATTTTTCCCACTTGTCTCTACTTTTGGAATTAGGTAGTCTAACTTTCATTGCATATATATTATTAATACTAGGTGTGGTTTATGGAATTTGTGACAAAGATGGGGCGTGGCCATACAGAAAAGAAAGGAAAACCTCTGAAGAGTTTTACTTTGGCCTCAAAACTGCACAAGGTCTTCTTGAGTTTAAGTGTGACAGTAAACTCCACAAGCAAAAATGGGTTGATGGGATAGGGTGTCTACTTCGTCGAGTTAACTCTGTTGAGGCAACAGAACGTTCTCTAGATTTGTTAAGTATTAACAGCGACACGTGAATGTTTTGAATTGCTCTTGGGTGGTAAAGAAAATTGTAAGCGTTGAAAAATAATTGAGAAGACACTTTGTTTTTTCGATATCAAAAAGAGTCTATGGAATCACCAAACTTTTCAAGATATATATGTATAGAGTTATAAAGAAAAGGATTGGAATGGCATTTGAAAAAGATAATAGGAGAAATCAAGGTTGTAAAATAATTTATTTGGATACAGTACATTATGTGAGTGTGTAATTGTATTACGTATATGTGTAAAAGTAGGACAAAATTTTGTCAAAAGCATGTACTCTCTTATCTTATGCTTGCCGTACCACTGAGATCCAAATGAAGTATTGGGGTTTATTTCATCTATCCACATGATTAGGAATTAGAAAGTGAAGAATTAGAGTTATTTTAAAACATCAACAATCTTAATTTTGATGAAGGTTTGTTAAATATGTTATTTAAAATTACTTCATAGTTGCAAATAAATTATTGTCAAGTGAATCAAAATAAGGAAGAATGGTTTCTCTTTTCTTTTTTTTGTACTTGCATTTTAAGACAATTTTTAATGTCTTAAAAATTTTTGTGGGAAAACTTAAGTCACTATCTTTGATGAAGTCTTTCATTTTAATATATATTAGAACTTGTAGGTGTTAAATGATTATTATATGAGAAGGGATAGGTTCCAAAAAAAAATGAAAATGAAATTAAGGGAACTTGAAAAACTATCCTGAGTAATCCATCGAACTGTTTAAGGAAATTCTTGATTTGGCCATATTTCAAATACATATGCATTAAAGAATATATGCCAATAGAATCAAAACCAAACCAGAAATTAAAATCAGATTTGCAAGCAAATGTCACATGAATCTCATAAACACAAATTCACTGTACCAAAACCCGTGAACCCAATATCGACCTCTGCGATCAATAGAAACTCTTAGAAGCCAACTACTCAATTCGGCACGATGGACTAGTGAGCTCCGGCGAGAAGTTAATGGATCATATCGTATTGTTGGCCTTTAGAAGGGTTGGGTTGACGGCCCAAAAATTACTAATAACTAATTTCTCAAAAATATCATTCAAGTACGATTTTTGTTTATACCAAGACAACACAAGAATTTGAATCTATTAAATCTTATTCTTGATACTAAATTCCTAAATTTAAATCTTAGAAGCTTGTCTTAACACACTTCCTTTCCTTCTCTCCCAAGATCTTTCGGCATGCATGTGTCGCTTATGTAACGAAAAGAAGTTGGGAATCTAGTGATATAACATAATTATATTGTTAATCAACTTTTGGTTACCAAAAAACAAATGGGAAAAATGTTCAAACTCAACTTAAGAAAGGAATGACAAGTCACAAGAGAAAATAATCTTTGGATCTAAAGTGCGTAACATTTACAATAATACGGACCTATCAAAGTATTTGTCTATTTTGTTTTCCCTCAACTATGCACGTCACTGTGCAATGGTTCCAAATGAAAGCTACTTCCTTCCCTCAAACGATAACATGTCTATAGAAAGCATTCAATAATTACAAGTGACAATCAGGGTAACGAAGCCTTCATTTGACGGAATTAGCAATGTTACAAGGACCCAAGAATCAAACTCATATTTTACAACTGAAGTGGGAAATTGATTGAATTTTCCAAGTAAATGATTGAATAGGAATACAAAAGCACCCCATTTTGGTGCGCACTATATTTTGGTTATTTGTTGTTGTCTTTAAAATACAACAGTCTTCTTTTCTTCATAAGGTAACACTCGAAGTTCACAATAAGATCTGATAGCCTTGGAAAGGCATTGCTTCTCTAGGTTTTCTGATTTCTGCACAAAGCTCTGCAAGTTATCTCTATGGGAAACCCTCTCAATCTGCAAATGAAATCAAACCATTTTACCCGCTGATATATCGACCCATACCTGAGGCTGTTATGTATATGGTATACTATACTTATGCACAGTTAAAGTAAGCTTGATTTACAGTCTGGCAAATGACACAACAATTTTGTTGCAGAAAAAAGTACGATTCAAATGTATCTGGGAAACTTAGTCTGCCCGTAATCTAACTGAGACAGAAAACTTAAAGAATATCATGCTGCTCACATTCTTCGACAGCAATATCAATTTCTATTTTGTACATGGGAGGGTGCTAATGAATCTTAACACATAAAATGTAATCTAGACCATTGTAATAGTATTAAAAATACTTATCAAGATTTGGACAGATGCCAACCATTGACGTACTATTTTCCCACCATTAGTTGTTCTGATTTGTTTTAGTATTATTGCATTTGAATTTGACTAACTAATCACAAAGTCGACCTTCAAAAGTGTGGATGGGTGTTCTAGTTGCTTTTATTTTTTAAGACAAGAAAACAACAGAAATGTTGAGTAAAATCTAAGAGCAAATCTACCATCAAAAAACCCAAATCTTGAGTGGTAACTGACATTAAACTTGCAATATGATCACCCTTATTAGTGGCACATATATCATGCTAATTGCAGCTACATTTGTTCACTCTATCTTAGTGTCCCATCTAACTCTATGAGGTTCCAGCTTAGGGTTTCATGAATAATGAATCAGGATTTTCAGAAGGCAGATGCTGAAATATTAATTATCAGTCTCCAGCACAGTGTAATAGAAAAACACCATAAATAAATGGCATTCAAATCTTATTACAAAGTGAAATGTGAGCAGCAAAACAAGTATGAAAGATTTTATGTTTACCATTTGTTCAATTATAGGTCCAGCATCAAGTTCTTCAGTCACAAAGTGACTTGTTGCACCAATTAATTTAACACCTGCCTCAAAGGCCTGCCAAAATAATCTAGCATATTCAACATGTATACAAATGAAGAAAGAAATCAGAAAGAGCACATAATACATGGTTAAAAGTGGTAACAGTTTAACCTATGAAAGTGCAGGAAGACCAACCTGTTTAGATGGATTGCCACCTTTGAATGATGGCAACAGGCCATGATGAATGTTAATTATATCATTCCCGTAGCTCCTTAAAAAGTTTCCAGATAATATCTTTGCATATAAATCAATGCTGTAAGTATTAATAGTTCAATACTATCAAATATTAACATTGATGTACAATAAAAGATAGTTACAAACTACTCTCAGATTTTCATAACATGCAGATGCAGGGAAGAGCCAGTTCTTCCCAAAAGTGCCCAAATTTCAAGAATAAGTCCAATTATCAAAATAGCTTTCGAATGTTAGAAATATAATGAATAACACACTGAGAACATGAATTCTATATAATTATTTACCTGCATATACCTAGCAAGTACTAAAAAATCAGTATTCTGAACCAGCTGCAACATCTCCCCTTCTCTTTTGTTTTCTTTCGTTGTGCATAAATAATGATAAGGAATACCATGCCTTTCAAGAAAACGAATCACATGGGTGTTTGAGCCTCTATAATGGTTACTGGTGAATACATAAGATAAGAGAAGACAATAAATAAATAAAATACAAGACTTAGAAACATATAAATCAATTTAGTGGTGTAATTACTGAAAATTCACCTAATTACACAAGTGATATCTACCGGAAGTCTTCCGTCCTGCCATCCATGTAATAAGTCAACCAGGCAGTGGTCCTGCAACAATATAAAATAACTTCAATATATATTGATATTCGCCATTGTATAGAATTCTTCTGAAAACTAAAAAAAAAAAAAAAAAAAAAAAATATGACAAGAGTGATGATCTACCTGCTTTGATGCTAGAACTGCTATCTTGTATTTAGGATCCAGGGCTGGCACTCTTACAACAGATCTTATTGCATTGAATGTTTGTGAAAGCTTTAGAAAGTCCTCCTCCATTTGCACACGTGGCCATTTAACAGGATCAAAAACAAAATCACTGCCATAATCAACACAAGTTAATGCCGCTGCATTCATTGTATTGTTTCCATATACCATCCATCTAAACACTGAAGTTCTGATGCTTTTTAGCATGCATTGGGTTATGGAGGTCAAGCACCACATACTGGACACCGATACATGATAAAGCATACATACACGGTCAAAGTATTGGTTAAGAACTATCCTAAGGGAGAAGGTTAGAAAATTCTTTCATATACATAAGTGAAATAAGATTAGAAGATTTTCAATAGTAACCAGAGTCAGTGTTAGCACTCAGCAAGAGAGAAAGAGAAAGTCTTTTACCCTAAGAGCTTGAAGATAAAACTAAAATCAATAAGGATAAACCCTCGATGCTTTTACTGTTGTTCTCCAACCAAAATTGGCATTTCATCTAAAATTATCAGTACCTAAAATTGGCAAAGATATCTGGGACGTAATTCTGATTTGATTAGAGACAATGACTAAGGAATTATATTTAAGTTTTTTCTATTAGTGGCCCACTGAATTAATGCATACAAATCAGAGTCAACTCACAGGACAACATTGGTTATATTTTTCTTTGGTTTTATACAGGTATTCCTTCAAAGGCAATCCAATTCAAAGACACTAAACCTGAACACATCTCTCAGCAAGGATCCAAACATTGGTTATGAGTGAGTTAATGTATCATGGGAATGAGAGAACGAGTGTACCTTCTCGAGTAAAAGACTTGTTTATTTTCAGGAACAAAAACATCAGCAGCGAGAATGTTTCCCCCTCGAGAAGCAATACAATCCGATAGCTTGGCAACAATTCCAACGGCGTCCTATTCACAAAACCAATTTCAATCCCCTTTCCAATAATAACACAGTTAACAATTCAAAAAATCAAACCATAACCTAAAAAAAAACATAGAATGTTGGTTACAGGGCAATAAAAGACATGGATTCCATGGGTGAGGGAGGAAGGAGGATCCAAAGATTTGAAGGAGATCTTCCTGTTCCTGCACATTTTGGTCAATCCCACAACGTGAGGGAGTCGTCGGGCCATGGCTGTTCTCTGTCTGAATCTCAATGTCGAGGATCAAGTATCAAGCACCAACTTTCCTCATGGTGAACCAACACCGCAATCTCTCAATCCTCCACTCCACCAACCTTTTGCTTGTCGCGTCATCTGTTACGACATGCCGTTTTGTCCTGTTTTATTTCTTTAGGCGCTCTGGAAAAAAAATGGAAGAATCTTTTGAATATATATATATAATGAGAATAATATTAGTAATATTTTTTCCCACGTTTTTAATATATTTTTATTGTTATTTATTTCTACTAACTCGCAAATTTATATTTTTTTAATAATATCATATCATATTATAATAATTAAAACAAACACGACAATAAGTATTACCACCTAGAATGTCCGCCCATATGTAACTTTTGATTCCCTCAGCCAACAAATACATTTTCATTGGATCATATTTTTTAAATTTGTCGTACAATTCAAATCAAACAACCTCAATTAAGAACATATTGGATTAGTCAAATCTCCTATTCACATGTATAACATTTTGTTTTTATTTGAAAAAATAATATATGTGATTTTGTCTAAAAAATTATGCATAATCCTATTACTAAAAGATATAAATCACACATTTTTGTTGTAGATAGTTTACAACAACTAAATAATTGTAAAGAATAAAATATAAAGTAGACTATATTAGAAGTGTAAAAATACATCTAATTTGATAAGCCGATTAAAAAAATCTAAAAAATATATTAATTAGGCTAAAAAATGTATTACTAAGGATTAATTTGTCTCCACCGTTTAAATATCATTTATATGATTTTAAGTCAAATTAATTTATAAAATAATAATATTTTTTAAATAAAAATAAATATGATATTATTTTATTTTTAAACACACACACACACACACATATATATATATATATATATATATATATTATAAAATAATAAAATGAAATATTTTTTTAAACATTAAAATAAATATTTAATAACCACTTTTTTTAATATAAAATATTTAAGATTAATTATTATTTTAGATTAATAAATATAAATTATTTCTATTAATATAATTTCAATTTTGATATATTTTTATTTATATATTTTTAAATTTTTAATTAAACCAAAGTTGATTAGGTTAATCTAAAAATTATACTAAACTAAAAAAATATAATTTATTTTAAAATATAAGTCATATTAAATTATTAAAAAATTAATTTAAACTATAAAAATATAAGTCGTACTAAATTATTAAATTTATTCATTTCAACCATGGGACCAAATTAGATTGAGTTGACCGAGGCCTAACATCTTTAGAGAAATTTACTCCCTTAAGTTTAATCTGTGCTTGTCACAAAAGTGGAGCATCAACCCACCATCTAGAAGTAAAGGCTCGTACAAACTAGCAAAATTCATGAGGAGGAAAAGAAACATTTTGATATATCCACTAAATGAAAATTAGTATAAAATATTTTGTATGAGATAGAAATTTGGTGAAACCCGATTTAAACTGGGTTGTTGGTCTTAAAAAAAAGTGTCATAAGGAACGTATACTATTAAAATATTTTAATTTTGATATGGTGAGATCTATTTGAGATTTAGTAATTTTTTTATTTTTTGTTGGACTAAAAAATTGATTGAGTTTTTAAAGTAAGATATGTGATGTGTCATTAAAGAAAAAGCTTTTAAAGGAAATATTATTGAAAAGTGAAAGAAAAATAAAACAGAGAGTTTGTGGTTGAAGTTGTTCTAAAGGAGAAAAAGATAAAAGCAGAAAAGACAAGCTTTAAAACACAAGGTTAAAATAAGGATTTTGGGCAACATAATCTGTTTTCCTCGGCTTGTAGGAATATGAATAATGTTAGTTGACAAACAATATTCATTGGTATATAGAAACCAAATTACTAAAGTACATATCAATTATTTTAGCGAATAAGATAAATTTAAAGTTTTCCTAACTTTCTTCGTAGTATATGATATTTTACTACGTCAAATATTGACTAAATTTATGATTATTATATTCACTTTACAACTTAAATTTATGATTATTATATTGACTAAATTTATTATTCATTTAATTATTGTTATTAATAAATTTATTATATGTTTATTATATTATAAAATATTATTTCATTAAATTTGATTGAATTTTTAAATTTTAAATTCACGTTACCATTTTAAAAATATTAATTTTTAAATATTCATCCATAAAACATTGAAAGTATTTTTAATTTTATTTAATAAAGTTAGAGTATGAATTTTGAAACATTAAAAGGAATTTTATAAGATTTAATATTTATTTTAATTTCATTATTTTATTCAATTTGATTTTACTATTGATAAAATATTTAATTAAATCCTTCAACTGATAAAAACATAATAACATGATATATTTTTATTCAGTTAACATTAAATATTAATAATTTATTTATAAATAATATAATTTGTGAAAATGACAAATTATATAAAATCACATTGTTACACTTAAAAAAATGAAAGTTTTATATTATTGTATCTTGAAAATTGTGAAAATTTTAAAGAATTTTATATAAATAAATGGATTAAATTGAACAAAATAAGTAAATAAATAAATTAATTAAAAAATAGATAATTCGATTTATAATTATAAAAATGAGAATTAATCAGAAGGTTTCCCGACTCTCTTTTTTTCCCGCGAGCTATCAGTCGGTACTCGGTCTCCGCAGATCCTCTGCCGTCTTTATAGCATGGTTCTTTCTCTACAGCATAAACTGTGGCCATTGATCACATTCTCTAATTTTGATGCATCAACAAATGAATGGTCCAGATTTGAGAGCACTGTAACTGTAGAGAAAATCGACTGTAGAGGATTCAGTACAGTCGTATTGTTTCTACTTTTTGAGTTTAAACTTTAAACCATTGTAGCGGGTAAGTGCAAACACAGTAACACCCATGACCGTGAATCAATCAAGTACGAAGCATTCATTCGAAGATTCAACCTCAAAATCAAAACCCAATGGAAACTGAGTCAAACGAACATTGACTCACTCACTCACTCTTCCTTCATGTTAAGTTCGTGCATCAGTAACTGTGGAGGTTGATCAACGATCATTGAATGCGCCCAACCACCCAAACCCCTTCCAATTCAATACCGGGGACACCACCTATCTTGTCTTGTTGCCGCACTCTTTAGGTAACCTATATCACCATTTTTATTCTTCTCTTCTTTCAGATTCAATTCAATTATTCTTCATGTGGAACCTTCCTCTCTTCCCATTCAATTCACCCAGGCCCACACTTTCTTTCTTCCACCCCTGTGCCTTAGATTTTCGTGCTCGTCATTTATGATTTTGCATCCGCTTCAAACTTCGCCTCTTCATACAACATCATATACCACACTCTATAAGCAAAGAGCTATGCATGCGCATTCTCACAATTAATAATGAGCGAGTTCCGCGTGTTTGAAGAACAGAGCCACGCACAAGCGTGTAGGCACGAGGATCACGGAGATTCTCGCAATGGCGAAACTCGACATAGACGATCTAAGAGGTACTTTTTTTTTAATTATTTATTGCGTGATAAATAATAACGACATTGCGATACACTAATCTGTTTCTTCATGTGCTTTGAGTAACGTGTGGATGTTGGTGTGAAATTTTGTCGGTGGAAATTAGGTTTCAAATCTAAAAACAGTGAGTAAAAAGTAACAAAGAGTGCGAGAAGAAAGTTTTGCAATGTTTAGAGATTAGATATGGGGAAGTGATTTGGATATTGGGAGTTGCATTTCCAAGTAAATATGTTTTTATGAGAAAACTAAGATAGATTTTGTTTTTTGGGCTTCAATTTGCCTCATTGATATTCCTTGCATTGTTAGCTTTTCTTCCTTTAACTTAACTGGTTTGGTTTGGCCAATGAAATTTTAGTTCTCATTGTTGGCTGACTGGCTCTGGTTCAATGTCTTAATGAAATTTTAGTTTTCCTGAGAATTGGAAATATATTGTGAACTAGATTAGGTCGAGGAAAATGCTGATCTTGTTTCTTTAGAGACATTGTGTTATACTTGTTTCTTTAGTTTTCCTTTCAGCTGATTCATTTTCTGACACGTTTTTTTTTTAATTTATTTTAACTTTTACTTATTTCAGTGCTTCTGAAAGGAATTTGAAAAACGAAAGAGGTGGAGCCTCGCATCCAGTTGAGAAAGACCACAACGAATCCCTTGTGAGACTAAAATTATAATTTGATGTTTAAACTTTCAAATCGTATTATTCGTCAGAACAAACAATTATTGCATTACAGATGCACACTGTAGTCGTTTTGTATCTTGATTTTGAATGTTTCTCGAAAGATAATTCACTGGTTTTATACCATGACTTGAACAGGTTTCAACACCTTCAGTGAGTGCTGCTAGGTTACGGAGTCCTTCGCATGACAATCTCACTTATGTAAACAAGAATACATTTTCAAGTCATAGAGCATCCTTAGAGAAAGATGTAAGCTCTTCTCTCCTATTTTGTCGTATCTCTGGACCTGTAGGTTCTTAACTTCAAAATTTATTTTAACCGTTCTGCTTGGTTATGTAATCTGATTTCTTCTCCTCTTCTAGTCAATACGCTTGACAAACTTCAATTGAGAAGCGGGGGAAAAGGAAAAAAGGGGTCAAAGCCAATCCACTGGAAGTAGAGCTGGGGAGCCATTTTTAAAAAGGCGAAAAAAGTTATTAATATCATCTTTGAACTTAATGAAAATAGACGTATATCAAGAAAAAAGTTATTAACAAACTTCTTCAGTCTTCAAAGGAAAAAAAAAAAAAGAAATCGAAGTCCTTTATGTGGAATTACATACGCAATTAGATTCTTGGAATCATCTTCAGCCCACGAAAACACCACGGAAAACGAACGTATTATTAATAGGTGTATGAAGATAAGCAGTTTGAGACCCTCATTCTAATGATTTGCAGGTTGAGCAACTACAGTTACGCCTACAACAGGAGAGGTCCATGCGCATTCTGCTTGAGAGGGCGATGGGTCGAGCTTCGAGCACTCTATCTCCTGGACACAGGCACTTTACTGCCCAGGTAATTTGACATGCATGTCTTATGTTCTGGTCGCTTTTCAAGATTTATTCAATAATCGATCGGCTCCTTTCCCCATACTCCCACAAAATAATAACATATTTAGTCGTTTAACTTTATATGTGACTGGTTATCATGTTAGTAAATGTTTATTGCGTCTCAAGGACCGTCAATCCTTATTTTACTTTTTGCACTATGTCAAGAATTTATTTAACTAAGATGATATCCAAACTGCATTGTGAACAATCCTGATTATCTCTGTAAAAGGTACTATTCCTGAACCTAACCGCTTTCTGAATTTTGAGAACTTTCCTTACTTATCCTGTAAAGGGTTTCGTAATTCCCTCCCTAAGCTAACTACTTTAAAGATGCAACTCAATTTTAAGCCTCTACCTAACACATTAATCTTTCAGGATGATTTTGTTTTGAAGAAATTAGAAAGTCTGTACTAAATGCTTGGAAATTTTATAATCGCTCTGCCACTCTTCTAATCTATTAAATTATGATGCAGTATTGATCCTGTGCTTTGCTTACAGTTTAAGCTATAAAAGTAAGTCAATTCATTTAGAGATAAGACCTTTCTTGGTTACAATCTTCTACTTAACTGGTCTAACATTTTGAAAACCAAGGTATGAATTTTTTCTGTACGTGATCCTTTGAGAAATCTGACGCACAGCTTATATACGTAGGCACAATGCATAGGATTGAACACGATCTCTATGAAATGAGCCTCGTCGAAGGTTATAGGAATCCTTTGAATGGTTTAATTTCTCCTTCCCAAAAACTTCCATTCATAAAAAAGGGAGAGAAATTGACTCTTGTGCAAAGGATCTTAGTTAGATTAAATAACTAAAATCGAATCAATGGACTCTTCACTTCCACTTGAGAGGTAGAGTGTATAATTTGATTGTAATGAAGCATGGACATGATGGTTCTTCCTTGATGTAATTTTTAAATTTATATTATACTTTGTGATATGGCTCATGTAAACCATGGCTACAAGTGTATGTTTATGAAATATAAATAACTATTTTTCCATTTTCATCCTTTTCCTTAGACAAAAAACTTGATTGCTGAAATCGAGCTACTGGAAGAAGAGGTTACAAACCGTGAGCAGCAAGTACTTTCTCTCTACAGAAGTATTTTTGAACAATGTGTTAGCCGGCCACCTTCTCAACAAAGTTCTGCTATTGCTTCACCTGCTCATACAAGGCAAGGATCTAGGAAGCATCCGAGTGTAATTTCAAGTGCATTCTGTTCGTCAAAAAAATTCCCTCTACGACCCCTCCAAGCTCTAGTTTCTAATAACGACTTGAGGAATAGATTCTTTGGGTCTATTCACACTCCCTTATCCCGTGGCAAAGGCAACAATTATTTTGAAAAGACTTGTTCTGATTCCACCAAGGTATGATACATTGATATTGATTTTCTGCTATTTACATGCAATTTGATTGTTTTCTTTGCTTTTGCTATAAATAATATTTCATTTGTCTCAAATATATATCCTGGTTAATGGATAGTATTTGGCTCAAATATACGTGTTAAAAGATATTCGGTGTATATCAGATAACATTGTTTACTGAACCAGAAAGTACACCGATACGGGTTCAGTATTATCGTTTGATTGGTATTATAATGATCAAAGCGATATTTTAAAATCAATATTTTTAAGAGAAAATTGTTTATAAATGTGTTTTTTTCTGTCAGTTTTCGTTTCCATTATTTTCATTGTTTCAATTGCTGTGTAGATATTTTCATTTGTTATAAATACCTTGTAAATGATTATTTCAACATGTCACCCATCTTGAACTTTATATTTTCTTGTAAAACAGATTTTTTTTTCTAATTTATGTTTAAAAATGTGTTCTAGGAATATTTTTTTGTTTGTGAAATTAAGATTATATTTTACATCTATGAAGTATTTATGATTAGGAAATGTTAAGATATGGCATTATTAAAAAGTATAAATATATTTGAAACTATTATTGTACAGTACAAATGATTGTTGTTCTAGTCTTTAATAGTTGAATTTAGATAGTAGACGCTCAACTCTGAATGACGAGGCGATTTGATATGTTACCGGCTGTCTAGGTCACTTCCACTCGCTTAACTAGCCTACTTAATGCCAGAACTGGCTCTCAAGATTATGTGACAGATTCATAAGGTCCTAGGACACCACTACTGGGACATGTACTGGTCTGGTTCACTAATTTATCGCCAGAACTGCGTCGTTTATTCCATTTCATCCTGGTTTATGAAAAAAAAAAAAAAAAAACGGTTTTCAACAGAGAATTAAATAAGACACGTGGGCTGTGGCCAGTTCACGAGCTGCTCGGTCCCAATGTCCAATTCTCATGACCCCGAATTTAGAACACCAGAAGGAATCGGCCGCCATTTCTGTAAACTTTTACAAGTTTGGTATGTTTGGTTATATAATTATAAACCCCGATGTTCAAGTAACCGAAGCAAGACAATACATTTTGCCAAATCAAATCCAGCATGAATTGTAACCGAAAGAAAAATATTTCCTTTATGAATTCATGCATTCAAACGATGCGATATTTCCACTGAACATTATCATCTAAATCCTATGTCAGGCACACGAAAAGTTTTCTTCAATTGAGAAAACTCCAATTATACGAACTTTGAAAGACCATCTGTATCAGTGTCCAAGCAAGCTTTCTGAGGAAATGGTGAGATGCATGGCGACTGTATATTGCTGGCTTCGTAGTGCAACCTCTGTAAATACTGAAAATGGTAGGTCACCATTATTGTCAAGGTCATCCACTAATGCTATACAGCCTCGACATGGTATTGGAGACGATTGTGACTGGTCTTGCAAATCATCAGTTGAAATTTCATGGATATCTACTCATAAACGTCATTCTTCTCACGCTTCTTATGCCATCAACAATTACAGGTTGGTTCCATAATTATGACAAATTCAAAAGAAATATTAAAACGGAAGTAATGAATTAAAGGCAGTGATGAACCTTCAACTTATTTCCTAGCTTGGAAATTCATCGAGTAGGAGTTCTTTGGTAATTATAGCACGAGTTATTAACAATTTCATTCTACCATATCATTATTGGGAATATGCGTTGTGTGTAATTTTTTTAAAACACGATTCTTTAGGTACTTTGGTTTATTTACTTACACTGTAATACCATGTTCATGCACTAAATTTCTTATTGAATTGTTGATCTTACTTATTTTTTTCCCTCCCCGTTTACGTTCAGAGTTTTAGTTGAGCAACTAGAAAAGGTGAATGCCAGTCAAATGGACAGCGATGCGCAAATTGCGTTCTGGATCAATGTACACAATGCTCTTGTGATGCATGTAATATACATATGAGCAACAATGATTTTGTTCAAAAAACATAAAGCATGCTTAATTTTTATTTTGGAAGTCAGCATACATAACTTTGATTCTCTGTTGCCAGGCATATTTAGCATATGGAATTCCCCAGGGCTCTCTCAGGAGGCTAGCCTTGTTTCACAAGGTAGTTCGCTTTTTTTTTATTATTATTTAATTTCATTTATTCTTCAGTTAGAAGCAAATTGTATTTATGAGTTCAGGGAGAATTTTTTCAGATAACATCTGACACCTTAAGAATGTAAATGAAGCTTTGGAGGGTTTATATTTTCTCCAATTTATTCTTTATAGGAAGCTCTGACCAGTATCAACCCAATAACTTAGTTATTTCTCATTACCAACTTGGGAAATCAAAATAAATAGAAAGAAAACAAACCTCTCTAATTGCATTGAGAAGTAGCATTGGTATATGAATCTTTGTTGAAAACATATTATTTTGCTTTACCAGAAATCATACTCATTGTCAATTGATGAGTACAGTTGTATAGTGCAGGCTGCTTACAACATTGGCGGTCATATCGTAAGTGCAAATGCCATAGAACAAATGATATTTTGCTTCCGAACACCTAGGATTGGACGGGTACTATCCTTAACCCCATCTATGAATTTAAAAAGCTCTTAATACGTATTGTCTTGGTATGTTTAAGGATTAATCCTGTCAAACGTGGATTTCATTGATAAACTGAAATGTCCGACTATTAAACTTCCTTCCTGGCCAGTGGAGGGTTACAAATAATTGGTTCTTTGTATGATTTGCATCCGCTGCCTCCAGTCCTGTTATTTTTTAACGAAATCAATGTTTTGAATTTTGAATCTATGTGGATAAACTGGTAAGCACAGCAACGATTCAATAGTCATACATGCCCTTGTAAACTTGTGTAGATTTTGCTTCTTCACTGGAATGAGAAGAATGCAAGAAAGTAATCAACTTTCTTCTTTTTGGCAAGTGATGATATGCTTATGCAGTTATTTAAACCTTTGTATTGTTTTCTGATATTGTTCCGCAATTTCTCTTCAAAAGCAAATTTCAAAGTACAATTTGCTAACAGCTATTTTGGTGTTAATTAGGACAAAATCAAATGTTTCATGCAATTATTTTCTTTTGTCTGTTGCTTTTATCAAATACAGTGGCTTGAAAGTATTGTATCTGCTGCCCTGAGGAAGAAAAGTGGTGAAGAAAGACAACTTCTCAGTTCCAAATTGGGTCTTATTAATTCCCAGCCCCTTGTCTGCTTTGCCCTTTGTACTGGAGCCTCGTCAGATCCTGTGGTAATTTTCCCTCACAAACATATTGCTATGAAAATTTATTTGAATATAAATGGGGAAATTTTTCTCTTGAACCTTGCCCTGTGGTAAAAATGATTGATATCCCAGAAAATTTTTCTTTGCTAAACTAATTGAACTTCAAGTTTTTGGCTTATAAAGAATGTAACTGATCATCTTCTAATGATGGTGAACTCTGATCGTAATTTGACTCCTCGTCTATAATATTCCCTGCTCTCTCTGTTACTCTGATTTTAAAGAGTTGATTAAGAATTTTGTAGTTACAAATTACAATGTTGCAGCTAAAGGTTTATTCAGCATCAAATATAAATGAAGAACTAAATATTGCCAAGAGGGAGTTTCTCCAAGAAAATGTAATAGTGAAAAAGTCAAGAAAAGTTTTTCTACCAAAATTATTGGAAAGATTTTCTAGAGAAGCATCAATAAGCATAGATGATCTCTTTGGATGGGTCATGGAGAGTGTTGACAAGAAGCTGCGTGATTCAATGCAGAAGTGCCTTAATCCTAAATCCACCAAAAAGCCATCTCAGATCATAGAATGGTTGCCTTTTAGTTCAAGGTTTCGGTACGTGATTTCCAAGGATGTCATGGACAAGCCTTGGTAGGTATGACATAACTGCTTCATAAATATTATTGTATGATTAGTGGAGCCTAACTGGTTTGAAAAATTGGGGAATTTCACCGCAGGTACTTGAAATTTCGTTTACACTGTGACACAACGCAATAGTTGCTTGGCTTAGATGCCCTATTCTTACAAGAACATTGTAAATTCTTATAAAATTCTTATAAAATTACTCGAATACCTTCTAACAGGCGGACAACTTTTAATCAGAAATCTTAATTGTTCGAGCATGTCATAACGTTCACATCACTTGAGATTCGAAATGAAGTATAATTTATATTTTTTTTTCTTTCAATCTACACTCTCATTTCTTAACACTCATTCATAACTATACCAAAATAATATTATAATTATCTGAAGCAAATTTTAAATGGATCTCACGTATTTGTTAAAATTGAAATAAACATGGCAGAAGTCAAGCACAACAAAATAAACAAAAGAAGAATGGACACATAAATTTAACTTGACTTGAAATGTAATTCATTATATCAAAAACTGGTATAAGAAAGATACGAAGAGAGCGCATAGCATTATTATATTTACCCCAAAAATAATTAATAAGGTCTATTAAAATTTGTAATTAGTTTAGTTTTTTACATATATAATATGATGTTTAAATCCTGATCATGTGCATGAAGGAAACTTTATTGAGAAATATAAAATTCACTTAGGGTTTCTCTAACCCTTTGTTGGTCTCAAATGAAAGAAAACGAGAGAGTGGAAAGAAAATAAATATGCAATAAATGAAAGCAAAATAAAATTGTTTGATTAAAGTTAAATATAGTTAAAAGAGATGATAAATGAATAGAAAGTGAAGTGAGAATAACTACGTATTTAGTTGAGAAATAAGAGAAAAAAAGAGTGATAATTTGTGATGAATTATAAATTTGTCCTTGTCTTTTATTTTTTATTTTTTTGTCTGAAAAAATAATTTTACAATTCGACTAAGCATAAATGTGATGTATATTTTTTTATATATTATAATAATATTACTCGTGTAAGAAAATTTTGTAACGAAATTTTTTCAGTAAAATTTTTCTTGCGTATACAGAAAGGGGAAGGAGGCAGGAAATTTCAGCAAGTAGTTCTCCCTCTCATTCTTCTTCTTTTGTCTAAATTTCAAGCAACGAGACTCTACTCGTGCAGGATTTGGTGAAACGGAGAGAGGTTGAATTAAGTGGGAAAGTTTCGGTAGAAATATCACACCAGGTAAGGGAAAATTTAATTCATTTAATATATGAAACTCGAATTATTGAGTAATCTGTGAATAAGGAATATGAGTGGAAATCGACATTAGAATGATTGATTTTGAAGATTTCTCATGTTTTGCAAAACTTGAAATTTTGTTGGAATTCTTGAAATTAAGGATGAATTATATGATAAAATTGTTGTTTTCAACTTAAATTAGATATAAGTCATGTTTAATTTAAATTTGGGACTAGTTTGATTTTCTAAAATTGAGTAATTTGAAATCTACTAAAATCTGCAAAATTTGATACTGTTACTGGACGCGAGGAAGAAGAAAGGAGCATGGAAGGAATTTTTGAAAATGTTTAAGGGTAAAATAATCATTTTCGGGACATGGAAGGAATTTTTGAAAATGTCAAAGGGTAAAATAGTCATTTTTAGGACATGGAAGGAATTTTCGAAAATGTCCAAGGGTAAAATAGTCATTTAGGGACATACATGAAATTTTCAGAAAATATTAAGGGCAGCATAGTAATTTAATGATTTTGGAAATGATTTCAAAAATAATTTTGGAAAAAAAATATATTTAAAATATAGAATGAAAGTAGCAGTTTTAAAAATTCAGCAATGTGTTGTGACGTGTGTGGGTCAAACTGAGTCTAAGGGCTGATGTCCATAATTAGTCATGAGATGTTATGTATTGACTAGACTAAGCCGGAGGGTTGGTGCCCAGAATCAGTCAAATACTATTATTTATTGACCCGAATGAGCCGTGATGACAGGTGGTCCAGAATCCGACAGATGTGAATGATTTTTATTGTGTTTGAATGGTACCTAGGGTGGTACAAAGTACATTAGTGTAATAACTATGTCGGAGGATTCTGAATGAGGTCTCAGACTTCACTGATTGGTTGAGTCAGGTAGACTACAAGATCAGGTGGTGAGAAGTCGATGGGGGATGACTGGTGGCACGCTCGGAGGGGTAATCATACTCTGTGTGGAGGGTGGTCAGAATGGTACTGCAAGTGCCGATCACAATGTGCTCACAGATGATAGTCTTTGAGTTCGGACATAGTTAGGGTAGACTTCGGAAGGTGTCTTAGTGTATTGATAATTTGTAATTGATGATAATATGTAATTATTACTTATATACTTATTTTATTATATCGAATGATTTAATACTTACTCCTATTTTTCCATGTGGATGAGACTGCGATGATCACTTTTATGTGGGAGCAGATCAGGAGTTGAAAGGTGGAAATGCGACTATTGGACAACAGAAATAGTTCAATGGAGTAGCTTTGTGTGAGCTATTTTTACATGTATCTGTATAAATAAATTATGTTACTATGTTTTGAGGTTCCGCCAATGAACCGAAATTTCAGTCTATATTACAATTACAATAATATAATATAATATAAATATTGTTATTTACTTGTTTATTTTTGCAAAATTATCATTATAGTAACAATTTTTAGGGTAGTTACAATAAAACCTCGTAACTATTGGAAAAATTATAAACCATTGTGTAAAAGAAGTGGAACCCTAATATTGTCTTCATTATGATACATCATCAATAATACTATCATCCTCATTAAGCCGGCATAACTAGGGATGACAAAATGGGGCAAGTCGGGAGGACCGACCTGCCAGCTCGCCATAATATGGGGGCAGGTTGGTGTTTTCAGCCCATTTTGGCCCGCCCGCAAACTCGTGGGACTGGGCGGACCAGCCTGCGCCCGCCTAATTAATAAAAAAATAAATTTTTATTGTAATAAAATTAATTATAAAAATAATATATAAAGTTAAAAAATTTAGAAAGAGAATTAAAAAAGTTTCACTCTCACGAAAAATATTTTTTTACTGAAATACAACATTCTCTCTCCTGTTCTCCTTGTTCATCCTAAGCACTATTATTTTTATCTTTATGACTTGAATTAAAGGTGTAAGAATTACTCAACCAAGAATAATGTGAAGTTTTATCAAATAAAAAATATATAGGTATTTGAATTTTTCAATATAAAAAATATAAATTTTATAAGTTTTAACGTTATATATATATATATATATATATATTTGTTATTATTTATTATTATGTAAATTTTATTATTGTTCTAAATTATAATTTCTTAAAATAATGTATTGATTTATATTATTAAATTGAAATAATATATATATATATATATATATATATATTAAATTATTGACAAACAAATAATAATCTTATTATTAAATTTATTAAAAAAATTATTTTAAAAAATAATTTTTTTTCTAAATTATGACGGGCCACTGCCAACTGCCAACCCGCTCCTTGACGGGCGGACTAAGGTCTACAGATCAGTCATGACTATAACAGGACGAGTCCGCCCCACCCCACTTTTGACAGGCCAAAGGCGGGACAGACCAAAATAGTACGGGCTAATCCGTTTTCCATTCCTAGGCATTACCTCACTGGATCCCACTAAACTTATAATTTTATTTTTCTTTCATAAATTATCGATGTATATATATATTTTTAAATAATTTATATAAATGAAAAAGTTCTCTAATAATATATGTAATATTTTGTCACAACTTTAAAAAAATAATCCACTTTAGTATTATCTTGTTTATTTATTTAATTAAAACGTGACATGTAATTGTGTATTTCTTTTAACAAGATAAAAAATATAAACCAAAACTTTAAATATAAACAAAATAAAATTAAAAATTAATGTATTAATAAAGCATAGAAATATATGTGACTTTGATCTAAATTTGTGATATTTTGATGATTACATTGGAGACAAAGCTATGTCATTTTGATGATTGCAGGTCATGAAAAAAAAAACTATATAAATAAAATAAAATATACAGGACTGTTATAGCTGTTGAACAATGGTTTTCAAAATTCCTGGTATCATTTATAATGATATACGCTCTTTATTCCTTGAAAATACATGTTTGATTTTCCAAAATATAATTGATTTTTAAACTTTTTAACAAATCTTAATTTTTAACTCGTGGATAATAAGAATAATTCATTATTTATTCGAAGCAATGAAATAATTGTTTAGCTAAATTGTAATAATCTTTTAATTTTTATATCACAAGTTTAGTATTTTTCCTTATATATATATATAAATTTTTTCAGTTATATATATATATATATATATATATATAATTATTTAAAATATTTTGAAGAAAAAAATAAATAAATATGTCATGTTTTAGGGTTAAATTAAATATATTTACAAATAAGGATTAAACTCTAATTTGCAAGTTTTCTAAATTCAATGAACAAACTCAACAATAAAATCACAAGTAAAAGGAAATACACTTTAACCTATTACTTTTTACTTAAAAAAAAAACATTTAAGAAAAACATAGAGGGTATTAGAAATGATAACAGTGAACTGAATATGTTGAGGTTGGATAACACTTATCCTTTTGTATCAGGGTCATGAAACTTAAAAATTATAATTTATAATAATGACTAAATTTTATTTAGTTAGTAAAAAGTTTTTTTGAAAATATGTATATAAGTTTTTATAAAAAGAGTAATGTGTCATTTTTATTGAAATATTTAGTGTGCTATTATATTAAATCATTTAATGATTTTTTATTAAATTATGTCTTTAAATTAGGAAGAAAAAAAAAAGACGACTATCTCTTCACAATTTATTGTTTTTAAAATTTACTACAAACTATTTATGAGAAATATTATTTTGAAAGACAAGTATTTTTTAAATTTTGAAGAATTAAAAGGATTTTTCTTTTAGCAAACATCTCTTATAGTTTCCAATATGAAAATACGTTTCAGTCCAATTCCACGTTAAAAAGAAATTGAATATCTTTTGGGAAGTCAAATTTATTTAAAATTAAAATAAATATAAAAATGTTCAGATTTATACTTTTTTATATTATCACGGTAAACAATTAAGTCAAATACAAGATATCTCAATTTTACCCATATTTTAACTGTATAAACATTTTATTTTATTTTATCAGTTAAGATGATTTTATTTCTCATCTAGTGTCCTTAATTAATTAAAAATAATTAGAGTGTATATCAAGTTTGCTTGTTTATTTAATCTATGATTTAAATAGTGTATTTATTATCAATTTAATTTCATCATATCTCTCACTTGATTTTATCTCCATACCTTGTTAATTATATTGGTTTATTGAAAAAAATTCCTGCTAAAAAGAACAAGTAAATAATTTAAATTTTTTAATTTAAATATATATATATATATATATATATATATACCTTTATTATTATCTCCTTTTATATTCTTTATGTAGTATTTTATTCTTTCCTTTTTAGTCATATCCACCAATTCACCAGTAATAATTACTTTTTTAAGAAAAAATTATTATAATAAACTTTATAAGATTGGAAAAAAAGAAAAATATTTTGTTTTTTTAAATGATAGTATATATTTCAAAACATAAAATCAATTGCATTTTTTAATTAAAAATAACGGTTAAAATTTTAATTTAAGAGGGAATAACGTTTTTATAGTATTAATCAATCAAAACTATTTTTAATATAGTTTTAAGATCATTATTACTAAAAATTAGTAAAATTATTGAATATAATAATAACTTGTGATTCTATAATATAAAATAAAATAATATCACTAAAAAAATGCTAAATTTTTCAAAGAAAATAAAAAATGTGATTAAATGATAGAATTTTTTATTATCAGTGTACAAAACATATATATATATATATTAAATTTATCTTCTATATTATAATATTCAGAAAAAAGGATAAATTGAACGATAAAAAAAAATGGCCCTTAATTTGATCAATGCTGGACACTTTTTTTTTTTTTTTACTGTGACTTGAAACCTAACTATGATAATATTAAATAACAGTAATAATAAATATATACTTTTATGAAATAAAAAATAACATAATTTAAAATAGTAATATTGGACGTGGATTTTTCAACTATTTCCTACTGTCCACTTTTTCAATTTCGCAATATTTTTCATGCGTTGGATTTAGGCTCTAAGTGGGAAACAATAGGTTGAAATTTTTTTCTGGCGAATTGGATGGATAATATTTGATAATTTTTTTATTATTTTATTAATATTCTCTAAGAGTCACATGAGTTAACATTTATAAATAATAAATACATAAATAAAAAGGCTGGGTCTACTTTTGACTTTAACAAGTCTATCTCACCAACTTTCTAATCCCTTTTAAGTGATATTTCATTAATATATCAACTTTATTTGTTAATTCAATTAATGGTAAATTTATTTCAATGAAAAATCTTAAATAAAAGTGATAATAAATAATAATAATATTAATAATACGTACTATATTATATATAATAGGCAAATGAGAATCACAAATTGACAATGCACACTCCCTCTATAAAATTTATTGCGAATAGGAAAGAGTATAAGAAAGGAAAAGAAAAGAAAAAGAAAAATAAAAAATCTGTTAGGAAAGTGTCACAAACTTGGCGTGTTGGTGTCGTTTCCGCTTTTTTCTCTCACTACTCTCTCTATCTTTCCCTTTCGCCGGAACCCTAATTCGATCCACCGGACCTTGTACTCACCGGTGAGTCTCTGGCTTCCGTCCAGGCTTTGTCGACCTTGTTTCTGTTCTTACGTTTAGATTCTCGAAGTTCATTTATTTGATCGAAGATACAGTGACAAATCGGGAATTGTTGATGCAGTAGATGACTGTACGATTGAGGAATAGGTGAGATCAGAGGGGCTGGATTTCCTCGCCGAATGGAGGGAGGTAGCGTCTTTAGACTTTCTTCTTCTGGTACTGTTCATTACCAACTTTTCTTTGTGATGTAGGGTTCTGCTTCTTTTTTATTAGGCTTGGTTTGTGTTTAGTGGTGTTTTTTTTTTAAATATATAGGTTTATTTTTGTTTAATTTCTGATTGGGGTTGACTAATTTAATTCATGTTGAGTAGAGTTGTTCTTTGACTGCTTTTAATTTCTCAAACAAGGTGGGTCAATATGTAAATTAATTTGGAAGGTTTTTCAATTCCTTGTGAAGATTGGTGCTGTGTGTGGAAGTTTAAACTGATTATGCCACTGAAAAAGTGGAAATCCTTTATCTAATTGTAAAGGTGTTTTTTTTTTGTAAGGATGATATTTGTTATGAAATGGAAACCGCATAGATAGATAGATGGCTTCAATTAGTTGTATTTATCATGCACACCTTTTTTGCCACTTTATACTTTTCTAAACAACATTGTCAGATTACTTGACATTCATTAAGGTGTTTGCCACTGCTCTTCTCCCCTCAATGTCTGGTGGCTTTCAATGTGTATTAGCTGCGGAGAAGATATATTCAAAAATATTAATCATTTAATTCATATTCGTGAAAAGTTATTTTTTATTGAGAATGACTTTTGGTTTTTCTTTATTTCAGATATTTTAGGGAATTCTTGAATTGTCTGGATATTTTAAATTATGTAATTACCAAATGTTTAATGATCAAGTTGTTTTCTGCGGAGGGTAAATTGAGATATGTTATCTGCTTCATCTTGAGTGGGGTTAGGTGGGCGGAGTTTTGCAGCTCCCAAATGCTTATGACTGAGTTTTTAGTATAACGGTGTGGTGCATCTCAATATTGGGACTTCAGAGACATGGGTGGTGGACATAAGCGGTTACTATTTGGGTTTCTGGATTAGATCTGGCTGGACAAAGGTCTCTTTAGTTTCTAGTTCTAGAGCACAGAATCCATAGAGCATCCAGCCGTCCATTACCAAAAGTCCCATTTCTAGCATTTAATCTTGTGCCACTGTGGATGTTCAGCTCTAGTTTAATGGAAGCTTCTTAGGGAAGCATTCTTTATCTTTCCCTGTTTTTTGTTTTGCACAGGTTTTGTGCTGTTGGGTTTCTCCTGCCCAAATTTGAACTTTCATAATATTTTTTTTATTATAAATGGTAAAGGATCACTGTTCTTTTTCTGTATAGTTGTCACAACTGCCCTTTTCTGTCACTGACATTGATGTCTTTTTTAGCATTATCTATCATTATTTTTTCCTTATTTGGTTAAGTTTTAAGACTTGTTAGCTACTTTAAGTTTTTCAAAATAATTTAGGCAATTTTTAATGGTGGATTTTATTTTTTCCTTTTGAACTTTGACACATTGAATTTTTGTTTATGTACAAAGTTTTAAAACTATTAACATCGACATTTTTAATCTCTCAATTTCAATAAAAATCATAGCACTATCTAATACATGCAGGCACAAACAGATGTGTATGTCTGGTGGATTTTATACATATAGATCTGCTTGTGAATTTGTCTGCATGTGCATATATTAAATTCAAGCATGGATTTCTGTCATTAGTTGACTTATTTCTCTTATTCTAATTTGCTTATTTGTTTCAGGGATACATCCATGGATTATGATGACAATGATTTTCAAAGCCAGAATCTCCATATACCTGGTGAAGCGAGCACAAAATTTCCTCCAGTTTTAAGGCCATATGCTCTCCCCAAGTTTGATTTGGATGAGAGCCTGCACGGGCATTTAAGATTTGATAGTTTGGTTGAAACAGAAGTTTTCCTTGGTATTGAAAGTAACGAAGATAACCAGTGGATTGACGCATACCGCGGGAGTAGTGGCATAGAGTTTGGTTCAACTGCAGCTGAATCTTGCTCAATTTCAAGGCATAATAATGTTTGGTCTGAGGCCACTTCCTCGGAATCTGTTGAAATGCTATTAAAATCTGTTGGACAGGAGGAATTTATCCCTAAAGAAACTGATATACAGGAATCTGATGGCTGTGATGAACTGGCTTGCTTAGCTAAGCAAATGGAGCCTGATCCAAAACCTGACGATAGAAATGAATATAAAGATAATGTTACTGATTTACAGCCACCAGGTCTTGTCCATGAAAACTTGGATGGATTAAAGGATGAAGAAAGGGAACAGGTTCTGGCTGGAGTTTCCCTAGGTGAACTATCCATTGAGGGGAGTATAAGTAATCTGCAACCACATGATATACTGGGAAATGTGGACTTGACTGTGGCTAGGGGGATTCTCTTTACTGATGACAAAAGTGATGATGCAAATCAAGGCAAGGTTGAGATTGTGGCTGATGGTCCTCTTGAAGAAAAAACTCATGAGGACTCAGCTGCTTCTGGGGTGAAGAATAGTGTTACTGTAACTTCTGTACAGAATATGTCTTCTACTTGTGAAGTATTAAATATTCAAAATGTGCAAAATCATGTATTTGGCATGGGTCATGAGGAGCAACGAACTTTACTGATACAAACAAGTGAGCAAGATTTGGCTTCTTTTGCAATTAACAAAGATTCTGATATTGACATTCGAACTTCGAATTTAAATGCTGTTGGGGGTGAAGAACATGGTTCTAGTAAACCTCTTTGTTCAAATCCTATGGAAGAGGCATTGGAAAGTGGTGATGTTGTTGAAGGCCTGGATACTTCTGGAAGTAGTTTAGGGGGCTCCTTGGGCATGGTATCTAGTGGTATTTCAGATGTGCAGAACACAGAAAGATGCAATGAAGATGCATGTTTCAGAAATTTGTCTCAGGGAAATGCAAAGGAAGATACAATTGTGGATAATCAATCTCCAGTAAATAGAAGTGATTCACCTATTATTGCAATTAAAGATGATTCCAGTTCTGAGGGGCAAATAGTTGGGGTCAGCAAATCTGAGTATAGTACTTGTTCTAATTTTCAGAAGGATGATGATACTGTTGAGAAGACGTATAATGAAAGCAGTGATTCTAAGGAAAAGGAGTTATTGAACATTGGACACCAGATGGATACAGAGGTTTTATTTAGTACGTCAGAGGCATCTATTTTTGCTGTTGGGGATGTGGACAATAACACTTATACTCTTAATGAAAATAATACTGATAGCAAAGTAGGAGGTTTTGCTAGTCTAGGTGCATTGGATTCTACAACATCTTGTATTTTGGGTGAGGCAACACAAGTATGTAAAAACAATGAGCCTGACAAGCAGGGTGACCATGGAAACGTTTGTCAAGATATTTCTGCCATTGACCTTGCGAATAAAAAGGACGCTTCTGTTTCCAGTGTAATGCATTACAATGTTGACCAATCCCATCTTGATTCAGGAGTTAATTCATCATCTTTTAGTACAGGTAACATGGAAACTAAGTTGACAACTGCCACAGTGTCAGATGATGTTGAGCCTGTCAATAATTCAGGTATACTAATAAAATAGAGTTGATTAAACATTACGATATCGTCTAAGTCATTATATAGATTAACCACGTGGTTTCTTTTCATCTTATTTTTCATATTCACAATATATACTAGAAAATATTAGTTTGACATCCTGTGAGATTGCAGATGTTACACCTGCTAGCAGAGTTGTATCTACACATGAAGTTACAGATCACTTTGAAGTTCAAGGAGTGATGCTCCTTGGGTCTGCTTCTATGGTTGAAAAGGAAAATGCAGAAGCTACAGTAGTCAATGAAGCAAGCGCCGAAGGTAAAGTAGGCGATGAAGGAAGCTCTGAAGCTAAAATAGGCAATGAAGGAAGCTCTGAAGCTAAAATAGGCAATGAAGGAAACTCTGAAGCTAAAGTAACCAATGAAGGAAGCTCTGAAGGTAATATAGCAAATGAAGGAGGCTCTGAAGCTAAAATAGCCAATCAAGCAAGATCTGAAGGTAAAATAGCGAATGAAGGAAGCTCTGAAGCTAACATAGCATATGAAGCAGGCCCAGCTCTTCCTGTTAGGTCTTCTGAACAGGACACTGCTCCTTGTCCTGTTACTGGAACTGAAAAACAAGATTTTTCTGATACATCAAGACAACGGTTGTACAAGACAGTAAGCAGTTGTGTTACCACTGCTTCTGCAAGGATGGGTAAACCTCAAGAGACACCTAGTGATAAGGTTGATCAGGAATGTGCAAAAGAAGTTGGTGTGACACCAGTTCTCTGTGAATCAATAGAGAACCAGGGTGATAAACTTGCCGTTTCTCTTACCAAGGACGACGAAGAGGCAATACAAGAGTACCATGACAAGTCATCCACAAAAATATCAGGTATTCTTTAATGTAATGTTGTTCATTTTTGTGATTCTTTAAAGTTCTGTAGTTTGCTATATGAGATTTATGTGTTCATCCTAGTAGGACATTAGAAAAATAATGTAACATACAACACAATTCATGAAGTATAACATCATGAGCATCTCATTATTATTCAGATTGTTTATTATTGCGCACAATAAGATATGTTGATTCTGTTGTATTCTTTCCTTTTGTTATTTACATTAAAAAAGGGTCAGTGTTGTGTCAAAGAATTCTTGGCTCTTGTTTTAAATAGACTGTGGTTTCTTAGATGTCAAACTATTTTTAAATTGTGAGGGATTCTTAATCGTCTTGTGACTTTGGGAGATTCTTACTGCACCATACAAAAAATATCTGGAGTAATGGATGCGTCTGCAGTATATCTAGAATCAAAATTACGAGTGTTACCCTTGTTTTGGCTTCATTATGGATTGAATTTCTGGTTTGATGATTACTGAATTTAAATTCATCTTTGGCTTATAGGATGTGTCAGTTTTTTTCTCCATAAGCAACTAGAAAGTAATACACTTGCTCATGATATGCATGTGTGATTGATTAAGAAAAGAAAATAAAGTTTAATTATTTAGAAATATTTATATGTGAAATTCTTATATTTGTACCACCCTAGAACTTGTGTTAGTTTGTTGAAAATGCTTTGGATTGCCTTTAGGACTATTTTTGTGACTAAAAGAAATAAAAAACTGTCTCTCTTGTTTCCTCTTTTGACGGGTGTCAATTTGAATATGTTGTGGCAAAAACCATTTGATCCAGTCCTAATAAAGCTTGGTTTGGTTTGTTGATATATGACATTCAAACCAAGTCAATCTAATCTTTTGTGGTTTGGATCAAATTATTTCATGAAGGTTTTTGTCCTTTTTTTTGTTGATAACTTTGGTCAATGAGCAAATGAAACTTCATTAACTAGAGTAAGAGTAAAGTCCTAAACTATTTCATAAATCTTTCTTGTGGTTAATTTTTCATTTAATTAGTATCTATTAAATAGCATCAAACACATATTAAAGAACTTGTTCAAAGTATTCAGTTTCATTGTAAATCACAACTTAACCTAAATTATAAATCACATGTCAAAATAATTGTAAGTTTTCTAGAAATACAATTACATATTCATAATCAATTATACATTGTCTTTTTAGATTAAACAGGAAGACTAATATAATTTAGTACTCATGGTTTGGTTTGATTCTGTTCAGTTTGAAGTTTGAATATGGGAAGTAGAAATTGAACCACACCGGAAAAAATAATGCTGTTTTTTTGGTATCTATGTTTTTTTTTTTAATTTTCTTGGATTGGTTTATTTATTAGGATAGATTCTTAACCACCCCTCCGTTTTTCTTACTAGTAGGGAAAACAAAAAGGTAATTAAGGCAATTGAGTTGGTTGACCCATATATATATATGTGTGTGTGTGTGTGTGTTTCTTTTATTAGTTCAGCCTTTTTATTTTAATTTTTTTTGGGGGGATAGTGGGTTTAAAGGAAAAATGAAAAAAAGAAGTTCTAAACTTATACAATCTAGAATGTGCTGAGTGTGAAATATATGATCGTGGTGCAACGAACAATAGTGACAATATTGATTAATGGGCAATCAAAAGTCTTCTTTTTAAGTTTCAAATACATTTTTGGACCAAGATCATGGATGATGCCTGCAATGAACTGGGAACTTGGGACCGCTTTGCATATATGTGAAGAAGGGTTCATGAAAAGGAGTTCTTCTGTAACATCCTTCCAAAAGAAAAATCAGGAGCAAACCTCCCATTTGTAATGAATGAGATGAAAAAAATGTATAAAAGAGAGGGATGGACCTAACAGATAACTCTTATGAGATTCTCATGTTATTACAATAGCTGATACGTACATAACCAAACACTTGTTTGATTTTTTTTTTAGTTTTTAAAAATAGTTTTAGAGATCAATTTTGAAAAATTATTTTAAATGAAAGAGAATGATATACATTACCGCAAAAAGTCGTGTTGAAAGTTAGAAAATTATTTTAATATCTTTATAGTGATGAAAACGAGTGATTTAATGTAATTATTGGTGAAAATGTTAATAGCCATTAATGAAAATAGAAAATTAAAAACAAAAACACATTTTATCAATTTTGGTTTTATTGTTTTTAAAAACTAAAAAACAAAAACAGTTTTAACAGCTATCATACAAGTTTTCAAAATTTTAAAACCAAAAAAATTAAAAATTATTTTTAAAAACAGTAAACAAGGAAGCCCTAAGATTCACAAGTATTATTTTTGTTAGTGTTAGTGATCTCTGTTCTTTTTTTTGTTGGCAGTTTCCTTGCATGGCAAAGCTAGTAGTGAACTTCTGGTGAACGTTAGAGTTACCCTATCTTATGATAAGAGATTGTTGAATTTAATATGTGCAAATTATGTGTTAGCTGCTTTTATTTGTAACATTCATCTCCTGCTGTTTAACATTTATTCAATTGCTTCTGGCTCCTGCACATATTAGATGATTAATTAATTTTGTAGGTGATGATTTATCTTCAAATGAAGGTTCCAAATCTTCTTTTCCTGATTCCTGCACCAAGTTGCATGAAACTGGAAGCAGTCCTGTCAACCATACTGGTAATGTATCTGTTAAATTTCAAAGCCAACCTGAAACTGAAAAGGATGTGAATCAAGTTAAGGCTTCTGTTCATCTGAACCCTTCAATTTCTGAGTGCATAAATAAGGATGCATTGAACGTGTCTACTGATCATGATCCTAAGGTGAATGATGCATCTAAAGAAGAGGGAAGCTTAGCTCATGTGGCAAATTTGTCCAAAAAAGATGTTTCAGGAAAGACTGCCAAAGGAACATATTCTGGTAAGAGGCAACGAGCTGCAGCGAACAAAGCTTCAATGGTAATCCCTGTTGTGGTTCATAATCTAAGTCTAAAGGCACTCTTATCTGAATTCTATTCTTTGTAATGTTTATATCATGATTGGCTTCCCCCTTTGGGGGGGGGGGGGGGGCTTCATGAAAGATTCATCACAGGATAATTCTGCATTTTTCCTTCTATAAATTCCAATGCACTCATTTTTTTCCCTTTTTTCTTCTATTCTTATTATTGAAGGTTGTCCAGGAGTCTCCACTGACTTCTGTAGTAGGTACTCCTAAAACCAAAGTAGTTGGAAATATCTCCCTTGGGAGTCCACAAATATCTGATGGTGTTATAGCACATGGTCTTTCTCAAGGAACACCAGAACGCAAACCTAGGCGAACCTCCAATAAGACAAGTGGAAAGGAAATTTCTAGGAAAGGAAATAAAGGTAAAACTCCAGGAAGACAGTCAGAAAGAGGGGAGAGATCAACTACCGTCTCTTTGAGCCCGTCACCTGTTTTCCAGGTGATGCAATTGAATGAGGTGCAGCAGTATGGGCATGTTGATTCTGTCAGTACAAAGCCATTTGCTATTTTAAATGCTTCTACTTCTAGCCTTCCAGATCTGAACTCTTCTGCTTCTCCACCTGTTCTGTTTCAACAGCCTTTCATGGATATTCAGCAAATACAATTGCGTGCCCAGATATTTGTCTATGGGGCTTTGATGTGAGTTCAAATGTTAGCTATACTATATATTTTAGTTTATTCATTGTCTTGGAGGCTACATGATGTGATGTGCACGTATGCCTATGAATTGTGTTTTGTCAATCATTCCCCACAAGTATTTCATATCTGACTTTCATCTTTCCCCATGGTCAATTAAAAATGGGATCCAGTTTTATTGTAGGGGATTTCACATTAATTGATGTGTTGAACCTTGGACCTATTTTATGCTCATTCAATAATTATACTATCTTAAAGCAAGGGATTAGATAGTAATCTGTTTAGGCGGCTTGATATGCTCTGTACTCTCGTGTATATTAATAAAAAATGCCAACCATTTCTCATATTGATTGATGTTGCTGCAGTCAAGGCACTGTACCTGATGAGGCATATATGATATCAGCTTTTGGGGGCCCAGGTTTTTTTCCTAATCATGTTCCTTTTGCATGCTCATATCTGTTATTTGTACAAAGTATTGAGTATCATTGTGCTTTTAGATGGTGGAAGGAGCATTTGGCAGAATGCCTGGTCTTCCTGCATGGAGAGGCAGCATGGTAAAAAATCTCATCCTATGAATCCAGAAACACCTCTGCAATCAAGATCTGGTATCATATATATTAATTTCTTTATTTATTTTTATTTAATTTGATTGTGTAACTAACAATATAGAATTGAGTTCTGCAGGTCCAAGAAATACTGATGTAGCAGTTAAGCAAAATGCCCTTCAGGGTATCTCTTCTCCTCTTGGCCGAGCCAGCAGCAAGGCTACTCCGACAATTGCTAACCCATTAATACCCCTTTCATCTCCCCTTTGGAGTTTGCCAACTCCTTCTTGTGATTCCCTTCAAAGTGCCCTTGCAAGAGGCTCTGTTGTGGATTATTCACAGGCACTTACTTCTTTCCATTATCAAACCCCACCTGTCAGAAACTTTCTTGGACACAACACATCTTGGTTAACCCAAACCCCCCTTCGTGGATCATGGAATCCAATTCCTGTCCCTGATAACAACAGTTCCCATATTTCTGGATCACTTCTAACAGATACAATTCAGTTCAATCCCGTCAAAGGATCTTCTGTTCCTCCAAGTGTAAAAAATGCTTCTCCTGGTCTGACAGCTTCTTCTAGTGCAGGCCTCTTTATAGCAACTACCCCTCTGCATGATACAAACAATGTGACAGTATTGAATGCTCAGCATTCTTCAGATCAAAAACCCAAAAAAAGAAAAAAAGGTATGGTGTCTGAGGATCTTGGCCAGAAAGCTGTGCATTTGCAGTCTCAAGTAGTACCAATTGCTGTTGGGAGTGTGCCCATAACTACTGTTGAAAAGTCAGTTGTGTCTCTTACTCCTCCATCTCTTGCTGATCAGCTCAAAAGTGACTGGAACGTTAAGAAGAGGATTCTGTCAGATGAGTCTCTTACAAAGATTAAGGAGGCAAGGGAAAATGCTGAGGAAGCTTCTGCTCTTTCTGCTGCTGCTGTGAATCATAGCCTGGAGATATGGAAACAGTTAGATAAACAAAAAAATTCTGGATTGGTGTCAGATATTGAGGCCAAATTAGCTTCTGCTGCAGTAGCAGTTGCTGCTGCTGCTGCTGTTGCAAAGGCAGCAGCTGCTGCTGCCAATGTTGCATCAAATGCTGCATTGCAAGCAAAATTAATAGCTGATGAAGCATTATTCTCATCTGGTTATGAGAGTGCTTGCCAAATTTCTTGTTCAGAGGGTATGAGTAACTTGGGAAAAGCAACCCCTGCGTCCATTTTGAAGGGTACTATTGGAACCAATAGCTCTAGTTCTATCATCGGAGCTGCAAAGGAAGCTGCAAGGAGGAGAGTGGAAGCTGCTTCAGCTGCCAGAAAACGAGCTGAAAATATGGATGCTATTGTGAAGGCTGCTGAGCTGGCAGCAGAGGCTGTATCCCAGGCTGGAAAGATTGTAACTATGGGTGATCCTTTGGCATTAAATAACATAGTAGAAGCTGGTCTAGAGGGTTGTTGGAATGCAGCCCGAGAATCCACTCAGCAAGTTGGCTTGTTGAAAGACATGACCTGTGGTCTATTGAGAGCGGACAATATTGGAGACAGACTCGAAACTTCTCAGATATGTGATAGAGCTCATGAAATGGGGAAGAACACTGCTGCAAGTGAGAAGTCACCCTTTCATACAGTGCATAGTGAGATATCTCAGGACCATATGAAATGTATTGAAAGCATTTCTTCTGTTATTAATATCAACGAAAATAGTTCAAAAGGACCAAATCTAGTCAATCCCATTGATGTGCTTCCCGAATCAGAAATTGAAATACTGGCTACTTCCATAGCTGGTAATAGACCTCAAGATCTAGAGGAAGATAACATCAAGGAGGGCTCACCTGTAGAGGTTGTTTTCTTTAATCACTTTTTTAGTGAATTTGGCGATGATTAGTTAATAATAAAAATAGATGCATCATTTTGAATTCGGAATTGCTTTTAAATTATATCTTTTTCCTGGTTTTCTAAAGCAATCATATGTATCAGGTTTTCAAAGAAGGAGAAGCATATCGAGCCGCATGGTACAAGGCCAAAGTATTAAGTGTAAAGGATGGTAAAGCTTATCTAAGCTACGATTCACTTTTAGATGATCAAGGTTAGTTTTTGAAAAAAAAAAACTGAATTACTTAACATGTGAGACAAACTACAATAGTTTCTTTTTCAATTTTTGAACAATTTGCTAGAATTGAACATTGGAATGAAAAAACTAAATTTGGATCATATAACTTTGCACCTTATATTTTTCCGGTGTTTGTCATCGGTTTATTGCATAGATTCTCAATTTAGACTTGGAAAATTAAGAAACAAATGTTATTTTCAGGTGTGGGGCCTTTGATGGAATGGATTTCACTTGAAGGTGAAGAGGACAAACCTCCCAGAATACGCATTGCTAGTCATATAACTGGTTTGCGTAATGAAGGAACAAGGAAGAGACAGAGGGCAGCTATGGTAGATTATACTTGGTCTGTTGGGGATAGGGTTGATGCATGGGTAGAAGACAGGTATTTATCTGCAGTTTTCAAGTTATGGTTATGGAATAGAAACTAATATTGATAATATTTAGTTTATATGAATAAATAACCTGTTTTAAGAGGTATTTTCCTGCTACACTTTCTTACGCATTTAAGGTTTATTAGTCTGACACTAATCAACAGATATAGAGGAAGTGATTTAGTTCCAACTATGTTTTCAACAGAAAATAAGTAACCGAATTTTCTACGTGCTGAGACTGTAAAGTTTCTATATCTAAATTAATTACAGTTCAGATGTGATCAAGAAATTTGTGAAAGAGAATGGATATATTGCACAGGAATAATCATTCTTGCAACGTTCTCGGGAATTTTTTCAGATAATACGAATAAATAGTATCTTTAAATGCACATTTGGTTCCTTCAGGAGAAAAATGTACTTGCAAAAGGTCTTTATCAGATTTAACTCGTCTGATGTTAGCCTGTTTTGTAGAAACTTTGAAGTTCAAAATCTTAGTTTTTTGCACGGAAGCATCATTGTTTTTTTTACTATTGCATTGTTGTAAAGCTACAGCACTTTTAATTTGTATTTGCAACCTAGTCTCTGTTTGGATGAATTTCATTACATTTTTAGGTGAAGAAAATAAGAATAAAATAAATTAAGTTTCTTCCAATTAAAATCAACTTTACACCTCAGCTTATCCAAACAGGGCCGTAATTCTGTATGTTACTCGCATGTTTTACTGTAGTTATCTCACATTGTTGTTTTTGTTATCAGCTGGCAGGAAGGTGTTATCACAGAACAGAACAAGAAAGACAAAACTATAACTGTTCACTTCCCAGGCATGTACATTATTTGATTAAACATTAATGAATATTGTGCTCACAATTGTATAGAACGGCTCCCCTAAAAAACACAGTATCTAAATTGGTTTGCTGCAGTTAGCGGAGAAACATCACTTTTCAGAGCCTGGCATCTACGTCAATCTTTTATTTGGAAAGATGGGAAATGGATTGAGGTTCCCAAGGTTGTGGCAAATGACAGTTTTACGCATGAGGTACATTGTTTGCAATCTCTTTTGATGTTTTAACTTCATGCATGCCTGCGCTGAGTTGTACGTTATGTATGCAGGGTGATACGCCTCGTGAAAAACGACCTAAGTTAGGTAGTCCTGCAATAGAAATAAAAGGTAAGGAGAGGATTCCAAAAGGAACTAATGTCGTGGAGTCAGCAAATCCTGGCGAGTTGAGGTTACTGGATTTGACTGAAAATGATAAAGTGTTCAATATTGGTAAGAACAGCAAGAATGAAAATAAATCTGATGCACAAAGAATGGTGAGGGTGAGGACTGATCACCAAAAAGAAGGATCAAGAGCGATTATTGGTGTTCCTAAACCTGGGAAGAAAAGGAAATTTATGGAAGTAAGCAAGCATTACGTTGCTGATGGGACAGGTAAGATCAACGATGGAAATGATTCAGTTAAGCTTTCAAATTTCCTTGTAACTCAAGGTACAGGATCACGTGGATGGAAAAATACCTCAAAAAATGATACCAAGGAAAAATTAGGAGCTGGCTCCAGGCCCGCCTTCAAGTCTGGAAAACCGCAGAGTGTTTCTGGTAGTAGAGTGATCCCACCGAAAGAAAACACATTATCAAACTCTCGTACTAATGATATGACAAGTCGTGCAGAAAGGATCAAGGATTCGTCCAGTCATTTTAAAAATGTCTCTCAGAGTGAAAATCAGGTAGAAAAAGTGTCCTATTCTGGAAACACTGGAGCTGGGGTTGGACCAATTTTATATTCGTCCCTTGCGTCTACAACTGATTCTCATCCTCCTAAAAAAACATCAACATCAAGGGCAAGTAAAGGAAAACTTGCGCCTGCTGGTGGTGGAAGGTTGGGTAAGATTGACGAGGAAAAAGCGTTCAATGGAAATCAAGTCAAGTCAACATCTGAAATCGCTGAGCCTCGTAGGTCCAATCGAAGGATTCAGCCAACATCAAGAGTAAGATCATGCCTGACTTTAACTAAAATTGGTAGTTCTAGGATGAATCTTATTTTATGTTCTGTTTAGTAATAAAGCCATCTTCGCCGGCTGACTAGTTAATTTTTTTTTTATATTGTTGTCTTTTGTGGAACCTGATGGGTTTGACTTTGGGTTGACAGCTATTAGAAGGATTGCAGAGCTCTTTAATCGTCGCAAAGATTCCCTCTGTTTCACATGAAAAGGGTCACAAAAACCATAATCGGAATACTTCTAGGGGGTGAGAATCTGTGTATATGTTATTCTTCGAGTTAGTCGCCTGATTTTGCAGTATACTTATGAATCTATAATTAGATTTCAATTTTTTGACTGCCACAGGTAATAACCAAGGTTGAACGAGAAGTTGCAATGTGCATCAGTTGAACAACCGACACACTCGGCATAGATGTGTATATTTATAATAGGGAACATAGGAATGGAAATTCTTGTTTCCTTTGGTTTAGGCAGACTAGTCCAGTAGATGTTAATATTGATTATGTTGTTTACAAAATGATTTAATTTAATTCTGTAGGATGTATATGGAATTTATCCATGTTGACTTGTTTATAGAAAGGTTTGTTGATATGATCAAATGGTAAAAGTCGTGTTCTTCATCTTCGTTGAATGTTGACGGCCGTAGTTCTACTTAATCTTGTCCTTTGCCACACTTATCTGCAGAATGATATGATAATTTGGAAAATGGAAATGTATCAATGGGTATTTATTCATATATGGTTGACCAAATCATAGGAGAATCTATCCAGTAACTTACATTATAAGCACTTACAAGTAAAATTTTCAAAAATTTTAGTGAGGTAAATAATTAATCTAATGAACGAAAGGAGGTACGCTGGAAAAAGCATGAGGGAAAAACTATGAATTTTGTTGCAAAATCAAATTACTTGTAAAAGCTAAATGATTCTAATAAAAACATATCTATTATTAACATTTGTAACGCGTTAATGTCTCTTATGTTTTCCCTATACATTGAACTGAATTGAGCCATTCAGAATGTGAAAAAAGAGAATCTTCATCATTACCTATGACTAATTAAGTTACCACTAACTGGATAGTTGCCAAATCAGACTTGTTTAAAATGGAGGAGTTGCCGTAGAGCATTTCTTTCCATTACCAATTGTTTTATCTCTTCCTCTGGATTAACGCTAAACCAAATTTACTGATCTTTATTTATCACTTGCTGGCCCTTCTCCCATGTCGCTTTCGTAGTACAACACTTTCTGCGCCATCCATTGCATTGTCTGCTTTCGTTGTTACATTGTTGGCTGCGAGTTTAGGCTGATGGACGCCATCTAGGTTCAGATCATCCATAAATGGTTTCTCACACACACATGTGCTTGGATATTCATGAAACTCTCCTCGTCCAGGTCTCATCTCATCCGGCTCTCCCATGAATCCTCTTTGGCATGCTTTAACCTTACTTGAAAATGTCTCCCAGTCCATCTCATGCCTCGATATGAGCAGAGCACTAAGCTTCTTAGCATTTGGTCTGATGGTTCTTTTGTGACCCATATACCTCCTGTTTTGGACAAAAGGATAGCAGCAGGTTTATAGTAAAAGCAAAACATAAGAAAAAACATGTTCATTGTAGTAGTTTGTGAAACATAAACTGATGACACGATGAGTTCTTACCTACGACCAGCTAGAATTTTGGCCATATTCCCGTTATTGTTAGTGACAAATACATTACTTTCATCACAAACGATGTAGTCAATAGCAGCGAGGCGGGAAGAGAATGGAAGAAAAGGTTTCAGCTGTTCAGCAAGCATCTCCTTCGTATAAATGTTGGGGAAAAGATCTCTGAGAGGCTGCATGGTCTCATCCCCACCATATATTTCCCCTGATGCAACATAGAGGTATGTGTCATTTGTAAAACCCAGCGCTCGCAGCATTAAACCCACTTCATGAGGAGTAAGAGGACATTTCCCACGCTTTCGCTCTCCATCAGGGCTCAAATCCTGTATTACCACAAGGTGATGGTTCAACAATATCATCAAAGAAATACCTAGTTTTAAATGCCATCTAATTGTCCTCTTGCCAGTATGATAAAATTTTGTTATGAGAAGTCAGGATTGCAATCTTACAGGCAATGTTGTCCACCTTTTCCTGATTTCACTGAGCTCACGTCTTTCTTTATCACCCCCACCAAAATAACAACCTGAAAATGCCAGCATATCGGGCTCAAACCTGCCATGAATTATTAAGAATGAGAAACTTATGGAGGCTATTTGCAATTATTAAATTGCATTGGAGATTTGATATTTTAAAATTGCTTGATGCACACAAAAACAATTTCAGAAAATCATAAAGTAATTGTAAAAAAGGGAAAGCCAAATCAACCAGATTGAAACAACTCAAAAATTAAAAAGATAAGAGCGGAAATTGTGTGTTGGGAGAGTAAAAGAAAACCAGTTCTAAGATCTACAAATTTAAGTGATTGCATAACCATGTAGCGTAAGATGGAAGTTGACTGAACTTTACACGAGTTTCATTGAACAAACCTCAAATGGACTGCTACATAACGGCTAGCCATCTTACGCATTTTCATTACAACTCTTTGACCAAGTTCACGAATAGGTTTTGTAAATCTCAAAGCATGATAATTAACACGGCATCGTAACCTTTGCAGCTCATCATCAAGATTATTTGCTAGTCTATAGTCAAATTTTGTCAATTGCAGAACCTATAAAATATCCAAAAAGCCAGTAAACGCAAAGTTAAAGGGAATTATCCAAACTCACATTAAGCAAGACTTACAATTCAGTATGTAAGTTGTTTACATAATCAAAAACATTTTCGAGTGAGATAATTAAGAATTCCAAACATGTACCAATCATAATAAAAGTGCCATTACCCGTCTTCTCAAGAGTATCGGCAAAACTTGATCAAGATAATATTCAGGTTCTGATTTCCTTGGGACACGCATTGTATAAGGGGGTTTATCCATTGACCGCATAATCTTATCAGGAACTCTTTTAACAATAGTAACATCTTTTGCAAGATAAGTAATGAACCAATTCACATAAAAAATATTGGCAAAGTCGCTGCATTCAACCAAAAATGTTGTTATTAAAAGAAAAATTGTTAACATGATTTTGTTTACTATAATCAGAATATTGAATGTACGTTAGAATCTGCAGGTTACCTGTCGTCCTTCCAAAAAGAGTGATGATCCAACTCAGGTACAACTAGTGTAGCATTAAGAATTCTAGCAGCCACAACTGCATCTGTTATCTAGAGGCAAGAATGCAATTGTCATTTCCACAGGAAGAGCTTATTAATCAATTCAATTGAGAAAAAAAGGACAAATTATCATCATGACTACATAAGAGAATCTGAGCCTCAAATATACTCTGAAAAAAAAAACTGAAACAGAACCAATGAGCTAAACAAAATGTTTTTCATGATTTAATGAATAGGAGAGACAACCAAATGGACTAATATTTTCCATTCATAAAGGTACAGATGATCACTAGACCAGTAACTGTATCATCAGGTCCTCTAAGACCTCAGATATTAGTCGACCTCTATGAGAATCAATATTTAATCTAACTAATACCTCAGTCTAGGTCAGATTAGTGTCGTTGAGCCCATGTCCCACTACCAAATTAACCCTTATTAACTCTATAAATAGATTTTAATGCCACTAGTTTATATAAGACACATTGAATGCTCTAACTTTGACTCAGAACTTTTGGTTAGACAATAACCATAAGATCTTATAGAAAATTCTTATGATGTTTCGATGAATGTCCTACTTACCCCAATTCTTTGTTGGTTGAGTCCTCCACTTGTAGCAATTAGCAAGTAGCCATTGGACTTGCGCTCACGTACAGCAGCTACATTGTCCAATAACCAAAATAAGATGGAAATTGTCAGGTAGAAAAATCATGGAGTTAAGCCAAATCATAAGGAATGCATTTGTTTAGAAGCAAAACAATATATAAACACAACCTTAGATTTGTACAAAAACCACAGAGAGGGAGAAGATGACTTAGCATACTGAGGGGAAATCATCTAAAGTTTCGTAAACCATTCAGTTACCACAAGTAACATTGAAGTAAAACTGTACCATATTCAAGAGCAGTAAAACACCATGCTTAAACTGCTAGCCTAGAACTGTAAAATTGGAATCACTTCTACTGTTGCAAACCTACTGTTTTAGGGTACCAGATGAAGGCTACTAAACTCAAGTGCAACACAATACCCGAGGGTTCTGAAGAGAAAATCAGAGAATGAATAGAAAATACTTGCATACTAAGAATCCCGCGAGATAAACGCAAAAGGTATACAAGACATTAGCTAGCATGACGGAAATCAGTCCAATCATGGGAAAGCTCACACGCAGCCCAGTAAAAGTCTGTTCTTCCTTCTTAGCCTTAGCATCATGTATTATCCTAATCTTGATATAATATCCAGAATGAAATATATTTCTTAATTTTCTCCCGAGGTTTAGAATCAGAGAGACAACAAGGTCAAAAAAAGAACTCTGAAGTCTGAACTTCATGTTAAAATTGCAAAATCTCTAATTAACCAACAGATATCAACATCACACATCCCAAAGTAGCAAAGAATTCAATGGACAAAGAGTGACTAACTTCCCAGATAGCAAGAAGGAAACACACAACAATCTCAAATTAAAAAAAATTCCAAATTTGCTTAGGTTTCATAAATCTTCATTCATAATAACCAGCCACCACATCACACAAAAAGACAACATCAACATGAACACAAAAAAGCAACAACATTTACTCACGACCAAACTGCCGCCCCCTCTCCTTGCATCCATAGTAGTATTTAGAATACTGCGATTTCCAGATATCAATTGGCTCCTCATCACGTCCATCCTACAACATTCAATTAAAACACGGTTAGTATTATAATTATCAGTAGCATTAACAAACACATTGGTAATATGTGATGTTGTTACGAACCAGTGTGGAGTAGAGAGTGCGGTGGTGTAGTCGGTGAGAGTACCATTCGAGATGAGAGGCGACGTGGCCCGTCAAGAGGGAAATCAGGCCCAGCCCGAATAGCATTACCCCGCAAACCATCGACCAAGACACGTGTTTGCCATTAGAGTGCAACAGTGCCAGGTTGGCCCAAAACCACCGACTCTTCCACACACCCTTTTCCATTTCCGTCACCAAAACCAACCCCGATTCCTCATCCCGCGTGAGAGAAGAATCCAAGCAACGACGAACCCTGATTTAGGGTTTTGCAGAACCGTGAATGAAAGAGTGTGCTGGAAAGAAGGTTTCTTTGTATGTTTGCTTTCCCAACACGAAGATGTCTGTGTTGTTTAGATTTTATGTGAGATTTATTTTGGGTTATGTTGGATTACATAGATTCGGTTATTATTGGTAAAGATATGGGGAAGAAATAATGTCGTGAAGTGGATTTATTAGTTAACGACAGCGAGAAAAAAAGAAAAAAAATACGTGACAAAAGGGTCAAAGTTGGTGAAAGGAGCGTGGAAATTGGAATATTTTATCTAACAAACAAGGCACCATCACAGATTCTAGTATGTGCGCCACCATTACTTAGGTATAATTGGGGTCTTTTTTTGCCACAGTCTGTTTTTGAGTAAAAAATTTAAAAGATATTTAGATTTAGAAAACTAATGTTAATTGGTTCAAGTTGGATCAGTTTTAAAAAAATGCTAACAGCTATTTCATCTCAGTATTGTCATATGGTTAAGATGGATGCAACAATTATGGTGGAAAAATGTCAATTATGATTAACTTTTGTAACCAATTGTCACATTTTAGTGTCAAATTTCAACAGATTAACTCAATGTCAATAATTTGTATAACATGACACATATACAACTTTCACCTCCATATTTTGTTGTAAAGGTAACATTTTTCGTGTTAAAATCTGTTGCTAAAACATTCACGTGCACCCAAAGCTCGGTGTCTCTTTCACGGAGAAAACCTAAATCAAGTTGGGGGTGCAATAAATTCTTATCATTTTTAGTATTCACAAACGAAGACCTTAATATATAGTTGTTCTAAGTTTTGATTTATACAAGTGAAACTCGTTAAATTTTGTGATACTTCCTTAGTTAGTTTAAGTGTATTAAATTTCAAACAAATATCAGTGTATTAAATAATGCTTCCTTTAATTAATTCCAAACTGATCATTTTTATTTTCCATAGATATATCAAATTTTATTTACTTTATTTTTAACAAATACTATTATGTTGAAATATTTAATAACATGTTTCAATAAATTATAATAAAAATCAATCTAATAAAAATGACTGATAATAAATATGATTGCTTTAAAGTAATTATTTCCCTCTATGTTATCTAGTAACTGAATGAATATGTGGCATTTCCTTAGCCTATAATAGTAGATCTAATTAATATCACGACCAGACAATATATCTACCTGATGTCTCTGTCTTTGGCATTCAAACTCCAATAATGAATCCAAAAAACAAAACAACACTATATCTTCGGACGCATGGTTCAAAGTCAACAAAGAAAAAGAAAGACCTAGTAAAATAGAATCCCTGAATGAGATGCAATGCATTGTAATTTCTAATTCTCTCTATCAAAAATTTTTATTTTCAATTCTTATATAATTTGAATGTATTAACATGGGAAAACTAAATTAAGATAATGCACTATTTTTTAGAAATTATATGTATGTAACTAAAATTAAACAAACTATTTTCTCAAATAAAAAATCAGGCCTTTTTAATAATTAATTAATCAATTAACTAATATACACAAAAGCAATAATTTGCACAGAGAAAGTAAACGGATGGGAGAGGCCAGGCCTAACCTAGCAAAAGGCCCAATAGTCCACTCGACCTGACCCAATACTTTTAATTTCGAAGGAAATAGATAAAAATAAAATAATCTATTGACAAAGAGCAAAACCCTAAACCCTTACTTGCGCTGTTCGGTCTCCTATTCCAATCTGATCTCCCCGTCAATGGCTTCCGCGTGCAGCAGAATCGCGCAACGAACGTCAATTTCGTCCATAAAATCGGCCATTAGGTCCAATCTTCGTACTTCTTCATTCTCCAAACCAACTTTATCCTCCGCTCCTCTTCGCCAATCCTTATTGACCAGGTTTTCCTACAGCCTACGACTTTCGTTTCTGTTCCAATCGAAAAACCTCTGAAATGATCGATTTCGTTGTTGTGGTTGGTATGTGGCAGGATTTCGCCGGAGCTGAGATGCGCACAGTCGCTGTTGCCGCTACACAGTGCGGTGGCGGCGGCGAGAATGACGTCATGCCTGAGCGTGACTTCCAGAAGCTGCCGAGCGCTCTCTCAGGGTACTCTCTGCTGCACCTCTCCCGGCCTCTAATACTTTCTTTTTCAAAATTATTGGCAAAGTGTGAGTAGCTTCTTTGCTTCTCAGATTTTGTTTCTCCGCGGATTTCCTATCTCTTCCCACTTCTGAATAAACATTGTTGAATTAGGACCCATGCTTTACTATTTCTCTTATATAATTGGAATTGTTTCATTTGAGTTTAATTAGCGAATTTGAGTTTTTCAAACATAATAAAAAAGCTCTAGTCTATTTTCTGCTGCTTGTTAATTTTTACCAACATTTGGCCTCTGGACGATTCTACCGCTATAAATGTTGGTAGTATATACTTAATGATGTATGGAGAATAAACCGAAAAAATGTAATATAGATAATTTAGCCGAAAAAGAGGTTGCAGGGAACGTTTAGAATTAGAAAGCTATGGATAATTAAGCCAGCAGTTAGAGATAATAAGCTTGAAAATGATTCTCACTATAGCATAATTTCAACATGCTTGTCTATTCAAGAAGTTTCAGACAGTGTTGTGTGGCTTAGTAACCGATAGTTTATAGAGTTGGGATGTTAAGTTTAAGTTGCTGGGTTAATGGTTTCGTGGAAAAGAATTGGAGGCTGTGAGTAAGACGTAAGAGTGCTTTAACCAGGAGTTTTGTCGTTAACTAACTGCAAAATTTGGTTCCTGCAGGCACATAGTAATTGGGATTTTGCGGGACCAGCCAATTATGGCGTACTGCTTCATTATCAAGTATGAAAAAAATTAGTGTTTGTTTAACATAATGTATTCTCTTCAACCAATATTAGAATAGAGCTTTGTTTTTTGTTATCTTAAAAACAAAGTCTGTTCGCGGCTTCTGCAGATATTTGAAGTCTAGATGGATGTCATTTTGGATAGTGTCGTCTTTTTCTTGTTGTGTCGGAAATGAAAATGCGAGGGAGAAAGAAGATAGAGGAATAAAATTGGTGAACTTATCTTATATTATATACTATGGTATCTATATTCTTTGTGTCGGAAATGAAAATGCGAGGGAGAAAGAAGATAGAGGAATAAAATTGGTGAACTTATCTTGTATTATATACTATGTTATCTATATTCATTGTTCCATTTCCAATGTCTTCCTCCCTCTTATTGTTTCCCAAGCTAAGGACTTGATGATGTTCCACTAGTCACTGTAATCAATTGCTCATTTTTCTTTTCTTGTTTTTTCTTGTAGAAAATCCGATGTGTTTTCCCCATCCATTCAAGCAGCAAATTGGATGAACATTTTGTTCGTGATATATTTTGATTTGATTTCTCACATCATTAATCTATATGTTCTATATACATTTATTTTACTATATAATAAGGCGAGCTAGCAGTCCTGTATGTTTTTTAGAAAATAGCCATTGTTAATGATTTCAACTCATTACCTCTATCTATTATACTCTATTTACCTTCACTGATAGGATGATGAACTGATGTATTAAAACAATTAAAATTATAAGCACTCGAATGTGTTTCCTGTAGGGTGATTATTTTGTTATTTGAAATTCTTGAAATTTTAAAAGACACCACCCTCTATCAGGACTCCAGCGCATTAGCAGTTGAGCTGGCAATAACATTTCCCTGATTAATCACATTTGTAATTTCATATAAGTTCCAAAATTTTATTAAATTAGCATGCAACAGATGCTGATAATGATTGTAACTGGTTTCACATTTTTTTTTTGTTAACAGTGATTTGTTGGAGTTAAAGTTATCATCAGTGGTTGCCGGTAGTGGGATATGTTTGGAAAAACGAACCGAAAGCCTTATATTCGTAGGTAGCGAAATTGAAATTATGGAGTGCATTGGGTATCGAAATTATAGATAGTGGGATATGATTGGAAAAACGAATCGAAGGACTTATATTGGTAGGTGGGGAAATTGATATTAGGGAGTGCATTGGGTATCGAAATTTCAATAGATAATTAAGGACAGTTGTAATAGTCAACTAGACTCTTCAATGCTAATATTTGCCATGAAAATTTATGATATTTTGACTTTTCATTTTATAGTAAATAATATAATACGATAACATAACTGCTACTTTCATCAGATGGAATTGACGGGACGTGAGACATGCATGCTGTTTCTAAGGTGGGGGTCTTTTGTCTCTGCTGTCCGAAGAGTTTGGAGAACCATCTCTATTAGCATGTCTCACAATTTGTGTTAAAACTATATGTTTAGGTATATTTGTTCTAAAACAAAACAAATTATGCGAATGCCATATGAACAGAACTTAAATTTCATTAACCATTTCAGCCCTTCTTGTACCTTGACATCATTGCGACTGCGCTTATGTAGGAATTTATATAAGTGTTTGCTTGTCAGCTTTTGGTCCTTTGATTTGTTTTGTTTTTTTTAACTCAAGCTTGTTACTAACAGTGTCTTTGTTTTATTTTAGAGCTTGGTCTGTCAGTTCCAAGGTGAGACTTGCTAGAAGAGAGATTGAAGAAAGCCTTGTGTTTGTGAGGATATTAGATGGTTAGCATTAATACCCAGTAAGCGGATGTATACACTGATTCTTTCAGTCTGACTGAGAAAATGATATTTGCTGAATAAAAAATTCTTGCCTAGGTTTTTACGTTCATCCACTTACTTTTCCCAGTCGTGTTTAGTGCCTTTATTATTTTTAAACTGGTTTCAGCTCTTACAATTATTGCAACTAATAAAATCCTAGCACATTCTTTCAGTATGATTCTTAGGATAGATTAATTTTTTCCTAAACTAATTTAGTTTATGTACAAGTTAAAAATTAAAAATTTATAAGAACTATATGGAACAATTTTTATAAGTTAATTTATGTACAAGTTAATTTTAGTTTATGAAGAAGTTAATATCAATCTTTTAAATAAGAAAAATTGTCTGTACTGTAAGTCTTTATAGAGAAACTTAAGATTGGGATCGAATTTAAAAACTCAATTAAAAAAAATAAAATTGTAATACCCGGCCTATTTATTAGCAAAGCCTCTATGCTATGATTACTTTAAGACTCTAAAAATGAAACAAAACAAAGCTCCTGAAAAATCATATTACTTAAAAGATAAGTAAATTATGTTAGGAAAAAGAAAATGTTATATTTAGTACAGAATAATTACTTGACAAATATTTGTTCAGCAATATTGGTTGGCCTCGGTCATCAATACCACAATGAATGAGCAGAGAACTTACGAATGGGTTTGAAAAATTTTAGTTCGCCAAAGCATTCAGAATTTTCAAATATGTAGTAATATGAAGTATCATGGATTGTCCAGTGTTTGAGTGGGTAAACAATATTTTTGTTCTGCAAAAACAATTGTTTATTGAATGGATAGATGGAATGTTAGAAATTTGAGAGCGAGGCGTACAATCTCGGGCAGAATGTGATTATACACCCCGTTCAGGAATTAAACGTTGGAAAGTAAACAGCGGAGATGGCTAACGATTCTCAGGAACCTTTACAGCGGGCTGCATACAATGTCTGGATAAACATGAGGGAAAGGCCAAACATGGCAGCTAACAAGCCAGTGACGATCCACGGAGATCGGAAGTAGGTATGATAGGCTTCTCCCATCCAACGCAACACTCTGATCCTAGCACGTCTGGACTTAAAATGAACTTCGATCTCGTCTCTGATATGAGCAAACATAACAGTCTCGGGCACCGTCAACACATCCAACTTATTAAAGATATCCGTCACCTCTTTATCGCTGCCAAGTTCGTTACGAAGCACGCCTATACGCCTTAGCTCCTTCACATCCTCTGGTCGGTCAATCAGAGAGCAGAGAACCACAACCAGTGAGGTGATCTCAAAATCGTTCCGAAAGCCTAGGCACATTTCGTACGCCATAAGGTTCACGCAAATAAGAGCAGTTGAGCCATCGACGACTATACCAGGAAGTTGGAGTTGTCCATCAATGAAACTGGGGTAGAAAGAATCTGAAGATTTAGCTATTCGAATTCCCGCTGCCTTGATCTCTCGTACGGTCCCAATCCTGTACTTTCTGGGGTGCAGGCACTTCTGCATCATCTTTATTTCCCTATTAAAGGCTGGGTCTCTGTCCCTTCTCAACACGGCCCTTCGTAAATAATCTAAAAGATGAACAGGTTCCTCTTTGTCTTGCTCATCTTCTTCAACTGTTATATAGTGCTCCTCTAACACTTCCCCATTCGATGCCTGCCCGATACCATGCACCATTAGGAAGTTGTGCATGCAGCTCTTTAGTCTGGCTTTGTCATTGCATAACAGCTTGAGCAATTGGTAAGGAATTTGGTTCTCCAACAGGACCATATCGTGATGCAACTGCGCCAGTTGCCCAGCGCTAACCTTTAGTTCTTTCTCCGGATAGTCAGAATCCACGGATTTGTCCAACACATGAAGCACCGAGCACCCATCCACTACTAACATTTCTTCCACTCTCACAGACCGTCGCAGATCGCGGGTCTCGTCATATTTCCAGCAGTCTTCAGCAAACAAGCCCGCAAACTTTTTGTGAAATGAATTGCCAGTTTTTTGTAGTAAATCATTGTAGGTTTGGCAGGTGTTCTTAAGATACGTTGCAGTCCACAGAACCTTGTGTGACTCTCCTCCCTTAACGTAGGGTTTTAAAAAGTGGATTGCACCAATTGAGATAATGTTCGGCAAGTAGAGTTTTTGGAATTCTAAGCGTCCTCCCGTGTAATCTGGAACCCTTTGTATTTTGGGTTTGGAGTCTTCAAGAACCATCATGTTTATGTCTTGAGGATATTTTAGTACATCTATTCTCTTTTTCCAACAGCTGTGTGGTTTCTCAAAATCTGCCGCCTCAGGAATCATTTTCTAGCACGCGACACGGGAGTAGCCAGAAGGGTAAAAGACTTCCAAGTTAGTGGCGACCAGGTATGGAGATAAGGTGCGAGGCTAGCGTGGACTAACTCACCTTTCTATCATCACACCTCATAGTTAGACTTTCTTCAATTATAATACACACAATCCAATTAAAAAAATAATCATTTTCATCTTTTATCAATATAATAATAAAATATTTTATATTTATATTTTTTATATTTTTTTATTGAAGGATTATTTATTAATTATTTTCTCATTTTTATTCTTTTATTAATAAATTATCTATTGATTATTTATCTAAAATAGATTCTCAACCATCACTTTCCTTTGAAATTAATGATTGATTTTCGTTTCTTCTTTATAAATTTACCTGTCTTTTCCTCCCCTGCGTCTCCTCTTCTTTTCCCCTGCAATGACCTCTACTGATTGCACATCCATTATTGGTCTCTTATTATATACATTTTGTTATTTTACTAATCATATTTCATCATCTAACATCCAATTATCTTATTTTGTTATATACATTTAGTTATTTTACTAATCATAGAACCTGCTCTTTGTTCAAAGAATCAGGAACCGTATCTATTTTGTTCCTAATAATCAGCACAGATAAGATTATATATATACATATTCTGCACCAGGACACACACATATATATTATTTATTAAAAATTAAATAGTTTTTTTATAAATATAAATATAAATAAAATATAAATTTTTTATTTTTTTCTCCTAAATTTTTATTATATTTATTATATTATACAAATTTTCACTTAAACTTTTTTTCTCTCTCACATTTTCATTTTCTCATTCAACTTTTTCTATCACATTCATTTTGTTTTTTTACATTTTTATCTTTATCACTCATTCATTTTCATATTCTTCTCTTCTATGTGTCAATTTTTCTTTTTAGTTTTTAATTTTTTTTATTGTGTCATTTTTCTATCATAAAAATTATAATTTTTTCCCTAAATTTTTTTAGTATTTTTTTGTTGTTGTTATTAATTGAAGATATGAAATAAAAGAAGTTAAAAAATAAAAAGAGATATTTTACAATCATTTTCTTAAAATAAAGAAATAATAAAAAATAATTATTTTTTATTAATTTTATTTATTGTTATAATAAATTAGTTTATATAATGTAATATAAAAATATGAAATATTAATATAATTTTTTATTTGTCATAAATTAGTTAATTATTTTAATGTTTTATGATGTTTTATTTTAATATTAAAATGTGAAAATAATTAGCTTAAGTTTTAAAAATATTTAAAAAAATTATAAAATTATAAAATAAAAAAGTATTTATTAAGAGAAAAGAATAATAGACGATGAAATAAATATTATTTATTAAAATTTAAATTTATTTAATAATGTTGAACCTCCTGATAAATATATTATATAATATATTTTTTCTATATGTTGATTTTTTTCCACTAAACTTTCATGATATTATGGAAAAGAATAAGCACATGATAAATAAAATATGGATAAATATTTGATCATCTTTCTCGTATAGTTATACCTTTTCATTTTATTATTTAGTCATTCATATAAATACTTAATTATTAAAAAAAATATTTGTAAATCCTCTCACTTTCCTTGACAGACATCATAAGATTATTTGATATGGGTGTTTTTATAAATGATGATTCTGATTTTGTCCATTGAAGAATATGGACGAGTGATATATGAGTTTATAACCCTTCTATTAAGTTAATTATATTATCATGTTGTTATATTAATACAGGACCCCAATGTTAATGATTGCATACCTTCATAGGAAACAGGATGTATGGACTTAGATCAGAGGACCTTGGATAATACTTTAATACTTGAGAAATTATTGAACTTATAAATAATTGATTAGCATTTAAAATATTAGACTACTTCAATCATGACAAGTCTGTTCATTTATAATCGATTGTCGAATTATACAATTTTTTTTTTACGTAACTATCTCTATAACGTAATCGTTATGTGGTTTTCATCTGATATGACATCTACCGAACTTGTAATATTTTTTCCTTTTTCAAACTTGATGGTTAGAATTTAGGAGTTTTTAATATATATGTTTATTATATATATATATATATATATATATATATATATATATATATAATTTTTCATAATATTTTATTTATTAATTATGTATTTTATATATATAATAAAAATATAACAAAATATTAAATATTAATAGTATTTTAATTTTAACCATTTAAATTAAAATAATAATATAATATATTTTCTCATATTCTAAATAATATTAAAAAAATTAAAATATAATACAAATTACTTAATATATAATTAATTTTATATAAAAAAACATATATTTTTAATATTTATTTATTTATGTTTTAAATTTGATTTTTCTCTTTTATATTCTTATTTATTTATTTATTTATTTTATTTGTTTCATTATCTATCAATATAGTAAATTTATTATAGGTTTAAATTCCTTTAACTTCTACCATTTTTTTCAATTCAATAAAAAATTTCTTTTGATTATAATTATGGTATTTAAGTTCTTTATCCTTTTATTTAGGAGTCTTATATTTGATCTTTTAAGAGTTTTTTAATATTTTTTTTTTACTCATATGTTATGACATTTCTTACCTCTTAAACAATTCTTTTTTTGAAAGAGTGTTACTTTTTGGAATCTTATTTCAAAGTATCATAGAATACTTTGTAAGTTTACCAATAATTTTAATTTTAGGTAGTTGGTTGATGAGATTTTTTCTTTAAGGACTCTGTGCTCTTCCCATGGTGGATAATTTAATTACTCGTTTTCTTTATATTTTTCTTTAAATAATTTCAATTTTATTCGGTGACTTTAAGTGATGATCATAGTGAGATCATACAATAAACATTAATTTTCTTCTTACTTTACTTATTTTTTTTTTTTTGAATTTTAATTTAGATCATATGAGATTTTCATATTAATCTTCTTCTATAACTTCTCAATTAAATTTAGTTCTTAATGATAAAACTGCATTCACGTAATAAAAAAAAAAATCTCAGGTTTTCTATTCTTGTTTCTCCTCTTTTCTTTTAATTAAAAATACTATGGTAAAATTTAATAAAAATATGTTAAAGTAATTTTTTAAATCAAGATTAAAAATAAAAAATATCAATTAATTTATTTAAAATATGATGCAGTAAATATTTTCTATGATAATAATAAAAAATTTATTTAAAATGATTTTATTATAATAAATTAATTATTCATTTAATTAAAAAATATTAAATATGTATGAGTTTATTTTATTTGTATTTAATCATAATTATGTTGAGTAAGAAGTAATTTTAAAAAATTATTAAAAAAACTACTTTAAAACAAATATTGATTTTTTTTCTTAATAATTATAACATAACAATAATATTTATTATGTAATATTATAATGTGTTAAATTATATAATATTTTTAGATAATTTAAATATTTTTATTTTCTAAAAATAATAAAAGATCTATTTTATCAAATTTTAATATGATATTTTTAATAAAAAAAATGGAGTGAGAGAAATAAGAAAAGAAAAGAGAAAAACAAATAATTACATTGTGTCAAATAATTTTTACAATTCATTATCGAATTTTGTCATAATTAAACATGTAGAATTGGATAAATAAACTAACATATATTTAGTAATTTTTATTTTAAAATATAGTGTTTTTATGATTGATTTCATAATTTTCATTATAAAAAAATTGAATTATGATAAATTTCTTTTTCCCTTCATTCTCTAAGTCCAGTAAGAATTTGAGATTTAAAGTTTTTTTAATATATATTTTTTATATACAAAATATATGATGTAAAATTTCTCATAAAATTTTATTTATATAGAGTAAAAATATAATAAAATATCAAAAATTAAAATATTTCATTTTTTATTATCTAAATCAAAATAATAATATATTATTTTTTATTCTAAACAATATTTTAAAATATTGATAATAATAAAAAATTAATATTTAGATAAAATATAATAAATCATATATTTCATATTACCATAATGTACTCTTCTTTCGTGAGGCAAAACTTACAGAAAACAGCGAGAAGTGTTTGGGTAAGGGAGGGTTAAAAAGTCATGTTCTGTTTGACAAAAAAATAAAATAAAAGAAAGAGAGAAAAGTTAAGATTGAACGAAAAGAAGTTAATCATGTGAAAATGGATAAGAAATAAAGTAAACATTGAAAAATATTTTGTTCTAGACGAATTAAAAAGAGACAAGTGATAAAAAAAAATCCAAATCTTATGATGAGTCTCAGAACAAAAAACATAAGAACTAGTATTAAATTCCAACAAGTTAGCACGAGACACTTACGACTTATATTGTGTCCTGGTTTTAAAAATATTTTTTAATTTTTTTAGTTTAAAAAATTTTAAAAATTGTTTGATAATTATTTTGTTAAAGTAATTCTTAAAAATTATTCTTATTTTTAGTTTTTAAAAATTAAAAAATAAAAACTAAAAAAACTGTTTTTTATATTTTTATTTTTATTAATAAATATCAATGTTTTATCTAATAATTATATTAAATTACTTATTTTTATTATTATAAAACTATTAAAATATTTTACAAATTTTGTTACAGTTTTTTATGGTCATTCATGTCATACTTTTTATTTAAAATAATTTTTAAAAATAGAATTATTAATTTTTTTAACTTATTTTCAAAGATAATTTTTTAAGATTGATCTCTCTAAAACTATTTGTTGAATAGAACTTAAAAAAATAATTTAAAAATCACCTAGACTATTTGTTCGTCATATTTATGTTATTTATTTTTAAACTAATGTCAATATAAGTTAAAAAAATAAGCTCAAATTTTGTCCTCGTATAAAAAAATGTTACATGTAAGAACACAAGGATCAAATAAAACAGTTTTCATAAAAAAAAAAAAAAAAGAAAAGGAACGGACAATCCTCTTCTATATCCGAGGAAAGAAGATCTAGATTTAGATTTAGCCAACAACATTTGAACGTTAAACAACACTCTCTATTTATATCTAGAAAACGAATCAATAGAAGAAAACTAAGAAAAGAGAGAAACGTTGGTAGGCACGCACGCGGTTAATATATGATCTGAGGGATGAACGAAAATTTTCTGTCAAGAAGGAACAACAAGCGAGAAAGAAAGTTTGGTAGAACAACGTGGAGGGTAGCTCCCAGTTCTACAATTGTAACTCAAATTTCACGTATGCAAACAGTTACCACAGAAAACAACATTGCTATTTTTGGTTTTTGTCGTTGTCTGTGACCATGAACATGCAACAAAGTTGAAAGGAAGGGACACAAAAGAAAAAAGAAAGGGATAAGAGAACGAAGAGAGGATAGGGTTACATATATATCCTCTCTTTGGTAACAGTTTGATTTTTAATTGCTGGGAGGAGCTTACGAAGATGGTGAACGGAGGGTTGGTGGAAGATATAGCAGTCATTGGAGTGTTGATAGGGCTGCAATTTTTTTACGCAGGAAATGCTTTGTTTGTCAGTTATCTTATGTCTTTGGGCCTCAAAACTCTTACCATTGTCGTTTTTACTTCCTTTGTTACGTTCCTTATTCTCCTACCCTTTGCCTGCTATTATGAAAGGTTCATCTCCTTCTCCCTACAATCTCTATACATCTGGGTTTTTTGTGGATGGAAAATAATGTAAAATTTTAGAATGACTTAGTTTCTTGGTTGTATATATGTGCATCTTTTGCAGGAGTAAATGGCCCACCAAAGTTAGTTTGAAGTTGCTTGCACAGTTTCTCTTGCTTTCATTAGGAGGGTAGGGAAATCTTATGGCTAACTTCTCAATTTCCTTATTAAATTTTCATCTTATGTTTTTCCCCCTTATTAGATGGATTCAATTCCTGTTTTCAAGTCCCTTTTCTTTTGGTTTATTTTTCAGGGTGTAAAGTATACGTTTTTTTTTTTTTTTAACAAATAATTCCATTCTCTAAAATTCGGGCATGGAATTGGTTTTGACTATCATATTCAGGTAATCCATAAAAAAAGTTCCATAGAGTACGCTGAGTTTTGACTCTTGAATCCCATCTATATGGGGAGGAATTTAAGGACACAGCAAATGTTGGGAGGTTAGGAATTGTTGAAGGCTGATGGGAACATTATCATGGATTTTAGGGGATATCTGATAATCTGAACGCTAGAATCTCTCTGAACACAATCTTGCTTGTGTCAGGCACCAAAATTGTCCTTATTTCCAACTATTAAGTGCAAACACCGTAGTTTGTGTTAAACCCTCTATTATAGGAACGCTTATCTTATCCTTTTCTCTGTGGATTGCAAAGGCTCACTTTAATGAAAGGTGGGTACTATTTTAAGGAATTTGTTGAGAGTAAAAGGACATAAATTGTTGTGTAGAACCAGTGTCTCATGGATCCATTAATATCGTTCTGGATTTAACAAAAATTACAAATCAAAATCCAAGAGGTATAACTTCTTACCGTGAACAGGAAAGAATTAGATAGAGACTCAAATGAAAATGTTGCATTTGATAAAAATTAAGTTTTGCAATAACTTCTAATTAGTTGTCACTCCATTTTCTAATTCACTCTTCCTTTCTTTTGCTTTATCAGTTTATCCTTTTTTTTGTTCTCTTGATATCTATTCATATACATGTGGTAATTGTGAAGAAAGAAGTCCCACATCCGTGGGAACTTCAATCGGGGGCTCTCTTCCTTCTTATAAAAGGAGCCCCTCCCCCCTTATTTCATACATCCCAAAATTTCTCCTTCTTTCTCTTTTACTTTCCTAGTATTGGTAATTTCCAATTGTAAAAGGAAAGAGTGGTCATTATAAAATTTTTATTTTTGCCTATTGTCAGGGTTATTTTCTTCGTCTCTATTTTAGTTGTGTGTATTTGTGCTGGTACTCTGATCCTAACAGTGGTATCAGAGCTGCGTTCGAGTTCTGTTGCGCTAGTCACTAGAATAGTGTTGGTAAAATTCTGAGTATGCTCTGTGGTTGCGGTTTAATCTGATCTTCCACATCAGAAAAGAGTTGTTACTGGAAAAGGTGTAGTAGTGTGAAACTGTTGTCTGGGGAAGTTCTGGCTAGGAAAGACTTGGTACTTAAGTGTGTCCATTAGTGACTCACCTCTCTTTCCTGGGAACTTACCTAGTGTATTGGTTCACGGTCTACTACTATTGTTCCAGTAGACAATACTATTCATAAGTGAGAGTTGCATAAGTGGAAACACAACTATGGCAGCAAAGTACGAGATAGAGAAGTTCAACGGGAACAATTTCTCGTTGTGGAAATTGAAGATGAAGGCAATCTTGAGAAAGGACAATTGCGCAGAAGCAATTGAGGGAAAACCTGCAGAAATGGCGGATAAAGATTGGAAGAAAATTGACAGCAACGCTATTGCAAATTTACACTTGGCAATGGCAGACTCAGTTCTATCCAGTGTTGCGGAGAAAGATTCTGCAAAGGAGATTTGGGATGCCCTCATTAAATTATATGAGGTGAAGTCACTTCACACAAGGATATTCCTGAAGAGGAAACTCTATACTCTTCGGATGAGTGAGTCCACATCGGTGACGGACCACATCAACCAACTGAACACCTTGTTTGCCCAATTAGCAGCAGCAAATTTCAACATAATTGAGAATGAGCGTGCAGAGCTTTTACTTCAGAGCTTGCCAGACTCGTATGATCAACTCATCATCAACATTACAAATAATAATATTGAAGGACAACTACACTTTGACGATGTTGCCGGAGCTATTCTAGAAGAAGAATCCAGGCGAATGAATAAGGTAGAAAGTTCTAAACAAGCAGAAGTTTTGACGATGATGAGAGGAAGATCAACGGAACATGGCTCAAGTGGGAGTCAAGATCATGGCAGATCGAGCTCTCGAAACAAGAAGACTTTCAAATTTAAATGCTACTACTGTGGCAAGAAAGGGCACACGAAGAAAGAGTGTTGGAAGAGGAAGAATGAAGAATCAACCTCACAGGGTTGCGTTGCGAGTACTTCAGAGGAAGGAGTAATTCTGGTAAGCGAAGCAGCAATCAGCTCTAATGGCGGAAACGAATTTCATGACAAGTGGATAATGGATTCAGGTGCAACTTGGCACATGACCCCACACCGAGATTGGTTTCAAACCTACAAGCCTATCTCAGGTGGATCCGTGTTCATGGGAAATGACCATGCATTAGAGATTGCTGGAGTTGGTACTGTCAAATTAAAAATGTATGACGGTACTATTCGTACAATCCAAGAAGTACGACATGTGAAGGACTTGAAGAAAAATATATTGTCTATAGGGCAATTGAATGACCTCGGCTGCAATTTTAAAGGCAGTGAGGGGAAACATAGTTGTCATGAAAGCAGAGAAAATCATGGCAAACTTGTATGTGCTTATGGGAGACACCTTGCAAGAAAATCATGCAACAACTGCGTCAACAAGCCAAGAAGAAGCGGCGGTAACGTGGCACCGTAGACTTGGACATATGTCAGAGCGAGGTCTGCAGATTCTTGCGGAACGTGATCTCATACCTGGGCTCAAGAAGGTCGATTTACCCTTCTGTGAGTATTGTGTGACAAGCAAACAACACAGGTTGAAGTTTGCAAGAACCACCACAAGGAGTAAGCAAACTTTGGACTTGATCCATTCTGATGTCTGGGAATCGCCGGAATTATCTCTCGGAGGAGCAAAATATTTTGTGTCGTTCATCGATGACTACTCGAGGAGATTATGGGTATACCCTATCAAGAAGAAGTCTGAAGTATTTGCGCGGTTCAAAGACTTCAAAGCACAAGTAGAACTTGAGACCGGAAGGAGAATCAAGTGTTTGAGGACAGACAATGGAGGAGAATATGTAGATGGAGATTTTCTAGCATTCTGCAAGCAAGAAGGAATTGTGAGACAATTTTCTGTTCCACACACGCCTCAGCAGAATGGTGTAGCAGAGCGGATGAATAGAACTCTTCTAGAGAGAACCAGAGCTATGCTGCAAACTGCAGGCATAACAAAGTCTTTCTGGGCAGAAGCCGTGAATACTGCCTGTTACTTGATAAATCGGTCTCCATCAACAGCAATTGGGTTGAAAACTCCTATGGAAATGTGGAGTGGAAAATCAACCGATTATTCTTCCTTACATGTGTTCGGTTGTCCCGCGTACGTGATGTACAACACCCAAGAAAGGACGAAGTTGGATCCAAAATCCAGGAAATGCATCTTCTTGGGATATGCTGACAATGTGAAGGGGTATCGATTGTGGGATCCCACTGCCCACAAAGTTATTGTTAGCAGAGATGTCGTCTTTGCAGAAAATGAACTGCAAAGCAAGCAGATAAATGACAGCTCGGAAAAGGACAAGACTATAGTACAGATAGAGAAGAAGACTTCGGAACATTCCTCTGAGTCAGAGGAGGAGCATGAAGAACATGAGCCAAATGAGGTGGAAGAAGGAGAACTCCGACGATCAACAAGAGAAAGAGTCAGACCATCTTGGCATTCACAATATGTGATGGCAAGTCATGATGCGTATTGTCTCCTAAGTGAAGAAGGAGAACCTTCAACTTTTCAAGAGGCCGTGAGTGGTTCAGAAGCTCCTCTATGGATGGCTGCTATGGAAGAAGAAATTGAAGCTCTTTATAAAAACAAGACATGGCATCTTGTGGAACTTCCAAAAGGTCGCAGAGCCATTGGTTGCAAATGGGTCTATAAGATCAAGAGAGATGCCAATGATCAAGTGGAAAGATATCGTGCTAGACTCGGTGGTAAAAGGATATGCTCGGAAAGAAGGCATTGATTTCAACGAGATATTCTCACCGGTTGTTAGATTGACAACAATCGAAATTGTCCTGGCGATGTGTGCTGCATTTGATTTACATATTGAGCAATTGGATGTAAAAGCTGCTTTTCTTCATGGAGAACTTGAAGAGGAAATATATATGCTCCAACCAGAAGGCTTCAAAGAGCAAGAAAACTTGGTTTGCAGGTTGAACAAATCTCTATACTGGTCTAAAGCAGCGCCAAGGTGTTGGTATAAGAGATTTGATTCCTTCATTATTAGCCTCGGATACTACAGACTAAGTTTGGACCATTGTACTTACCACAATAGGTTTGAAGAAAATGATTTCATCATATTGCTGTTGTATGTGGATGACATGTTGGTGGTAGGCCCTAACAAAGCTCGAATCCAAGAATTGAAGGCACAATTGGCTAGGGAGTTTGATATGAAGGACTTGGGACCAGCAAACAAGATTTTAGGGATGCAAATTCACCGAGACAGAAAAGATAGGAAGATTTGGCTTTCTCAAAAGAATTATTTACTTAAGATCTTGCGGCGCTTCAACATGCAAGATTGCAAGCCAATTTCTACCCCACTTCCTGTCAACTATAAGTTATCCTCAAGTATGAGTCCTAGCAATGAAGCGGAGAGGATTGAAATGTCTCGAGTACCGTATGCATCAGCAGTGGGAAGTCTTATGTATGCCATGATTTGTACAAGACCGGACATTGCACAAGCAGTGGGAGTGGTTAGTAGATTCATGGGGAATCCTGGTGGAGAACATTGGCAAAATGTGAAGAGGATCCTTAGGTATATAAAAGGAACCTTAAATGTTGCATTATGTTATGGAGGATCAGAAGCAGTTGTCAGAGGCTATGTAGATTCGGATTTTGCAGGTGATCTGGATAAAAGGAAGTCTACTACTGGTTATGTGTTTACCATCAATGGAGGGGCGAGTAAGTTGGTTATCCAAGTTACAAGATGTGGTAGCTCTGTCTACTACGGAAACCGAATACATGGCTGTCACCCAAGCATGTAAAGAAGCTATCCGGATTAAAAGAATAATGGGGGAACTTGGTCACAAGCAACAACAAATTGTTGTGTACTCGTGATAGTCAAAGTGCCTTACACATTGCAAGGAATCCAACCTTTCATTCGAGGACAAAACACATAGGAATAAGATATCATTTTGTTCGAGAAGTAGTAGAAGAAGGAAGTGTAGATTTACGGAAGATCCACACTCGAGAAGAACCTAGCGAGATGTAATGACAAAGCCGGTTAATGCCGACAAGTTTATATGGAGTCGATCCCTCTATGGCCTATCGGAAGCATAAGCAACATGGATGTGAGAGAAGAAGACATAGTGTGAAGATTTGATTAATTTCATCAAAATCTTCAAGTGGGAGATTGTGAAGAAAGAAGTCCCACATCCGTGGGAACTTCAATCGGGGGCTCTCTTCCTTCTTATAAAAGGAGCCCCTCCCCCCTTATTTCATACATCCCAAAATCTCCTTCTTTCTCTTTTACTTTCCTAGTATTGGTAATTTCCAATTGTAAAAGGAAAGAGTGGTCATTATAAAATTTTCATTTTTGCCTATTGTCAGGGTTATTTTCTTCGTCTCTATTTTAGTTGTGTGTATTTGTGCTGATACTCTGATCCTAACAGTATTATGTTATGCAGGGTAACACTGTTCCAGTCTCTATTCATTAAAGGAATCAATCTAACCTCGCCATCATTGGGAACAGCCATGCCAAATCTTGCACCAGGTCTCATCTTCATCATCGCATGGATTTTTCGGTAATATAATCTATTTTTGCATGAGCTTGATAACTTCAATATTTCTCTGAACAGTAGGGGATGAAGAGCCACTTTCACATATTAAGAGACATTAAAGTTGACAATACAAATTTTGCAAGTATGGTATGTATATAATTTCCCTGCAAACTAATGAAAATTTTGGTGTGAGGCAGGATGGAAAAAGTGAACTCAAGCTGCACATATAGTAGAATAAAAATTGTTGGCACATTTCTTTGTGTCTCTGGGGCTCTCACATTGAGCATAATGCAAAGCATCTCTGCACCTAAGTTCACTAAAGAGGGCACACTTCAATCACCATCTCCACCACCGAATTTGACGTTTGACAGGGACAAGTTAAGCGGTTGTCTCTATCTCATGGCCGCAGTCCTCATATTGTCAAGCAACATTGTCCTACAGGTAAAACACACAATCACTCAAACATGTTGCAGTGAACTTCTTATATATTCTGTGTTTGGTTCCATATCTCTTACAGAATTAATTTCTTGCTTGACATGTTCTCAAACATGCTATTACCAAAATTTGTGATTCTTGTAGGCCTTTACTCTGGGAGATTTTCCTGCACCGATGTCGTTGAGTGCAATAACTTGCTTTTTCGGGACGTTTATGACTGCCGCAGTTCAATTAATTCAGGATCACGAATTCAAAACTGGTTGGCCAGTTGTGGGGATTGGAGACCTGATTGGCTATTATCTTCTGGTAACCAACCTTAAAGTAGTCTTATTTTCCAATTCATCATAAGCTTATTCGTTTTGAAAGTCACAAAATAGGTACTACACCTGGTCACATACAACAGCATGTGATTTGCATAATGTAGATTTTTGAAGGGCTTCAACTGTTTCTCTCCCTTTCGTTATTTATTACATTTGAATTTTTTTCTCTGTTCTTACTTATCTATACGATTTACTATACAAGTAACATTTTCCTAAATTGTAATGCACAGGCAGGTGTAGTGAGTGCAATATGCTCGAGTGTGAATTGTTGGGTAATTGAGAAGAGAGGACCGGTGTTTGTGTCCATGTTCAGCCCTATTGGCACAGTCTGCTCAGTCATTTTCTCAGTTGTTACTCTAGGACAGACCATGAACACTGGAAGGTACTTTGATAATATTCCTATCTATATACCTTTGTTTTTGGTTTCATATCATATTCTCAACTGCATTATCTCATTCGTCAGTTCAATGCTTTATTGCAGCTTGGCGGGTATGTTCCTCATGTTCACTGGCCTCTACATTGTTCTTTGGGCCAAAGGTAAAGAAGGTGGCATAAAGAGTGAGAATGATGCAGAGAAGCCTCTCTTAAGTTGACCTTTTATCAAATGTCAAAGGAGTAGCATGTAGTATTATGTACTTATTTTATCCATAGAAACAGAATAAATGGAATAGAAGTTATTGCATAAAAATCAAGGTCACAAGTTTTATTTTCATTAGGGTTATTATTGAGAAGAGATTGTTATGGGTACAATAAATCTTAAGAATTCTTAATTTAAAAATTAAAAAATAAAATTGTCGAGGACTTCGAACTTTAGTATAAAATCTGTTAGTTGACAACAACATAAAGATATAAAAGGAGATTGAGGTGTATAAATTCAAAGATCAAATAAATAGTTAGGTTTTCACATAAAAAATTATAATTAATTTAGTCACTTCTATCTTTTAATTGGAATAAGAAAATATATGTCAATTATGTTTTCATTTGATAATATAATGTGATTTTAATATGACGAAAAAAAGTGAAATCACACAAGAATAATAAATATCATAAGTGGTTCCATTTTCGATTAAATGAGGAACATTTTTTTTTATCATATTAGAAAAGTAGAAAGAAAGACTAAAATTTCATGAGACTTAGTTTGAAATATGATTTTCTCTTAAAATTTTAAAGAGATTGTAAGTCTTAATATTGTTCCTATGTAAATCAAATTGTTATTTTTTCAATTTTTCCTTCATGCTCTTCTTGTCTTAGGTTGAGATATTGAAGATCATTAACATCCATTATTAAATATAGCAACCATAACTCATGAATTTTAAAATTCTGATATCATAAAATAAAATAAGAAAAAAAAAACCAATACGTATGTAAGTTCTTTGTATTTCTTCTTACAATAACAATCTTATAATTCTAATAATAATAATAATAATAATAATAATAATAATAATAATAATAACCTATACCAACAATATTAATTAAAAATGATTGATATAAAATACGGAATCATAAAAAAACAAAAAAAAAACAATATAATTGAGAAAAACCTTAAAATGAAATACTAACGTATTTATGTGTTTATTTTTTTAATAAAAATAATAATAGTATTATGAAATATTTTCATTTTTGTATTTTTTATAAAGAAAAAACAAATATTAAAGTTATGAAATCAAATATGAGGGTTTTAAAAAGGAACTATTCACTTCTTCTTCTTCTTTTTTGTTGCGTTTTTGTGTCGTATTAAATTAATTTTCAAAATACCCAGCATTTTGCCTTAAATAATGAGACACGTCCCATGACAAAGTAAACCCTAGATGTGGGCAAACAAAGTGTTTTAGAATATGCAAAGGTACCCACAATTTAAGTTTTGGCAGAACCATGTTCGTGAAAAACAGCTTTTTGAATTTCTCTTGAGTACTCTGAAAGGAGGTAGAGGCTTATTGACAACAAAGATTTTTCTCCAACTTTAATTCTTGACCTACCTAGATATGACATAGAATGCAACTAAAGCAACTCGATGTAGCAGCAGAGGATCTTGTGATGCTCTTTTTTGGACCACCATAGTGCCTTGAGAAGAATTTAGCCTTTTGTTTAAGGACAAAATATTTAAGATTTTAATATCATTTTGCAAAATAGGTGTAGGAAGAAAATGGACGTGCAAAAAGATTGAGAACATAAAAACACTATCACGTATCAATCAATACTAAGGGAGGGTTCAAAAGTTCACTAAAATAACTTAAGTGGTACGTATTGTAAGTGGTAAAAGTACTTTTTGTAACATGAAAGAGTCATAGAATATGAAGTAGCAAATTTTAACGGTGCAAGTTTCCAACTTTTTTGCTACCAATAAAAAATTGCTTACGATTTTTGCAGTGAGGTGAGACATTAGAGATTCTATTCTATATACCCTCGGCTTTTAGTCCAGCCAATAAATACAAGTATCTTCTTTTATATTCTTTTACTTTTTGGAGAGTGTTATTTTGTTGCTTTCTCCTTCATTCAATGAGATAATACAATTACAGTCCACTTAATAAAAATCTAAATTATTTTATATCTCTAATACCCAAGATTCCTGCATGAGTTTGTACATACTTATCATGATCAAATAGTATCATATTAGTATCTTGATTTTTAGTGGATTGAACCGTGGATAAATTTTATTGTGCAATTATTAAGTTTTTACAACGAAATTGCCTGATAGTTATAAAAATCCTGAGCTTCTAAAATAAAAGAGTAGTGTCATTTTCTTTTGCTTTTTCTTTGGAGTTCCAATATGGCGTGGTCATGTCAACATGATTTTGGCTTTGCCCTTTGTGATACGCCTTTAGGACGTGCTTTTCTCTTTAGTAGTTTCCATGTGTAGGGCTTCAATGTTCTATGACAAGTCACAAAAGTTAGGCTACTCAAAACACAATTTTCGTTTTATCACTCTTGGAATCGGACACTCCATGTGCAGTGTTGCACAATCTTAATTTATTCTCATTCCTCTTCAAAAACCTACTACCAACTTATCTTCCCAAGGGCTTTCTAAGCTCACCTAATTTTGTACTAGTATCACCATTTTTTTTTTCTCTATAAGGATTAATTTCACTACCAAATACTATCATCCAATGTCAATAGTGTAACTTTTCCAAGGATCGAGCGTGAATTGATCAAATAATTGGCAAAAATTTGAAGCTGAACTAACACAACATCTTTCGTTTATCATTTCCCAGTTCGTCAAAAGTTTCTTCAAAGTCCAGTCTCTCAATTCTCCAGTGGATGTTGAAATGTCAACGCACTTACCTATCCAGAAAGTTTCGATTTGACTTACCACCCTACTCTACAAAAATTAAAATTTTCAATTAATCTGTCAAATTTTTATGATATTTTACCTTAAAAAAATTAGAGCACCATGAAGAGATAAGGTGCTGAGTTGTGCCTAACTTTCCAACCCAAAATCCAGCACAATTGGTTTACCAGTCTTAGGAAAACCAAGAATTTTGGTACAAGTTGGATCTGTGTTGTGTTCAATGCAATTGAACAAACCTCATAGCTATTTCTTTGCTTGCTTCAAGCAGTTATGAGGATTCGGTAACATGGCAATAATGGCAATGCAAGTTATGCATTTCATGAATCATCAATTTCTCATTGACCCACCAACTTTCCTTCTTGTCTAATTAATTTTACTAGATACTCTTGAATCACTGAAAGCAGTGGTTCACCGGTGCAGCATTAACCATAGTGGTTAGAAATATTATAAAAAAAAATCATTGTGTCGGATTTAAAGTTAATAAATTCATAATTAATTTTTATTAATTAACTAAATTTAATTAATTTAATATAATAATCTAATAATAAAACAAAATTAGTCTTCTCTGTGATCCATATCCCATTTCGAAGATTATATCTCTGTCGATCGGAATCCAAACCAGAATCGACGAATTGAAACCATTAACAACATCAACAAATTCCACAGTTGCGAGACAGAGTTCTCCATCGAGGAGCAGGAGGACGGGAGTTTTACTCGCTTCGGAGGAACTAGATCTGGTTCTTGGTCGGAGATCGGTACATGATCGGAGCACCAAGGCACAGAATAAACCACAGGAGATCTGACCGTTGAGTGTGGTGTGATGGAGTGAAACTGCTATAGCCCGCGGATACTATTTGGTGGCAGAGGAGGAGTAAGAGGAAGAAGAGAGAAGAAAAGAATTATTATATTATCGATTACTAGATTAATTAATTAACTAATAAAATCCGAGAATCAAGCTTATGCCTAATGTGAAAATTTTAAGATAAGTAGTGGATTAGGGAGTAAGACATAATAAATCTGTTCAATTGGTCTAATATCAATTCAAATATCATCTTACCTATGTGCTTCAGAAAAAGACTCTGCTAAGATGAGAGTGATTTCCCAAAACATTGTGAGTGTTTTTGTTTTTCCTCTTTAACTCTTGTAATTTTATTATTAGTCTGAAATTAGTCTGCAAAAATCTTGAGTGGTAAGATTTTTGCATTTTTCAGTACAGAATATTTGTATATCACTGAAAGAAGACTCGTAGATAAGTAATTTTGATGAGTTTATAAGTAATAATATATTTTTGAAGGATGTTGTTGTTGTTTTATTTTTGGGGTTTGTGTTTTGTAGCTATAGCAGTTTATATAGGTTGGTTGCAGTTCCAGCAGACAAGGGGAACAAAAGGGAAGGACACATCTAGTGTTGTAGGCCATTCCATAATCTTGACACATGTCTCTCATGTTTGGTCTATTCCTATTGCACCGAAGGGTGGTCCCTCGTGATTCATCTCTTCTTCGAATGCAAAAGCAATGCCTCATCGTTGTCATCATGCCTGTCATAATATACTTGACTTGGAAGCCAAAAACAAACATTTGATAGGTAAGACTTAAAGGTAGGTTGGTTCTTTTTTTGGAGCAAACCAAGTCTCAAAGTGCACCACATTTTTCATTTTTCTAAGCATGTCCTCCCCTTACGTGACCCGACCTGGTGTCATAGATATAATGCCCTACATTCATTTCATTCCCCAGTGAAGTCAAACTCGTCAAGGATGAAAATTTGCAAGAGCTGAAGTGCAAGGAAAGAGTTGTGTTGTGTAGTGCCTACATCCCTTTCTCTGTCAGAGTCACTACTTGCTCTCACTAGACTCTAGCCACTGGTAGCACTCTGCTTGCAAAAAGCAAAATCAACAAAACCAGAAAAGATAAAAGATTTACTACTTTATGTTTGTTGTTCGGACAGCATTTACTACTTGGTGTTCAGTTTGAATGCAGGAGCAATTTCATCTAATTATTTATTTTCTGTCACAAGACATGAATGATTTAAAGGAGTACCATTCTGTAATTTGAAATCCTTGGCTGTTAATTAATATGGTAAACACAAGGCTGGTATTTATCACTGTCACAGAATTGATACTGGGGTAAACCAACTACTACTCATGGATGCTAGCAGACTTTGATGTTCTGTCTTACCTATACCTTTTACTTTTTTGTGATTTTGTGCAAATCATTTAATATGCACAATAATTAGAACCTTTTTTTGCTTTGTTAGATGGTTCTTTAAATTTTTGTGTAGTCTCACATCATTTTTTAACACATCAACAAGAATTGAATAGCTCAATGAATTACTTATCTATTTAGCAGTTTCATTCATTCAAGCTACGAGATTTTTTTTTTCTAAATGTTATGTTCATGAAGATCTGTGACCAGACTTTCTGTAACAATTAAATTGAACAAGAATTTTTCTACGGAAAATTTGAAATAAAAAGGAAAGAAAAGAATGATTTGTTTGCTTAAGTTAAAAGGCATCCTCTGATTAAATTCGTTCCCTTTTTACTTTAGGCGTATGCAGAGTTCCAATTATATCTTTTCCAGTAGCGGTTGCATGCTTTGTTGAATGTTGAAGTGAGTAAAGACAGTCTAAGAATTAAAACAAGTGCATAGTGTAAAGAAGCAATTATAGCCACAGATTTTAAGAATTTTCGTACCCCATTCAGATAAGAATTTGTCCTTAAAACGTTAAGTGTGTAGTCTACTTTAGTCTTCATTTCTATAAATGTGACTTGTCTAGATTTAGATGCCTCTAACTGTTTACACTGTCGTATTGACCTTGTTTGCATCATTGCGTGAGCAGTAAGCATGATACCAAGAACAAATTTAATGAGTATTATTCAAACTTGTTTTAAATTTCTTTTACCATGACGATTAAAACTCAAGTATTAATTAATATGAACAATCTAAGTTACATTTTAAGAACTAAAATTTTAACACAGTACATTAGACGAAAAGTAAAAAGATTATCGATAATAAAAAATATAAACAAAGCTTCTGGATTAAGTTTCATTGAAACAAAACCACAGTGGGTAACCAGTGTCTTGATGTTTGTTTAATCTATTTTAGATGTATCAAGTGTGAAGTAGAGTCCTTCACGAAGTAGATTCGAATCTTTGACGTCACAAGCAACTGCAATCAACTTTTACTGAATCCAACTACTCAGTAGGTGTAACTTCAAGTTAAATTTAAGGACTTGATTTTAGAATTGGAAGCTTCTGTCATAAAAGTGGTTGATAAAATGCTTTAAACTTCACGAAATGATGGATAATAAGGAAGCTTCCGTCGTAATTCAAATGGTTGCAAATGATTGAAAATTGAAGATGGGATTATATGTTTTTTTTTTCTTTTCCAATTAACTTTTGTTTGATTAACTGGAAAAAATGTACTAAAAGAGGAGCAGATTAAAAAAAAAATGATAATTAATGTCACTGTTAAAAAAAGCAATTGATGTTTTATGTTTGTTAAATTGATGCAGAAAATGAACCTGTGAAGTTATTTAAATTAAAAGTCTAAGTCAATGTAGCATATCAACATCATATATTTTATATTAATTCTAGTAAAATATGTATAACAATTAACTTATTAACTAAACATTTAAATACACGGTTATATTTGATTTAGTGTGTAATAAGGGCAGAAGAACTAATAATTATATAAATGACATATTTTTACATAAAAATTGTTTTTGCAAGCACATGCATAGCAATTGCTTGCTTAAAAGTTTTTATGCTGTAAAGACTTAGATATTGACGGAGAACATATTCCAAATATTAATATGTAGGTTAATTAAGATTTATAAAATTAATTTTATATTAACAATCTTAGCATTAGAGTAATTTTTTGGATTTTTATAAAATATAATATGATATTACGAACTATTTTTGATATTTTACATGTTAGAATCTTTTAAAAAAGAGTTAGTAAAGAGAAGATATTAACATCATTCTTAATATAAAACTTAAATTTTAAGATATTAAATTATGAGTATTATTTTTTTATATATTATTTAGCTTTTTTTTTATTTAATATAAGATTAAGACTCGTACATAAATTTTCTAAACACAGATACAAAATTAATGTGATAACTTTTTACGGATAAAAATTAATAAAATCCTTTCATTAAGCACATAAAATGAAGTTTTTTAATGTGCTTAATTTTTATAGTCTTAAAATAGTAGAATTGCATATGAATTTTTTCAATAATAAATAAATAATAAAAAAACAGAGGGATGTACATGTATTCATAAATAATGTACGATGTTTCTCTCACTGCAAAATGCAGAATCAAGAACGATAGGACAAACCACAAACTGTAATTCCTACCATATGGAAGGTCCAAATTTCTTCCCACATTCAAATGAGTTTGATTTCATTTATACTCAAATGACTTAATGAAAAAGGAAAAAATTAGAACAAGTGCATGATAGAAGATATTTAGTTCTTTTTGTATTTTATATGATAAGTGGAGGTACTCCTAAAGCGTGTAGACATAATAAACTTGGTTTTAAAGGACCTACTTTTTATCATTTTCTGTTTTATTGGTTTCCCAGTTCATATGAAATCAATGTTAAGATGTAACTATTCAGCAGCATGGCATTTTCGAAATATGATTGCTACATGTATAACAATAATACAACAATATTGCATTGTTTTTTTGACTTGTTTTCTTCTCCACAGTGGTCCAGATATGGCAAGGTTTCCAGTGACATTAAGCATTTATGCTTTTGATGGTGATTCTTGGTACGAGTGGCTGAAAGAAGTTATAGGTAAGTATAGGAGGAAAATTCTACCAAGTAGATACTTTATTTGCTTATTTTCATAATGTGAAAGTTTTTGTAAAACACGAATTAGCAAGAGGTTGTTTCGCAATCAATCTGGGTTTGTTGAGGGCATCATGATCGATCAAGTGTCGTGACATTTCTTCTTGTTTCCATTACTGGTTGTTGGATTTAAGTCTCCAATTAGACACAAATTAATTTCAGTTCAACTAGGTACACTGATGAAATCTCTTCTAAACAAATATTTTTTTTTTCTACATGCACAATGTTCAAACTCGATTCTAACTTAATTGTTCAAGAACAAGTAAATTTCTTCTAAGCATCAAGAATATATAATTCATTAAAGAAATTATCATACCCTGATTGCTAGACTTATATCAAATAATATGATTTTTGTGTTATAAGACGGACATGGCATTTGTTTGTTTATGTGAAAATGATCTTCAATTCTTTATGTAATGTCCTATTTTTCAACTTTTATGAATAGATAAAAATAACTTTATCTGGTTATTCAATTTTTTCAATCAAAATTAATTATTATTAAAGTTTATAGATAGTTCTTAATTATAATAACTTTTATCTAATATAGATAAACTATTATTAATACCTACATATCCTTGAAATTCTTATATTAACAATATAGTTAGGTAATAATTACAAACTTATGAATAAATTTCTTACATGCATGTTATAATTGATTTATCTTTTTTATGATGCAAAAAGAATTAAAGTGTAGTCATAATTATTCATGAACAAGTTATCGCTTCAAAATTAACTATCCCATTTTCTTGTAATAAGATTTTTTTTATGTATCAAATTAAGAATTATCTCATCAAATATGGCCTTAGTGTATACTGATCAAGTATAATTTGATCAGAAACATGGTCTAAAATCATCACTTCTATATTAGATAATCAATGAAAATGAACTATTTCAATTAAAATTAACATGTAGAAGTATTCATAATAATTTATTGGAAAAACATAATTTAAATTTGTAATAAAATAAAAATATATGAAACAAAATTTAAAATTAATTATAGTGATAATTAAATCTTGGTTACATCTTGCAATCAGGCTTTAATGGAATCACCAATGATTCATGTTAGTGAGTTGCACATCACAACCAAATAATTATCCATTATTACTTCTTCTTTTTTTTATTATTCCAATGAATATATTTCAGGGCCTATACATTTTGTTTCCCATGTAATTTTGCTCCTCCTTACATAAGAAATTTGTCAAATAGGGTGACAGAACCCGAAAAAAATCACATTGGACCCTCACCATGTAGTAAGTAATATTTAACACGCAAATCAATTAATATAAAATTATCGTATCTTATCTAATTATTTGGAAACGAAGTTCAAGTACACAGTTTTATTATATACTTACTTAGTCTATTAAAGAAATGAAAGTAACTGAAAATGATTAATAATACTAATCTTCGGGTTAATTGAGTTTTGAATAGAGATAGTTATAGGAGGCAGTGGTTTATGAAAGCAGTTTTGCACTTGTGGTTTGGAGAGCCCGGGATGCAATAAATGGAAAAAGGTTAATGGAATTGGGCAGCAAGGTTTGCATGTTACTTATGGCTCTTTCTCTGTTGAGGATCACACTTTCTTAATTTTGGGCGCTGAATAATTAATGCCACTGTTATAATGTGTTTTGACATTTTAGCTCGCACACACAACTCATATTTTATTGTAGGCCAAAGGAAACAAAATAAAAAAAAAAATCATAGTTTTGGGGTTGGGTTGTGTGTGGCTTTTGGTGGAGGAATGCTTGTCACCTACTCCTTTTAAGCTCCCAATTCCCCCAAAAACACTTTTGTGTGTGAGACACAACAACACAACCAACACCAATAACAATAGAAGAACAAGAACAAGTAGAAGTGCTAGAAGTAGCAGTGGTGGTTGCTCATCATGGATAGTAGACACAAATGCAAGCTTTGTTCAAGGTCTTTCACCAATGGCAGAGCCCTTGGTGGTCACATGAAGGCTCATCTCGCTACTCTCCCTCTTCCTCCAAAGCCTCAAACGTTGACTCACTCTTCCTTCTCTTATTCCTCTTCCTCAGACTCTGAACAAGAAACGCTCAAAGAAGATGATTCTCTTAGTTACGGGCTGAGGGAGAATCCTAAGAAGACAGTCAGAGCAACGGATCCTGAAGACAGAGAGAGCGAGACCGAGTCAAAGAACCCAACTCGCCAACGATCCAAGCGCAACCGGAAATCCACCATGCTGAAGCTCAGCTTCGTGGTGTCCACACCTCTCAACGCCGAACCCGAACCTGTGAGCTCAGTCTCCGACACCTCTCCTGAGGAAGACGTGGCCATGAGCCTCATGATGCTCTCCCGCGACAAGTGGAACGTAGCCACCAATGCGGGTCCACCTCAGAGATCAAAGAGGTGCTGCACCGGATCAGAGACCAAGCTCAAGAAACTCCGCGGGAAGCATCTCTGCCACACTTGCTGCAAATCCTTTCGATCCTCTCGCGCCTTGGGGAGTCACAGAACCATTTGTTGCCGTCAAGAGGAAGCTCAACATCAAAACAACAACAATAGTATTAAGGTTTTTGAATGTCCCTTTTGTTACAAAGTGTTCGGGTCGGGTCAAGCTCTCGGTGGTCACAAGAGATCTCACCTAATCCCTTCCTCCTCTTCAACAGTAAATGATTCCATCAAATTGAAACAGAGCTTCATAGATCTCAACTTGCCGGCGCCGGCCGAAGAGGACGATCTTAGTGTTGTCTCTGATGCCTAATTTCGATATCTTTAATCGTTTAACGTTTAGTGCTGATGCTATGCTGCTGGTTGAGTCAATTTTTTTTCTTATATTAAAGTAGTTGAGAATATTTCGTTATATCAATGCTTTTGATTCTACCTTAGTAGCTGACTATAAATTATGTGTTTGTGTTTTTTTGTTTTCCTTCTATATCTACTGTTATAACTTACACATGGTGAATTAATAGTTAACTCCGGTGAGTTTTGAATTTATTGGATTGTATACATTTTGGTTCATGTTCATCATACTAAAAATCTTGAACTTAGTTTTTATGCAAGTTTGCAATTTAGTTGTGGAGCAATAACTTTGGCCTTTGAAACACTAAAGCGCCGCTGCATTCTGTTTTAATGCTTTGTTCTGTTCTGTCCTTCCAGCTTGCACTTTTGTTTACAATAAATAATTAAATTGGTACTTTTTCTTTCTTTCTTTTTTAAACCCTTCGATTTTGCCTTCTTTTGTGCTTGTACTGAGGACTCGGCGTGAAACGTGAAAGCAATGATTCCTAAGACGGAGTTTAGAATATAATAGAACTGTACATTTCATTTATTTATTTATGTTATGTTATGTTGTTGTGGGAGTTTCAGAGATAGCTAGGAAGATTTTAAAACTCCCTTCAATTTGTGAATAAGCCTATAGGTTGGTTGGGTTAGGGGTAAGCATATTTTTGTTTTATTATGGTAGACTTAATCTTCCTTGAAAAGAACGAAGTATGATATGGGTAAAAGGAGGAGTTGCGGTACAATTCCTGTGGAAGAATCAGTCAGATTTATGATATGAAAAAGTATATATGGCAGTCAAATGCTCCTCCAAATAAATTAATTAATAAAATAAATGTAAACAAGGAGGAGTTTTGTTTTGTTTTGTACTTATTTAGAAACATCTGTATAGTAAATGGTAAGAAGTTTGACGTCTAGGAAATTAAAGAAAAAGGGAGGAGGAGGAAGTGACCTTTTTTTCTGTGCATGTGATACGTTGCTTCACGAGAATTTACTTGAACAGTGACAGTGATTCATTAGTTTTTTCTGTGTTGAGATTTGTCCGAAAGCAGTATAAGAACGTGAAGCGAAGATGAAACAGAGTTATGAATCATTGATTTGGATCCTTTGAGATAGAGATTGAATGAAGAAAAGCAAAGAAAGTGGGAAAATAGGACAAATGTGAAGCCAGGCATCATGGTCCTAACTAAGTGGCTTGCTTTCCACGATGCTGCATAGCGTAATTGGGATTGGAGGTTGAAATTTGGGCATTAGATAAGATGAATAAACGACAAAATTTACGTTACAAAGAATTGTCGTCTATTCCCAACCTTTCTGCTCCAATGTGCTAATTGTTATTTGTGATAAACCTTACAAACTTCATAACCTGTTTTCTCCGTCTTCTCAAAGGTAACATATCTGTTTCCTCATTTATACGTTTTACAAGTCATTTTGCATTTTCGCACCCGATTCCTGTTTTACCTTTTCTTTTTTCTTTTTGGTAAAGGTCCCCTCCCAATTAACCCAACTTATTGTGTGATTGGTTTGCGTGCTTGGTTTGATCTTGGAACTGTCTTTTGGGTTGAAACTTGTGATTAATTCAAACCATGACTCTATTCAAATGACTAGTCAGATTTTTGACAGAAGATTAGTTATCATCAAATTAGTCAATATTCCATACCAATAAAATATTACCAAAAACATACGCTACCATTTTTAACTTTGCTGCATAAATAATTATAGCATTTTTTAGTGCAGAGAATCTTCAAGAGGGCCCTTCCAACTAATTAAGGAATATTGGATAGCATCTACATCAATAGCAAAGGATTGAAAATGAGAAAGGAAACATTATCACCATCATTCAATTCAACTTTTTAATTTGCTCAAAGGATTATATTCCTTAAACACGCAGCTTATCAACATCATTCAGCAATCACAAATTAACTCAATACTCTTTTATTTGCGTAAACTACAGCTTGAGAGAATCTCAGAAACAAAATCAATTTGCCATGTAGCATTAGCTGTGAAAGGTGAACCAAAGTCTTACTGGTTGGAACTTGGAAGAGAGTAGATTAGGAAAATCTCTTTGACACCACCTAAAGGATCAAAATGTCATTTACTGCAAAGAAGGGTGTGTGAAAAAGACATATAGATCATTAAGAGTCACGTGTATGGCACTTGGTCAATGTTCCTTTAAATAAAAGGATTCTCATGTGTGCCTGAAATCTACAGTGACCACTTATAAACTAAAGAGATAAGCCATGTCATTGCAATTTGTCCAATAACATGGATTAAGTTAGGAATACCTTAAGTAAAGATTAACAACCCCTAAAGTAGATGAGTCAAAGAGAGTAGTCTTTTCTTTCATTAATGTTTCAACGGTTCATCATGTCTACTCTCTACTTTGGAGCTTTTCAACAATTACATTCATTAGTTTTAGTGTATACATATAAGAACTTTATTATTCTCGTAGTTAAATTTCTTTATAATATTATGTAATCTTGCATGAGATTTTTTTTCATATTAGGTTATAACTGAAGTGTATGTGAACTCAGTAGTCTAATCAAAATGTTTACCTGAGAAGAGAAGGCAAATCTAAATACACTATCAACGTAAAAACGTCTTATATATAATATACTAATTAAAAGCATATATAAAATCAATAAATTTATTATATATGAAAATAAATAATTAGACAAGAATAAATATGTTTTTCTGACGGAAAATAGTTTCTACGTTATTAAAGTATGACAAAAAGCGAAGAATAATTATCCAAAAAATAAAAATACGTTCATGGTTTCCTTGTTTTTTTCACCTCACCTAAATTTCCCTTTTGTAGATAAAACTATCAACTTGAACGGGAAAAGACCAAAGGAATTTTGAGAAAATGAAAAATGCAACTTAAGATGATCTCGTTAAATTCATTTATAATATTACAAAATTTATTTAAAATCATTAACAAATAAAAAAATCAATAATGAATACATTAATCAACACTTGAACTTGTTTGAAATGATTTTTTGTAAAAGAAAAACTAAATTTAAATTATGTATTCACATCAGGATGATCAAGATTTAAAATCACATTATCAAATAAAAAAATTTGTGTGAATTTTTTTAAAACGCCTCATGTATGTTTTAATCTTGAACTTTGTGATAGGTTTTTTAGGAAGATTTAAAGGGAGAAATAAATAATGAGACAAGAGCATAACTTACACAAGAGATTGACATCACTCTCAACTCAAAACCTTAAGACATTAGGTTATGAGTCATATTTTCTTATATGTTGCTCAATTTTCTCATTCTTATATAATGTGAGACTTAGAATTACACTTGAATTTCTAATAATATTTTTGTTATTGGGAACACAAATATAATACAAGACAAAAGTAAATAATAAGAACACAAAGAATTTACGTGGTTTAGTCAAAGTGACCTACATCTACGGCTACACTAGATGATAGTTCTCATTTACACAATTAGGTTTACAATTACATGAGTATTTATATTAAAAGAATAAGTAAATGAGTCAGACCCAATAACTCTTCAGACTCCACATACTTAACAATCTCCCACTTGGAGGTTGATCACATCAAGTATACTCCAAAGTAAATCTAGTAAACTTCAAAGTTATAACAACCTCAAACTAGTGCAATATCTTCTCAACAATTTACCATGAAGGTCAGTTGAAGTATGCAAAACTTTAACTTCTCAGTAGTAACCACCTTGGTCAACATATCTATAGGATTCTCTGATACAAGGATTTTCTCCAAAAACAAAGTATCATCACTTATTAGTCCTCTAATGAAGTGATACCTCAACTGAATGTACTTTGTTCTTGCATGAAAAATAGGATTCTTTGCAAGATGAATGACACTCTGACTATCGTTATAAAGAATATTGTCACAATACTTCTTGCCTAACTCCTTAAGAAAATTCTTCAACCAAATCATTTCCTTACTGGCTTTCAAAATAGTCATGTACTCTGCTTTTGTGGTTGAAAGTGTAACACTTTTCTGAAGTGTGAAGACAAATCTTGTAGTATTCTTCCTTATATCTAAACAACCTCCCAAATTTGCATCGAAACATCATTTCTTCTAAAATATAATGTAGTTTTAAAAGTACCTTTCAAGTAGCGTAACAACCACTTGACACCCAATGCTTCCTTCTTAGATTAGACATGAATATACTAACAACTTTCACTATATGAACAATGTTTGGTTTAGTGCATATCATTGCATACATTAAGTTACCGTAGATGCATAAGAAACTTTAGTCATTGATGTCTTGTCTTCATTTATCTTAGGTGACTCTTCTTGAATTAGATTAAAATGAACTCCTAAAGGTGTACTTACGATTTTAGCATCCTACATATTGAATTTCTCTAACATTTTTCTAATATAATTTACTTAAGATAATATTAGGGAACTTTCAAACTTGTTCTTGCTGATATTCATGCCCAAAATATGCTTTGTAATACCTAAATCTTTTATCTCAAACTCTTCATACAACTGTGTCTTCAATCTATTAATTCCATCTATGTTAGAACATGCAACTACCATATCATCAACATACAATAGTAATATGATATATGATAAACCAAAATTTTTCATATAGCATTGATTCATGACACACTTCTTGTACCTTATCCTACTCATAAAACTATCAAACTTTAAGTACTACTGTCTAGGTGTTTGCTTCAACCCATACAAACTCTTGGTCAACTTGCAAACCAAGTTCTCTTTCCCTATAACTTGGAAACCCTTTGGTTGCATCATGTAGATATCCTCATCAAGGTCAACATGTAAGAATGCTATCTTAACATCTAACTACTCTAGATGTAAATCCTCTGCAGCCACAATACTCAACACAAGTTTAATGGTAGTCATTTTAACTATAGGAGAAAAAATCTCATTATAATCAATACCTCTTTTCTACTGAAAGTCTTTCACCACTAACATTGCACTAACATTGCATTGTATCTCTTGTTATCATCATGTTCTTC